ACTTCTGCCAGAGATGCTCCCTGCACTCCGCTTCCAAGCCCCATCTGGACGTCCACCCGGAGTCTTTGCATGAAGCCCTTATGCAGATGCTTGGTGGGGGGGGTCTATGGGGTTGAGGTGGCAGCTAGAGCATTTGAGCTGGAGCACTTGATGTTGGTGCTCCAACCGTGAGTGGAACCTGCCGAGGGCAGACCAGGCCCAGGTGGGATGTCCAGCTGGGGGATTTCACACAGCAGAGGTCCTGGATGCTTGGAGAGAAGCCGCTAGGTGCTGGCGAAGGGGTGCATGGGGGAGTTGGCAGGAAGCCAGAGATACAAATGTGCTTTGTTTGTTTCAGGAACTTTCCCAGGCCCAGCCCTATACCCAGGAGAGGAGGACATTTTCATTTTCCTTTTTCTTTTTCTCCTTCCTCCAGATCGTGTGACCTTCTATCACCAAATCACAGAACCAAGCCTAATATAGTTAGTTTTACAGCAGGGCCACATTTTGGATTCAATGGGCTGTTGCTAGCTGGAAAGAGATCTGAACCCCCAGTTGACACTTCGTTCCTATGAGAAATTCACTCTCAATTCCAAACAGATGATTAATGGCACAGGTCTCAGAATGAAACTCATTCTGTGCCCAGTCCTGGAATCCTGACAAACCGGGGTTTGTTTTGCTGTTTGGGGGTGGGGGAGAGTGGGGAGCTCTGTTTGCATAATAAAGACCTCATGGCAAGACCACAAGGCAAGTGAAGGTGTTACCAAGATAATCAGTTCTTCCCTCAAAGGTGCGTTTCTTTCCTGTTAAGTGTCACGAAGCCAAGCAGATGTATGAAACCGAAAGTGGGTGTTGAGCAGGTCAGGATTGACTTAACTGGCCAAGGAATGCAGAAGCCGGAGCACAGCTCACAGATCACCTTCTCACTGTGTGAGAGGTGAGGGGATTAAAACATTGAATTTTTTTTTTTTTTTTTTAGGCAAGTCTCACTCTGTCACCCAGGCTAGAGTGTAGTGGCATCATCATAGCTCACCGCAACCTCAAATTCCTGGGCTCAAGCAATCCTTCTGCCTCAGCCTCCTGAGTAGCTGGGACTATAGGCGTGTGCCACCACGCCCGGCTAATTTTTCTATATTTTTAGTAGAGATGGGGGTCTCACTCTTGCTCAGGCTGGTCTTGAAATCCTGATCTCTGACCATTCTGCCTTGGCCTCCCAGAGTGCTAGGATTACAGGCGTGAACCACCAGGCCTGGCCTAGGATATTTTTTAATGAAGGGCTTGGGTATTAAAAGCCATTATAATCAATATTGCTAAAATGTCCACAATGCCCAAAATGATTTAGAGATTCAGTGCAATTCCCATCAAAATAGTAATGTCATTTTTCATAGAATTAGAAAAAACATCCTAAATTTCATATGGAATAAAAAAATAGCCTGAATAGTCAAAGCAATTCTAAGTGAAAAGAACAAATCTGGACCCATCACATTACCCAACTTCAAATTATACTACAAGGCTGTAGTAACCAAAATAGCATAGTACTGGTATATAAGTAGACACATAGATCAATGGAACAGAATAGAAAACTCAAAAATATAGCCATATACCTACAACCAGCTGATCTTTGAGAAAGCAGACAAAAGCATACACTGGGGAAAGGACGCCCAAATGGTGCTGGGAAAATTGGAGAGCCACATGCAGAAGAACGAAACTGGATGCCTATCTCTCACCATACACAAAAAATAACTCAAGATGGATTAAGGACTTAAATGTAAGACCTGACACCATAAAAATTCTAAAAGAAAACTTAGGAAAAATTCTGGACATTGACCCAGGCAAAGAATTTATGACTAAAACCCCAAAAGCAAATCCAAAAAAAAATAAAATGAGACCTAATTAAACAAAAAGTTTCTGCATAGTAAAAGAAATGATCAACACAATAAATAGACAACTTACAGAAGAAAATATTCACAAACTATACATTGGACAAAGGACTAATATCCAAAATCTATGACAAATTCAAACAAATGGGCAAGAAAAAAACAAATAACCCCATTAAAAAGTGGGCAAAGGGCATGAACAGAAACTTCTCAAAAGAAGACAGAATAATGGCCAACAAACATATGAAAAAATGCTCAACATCACTAATCATCAGGGAACTGCAAATTAAAACCACAATGAGATACCACCTCACTCTGGTAAGAATGGCCATTATTTAAAAAAAAAAAATATGTTGGCATGGATGTGGTGAAAAGGGAACACTTATATACTGTTGGTGGGAATGTAAATTAGTATAACCTCTATGGAAAAACAGTATGGAGATTCCTCAAAGAACTAAAAGTAGACCTACTATTCAATCTACCCATCCCATTACTGGGTATTTACTCAAAAGAAAATGAAGTCATTATGTCAAAAAGACACAGGCACTTCTGTGTTTATAACAGCACAATTCACAATTGCAAAGATATGGGATCAACCTAAGTGCCCATTAACTGATGAATGGACAAAGAAAATGAGTTGTATATGAACCATAAAATACTACTCAGCCATAAAAAGAACTAAGTAATGCCTTTTGCAGCGACTTGAATGGAACTGGTGACCATATCCTAAATACCTCGGGAACAGAAAAACATATTACATGTACTCGTTTATAACTGGGAGCTGAATGACGGGCATACATGGTCATATACAGTGCTATAAGGGACTCTGGAGACTTGGAAGTGGTGAGGGTAGGAGGAGGGTGAGGATCAAAACCTATTGGGTACAAAGGTGTACTATTTGGGTGACAGGTACACTAAAAGCCCTGACTTAATCACTAAACAACTCATTCGTGTATCAAAAAACCACCTGTACCTCCTAAATCTATTGAAATAAAGTAATAAAAATAAAAACAGTAATATTGATTAAAAAAAATAAATGAAGAAGAGCAGCCATTTCTATGAATGTTTAGAAACTAGTTCTCAACTCTGGCTGTGCAATGAATTCACCCACGGAGCTTTTAAAAACACACAGATGGCTCTTCCATTTCCTCTCTACTTTGTAAATGATAATAATCACAGCTGCTATTGATTGATGGTGTACTTTCTGCCAGGCATTGACTTGTACTCTTTTTTTTTTTTTTTTTTTTTTGAGACAGAGTCTCACTTTTGTTGCCCTGGCTAGAGTGAGTGCCGTGGTGTCAGCCTAGCTCACAGCAACCTCAAACTCCTGGGCTCAAGCGATCCTCCTGCCTCGGCCTCCCGAGTAGCTGGGACTACAGGCATGCGCCACCATGCTCGGCTAATTTTTTGTATATATATTTTTAGTTGGTCAATTAATTTCTTTCTATTTTTAGTAGAGACGGGGTCTCGCTCAGGATGGTTTCGAACTCCCAACCTCGAGCAATCCGCCCGCCTCGGCCTCCCAGAGTGCTAGGATTACAGGCGTGAGCCACCGCGCCCGGCCTGGCTTGTACTCTTTACATACCTTTTCACATTGGACTCTCACACCCAACCTCCGTATTTTACATAAGCAGCAGGGAGGCTCAGAGGATGAACAGCAGGAGGATGCCTACCCCCTTTGCTGAAAGGAGCTGGCTAAGAAACTGTCATCTTGGCAAATGACTATCACTAGGTGAACACTAGTTATCAGAGGAACAGGACCAGCTACCCTTCCTCCCTGCTCAGCATCAGCCACACACAGCATTAAGGACTGGCCATATTGACAGCCACGTGGGACTCTGACATCTGCTAGTTTCTGGAGAGCTGTCTGTTTTGTTTCCTGTATGAATGCAAAGGTTCATTGATTTTTCAAACAAATTGCTCTGGATTCATTTCCAGGAAGGAGTGGCCCAGAACTGTTGTGACTGAGAGCACTCAAAGCCCTGAGCTTTCTACACAGCAAAATACAATTGATTTATAAGCAGGACTTACGAAGCACACAGGAGACATCTGATAAAATACATTTTTATTAGAAATTTTTCAGCAGCATCATTTCCAGTTGCTTTTCTAATCAAAGAACATTTCAAAGTAATTACAATCAGCACTCAAAATATGAGCAAAAAATATTTTGAGAACTCAGGAATAAAATAATCAGTAGTACATGCTTCATTCATCCATCCATCCATCCATCCATCCATCCATCCATCCATCCATTCATTGTTTAGCCAATGTGCAATATTAGCACAGAGAACGAGGAATGCTACTTGCTATAGAAATTGTATATTCCTGCCATGGTTCCTGTTGTGGAAACTATAGCAACTATTTAAGAGGAGAGCTGGGCTGTACAGTACATTCTTATACAAATGCACAGATTTGGCCAAAGGACTTAAAAAATAGGCTCAATAAGAACGGCTTCCCTTTCGTGTTCAACTTAGGAAATAAATAGTTATCATAATGATATTTTCACACATAGAAACAAGAACCCAGTTGAGGCTTTGTTCAACTGGTATTTGTTTTGCACCTTACTTTAAGAAGACACAGATTTGGTTTTAGTAATTTAGCTACGGAGATCTCTCTACGGAGATTTAGTTACTAGGGTAGGTGACCACCTGAGATGCCAGGTAAGGGCAGAAATTGCTCTGGGGTCCATCAAGAGAAGGAGATCATTCAATTAAATACAAACTCACTGGCATTTAATGACATGGGATTTCCTCACAGATGTTACAGATAAAAATGTTGACTTGGCAGCTAGTGAGAGAACACATAGGAAATGGAGTATTCCAGTGAAACAACACAAATGTGCAGAAAGGTGAAAATGAATTGCTTTTTCTACCTTCTGTATTGTCTGAAGTGTCTACAGTCAAATCAAGGTATCCATCCAACGAAATGGCCTCTATCAATATACCTATGAATCCAGTTGATATGTACTATTGAATTTTAATTAAGTGCTGATGTGTAAAAATGGACCCAACAGTGAGGCCTGGATTCCTTTCCTGGATAATTTTATAGGAAATATGAATGGTGCCTCTTCTTTAGACATGGCTAAAGGCCCCCAGTCAATTCCTTTCCTCATCAGATCATTTACTATAATGATCACCAACCAAATCAGTAGATACTTTTATTAGCAAATTCAGTAATGTGATAATCTTTCCAAAATTTACAAATGTACAATATATTTATAGCATTACCTTCAGACAGCTTCAGTGCAAAGATATACACATAGTATATCGTGATAATTGTTTGTAAAAATATGAGACGGCGTAAGTAAAAAAAAAAAAGGCACACAAGACATTTCCAACTACAGGCAAACAGGGAAAAAATATATATTTTTATAAAGTATTGAATGTTAACTTTTTTTCATCTGTTTGTAAAAAATACATGTGCAAAAGTGTGTTTCTAATTATTCCCTAAGTAGGTGGCATAGCTATGCCTCAGAGTCTTCTTTAACGAGATTTGCGGTGTCTTTAAAAGTGTCTTCTGTTGCAGTGTAGGTGGGAATTGGATCTCTTTTTGGAGAAACTTTAGCAGGGAGAGAAGGCGATGGAGGTGGGGCCACAGCAACACTTTCTTTCGGCGAGTTCTCCATCTAGGACCACAACAACACAGGAATCAGCCATTTACTCCCCCAGCATGACCAGAAATAGTTTTTCATGAAGAAGACTAATGGTGATTAATCTCCTCAAAAAAATCTAATAAGAAAGAATGTCTGTGCTAAGAAAAATCGTTAAAAATTACCTCTGCATAGATTGGATTTTCAAAATTGGTACTTTGTTTGGGTTTTCGTTTGAAGATATTCCATTTTGTTGCCTAAATGAAAAGGGGAAAACAAAAAGGTTTTAGTAATGGAATATTTCTGTGGGTTTCTTTCCCCCTGTGTAGATTTTAACGTTTCTTCTCACTGAAGGACAAAGCAGTTTGGGACCTGGGACCATGTGAATATTTGACCCGTGTGGTGAACTGGTCCCTGAACAGTAACTAAAACTGTGTGGGCTCTTTTCACCTAAAAATACTTCCTTGATTTGGATTTTTTTTTTTTTTTTTTTTTTGAGACAGAGTTTTGCTCTGTCACCCTGGCTAGAATATAGTGGCGTCATCATAGCTCACAGCAACCTCAAATTCCTGGGCTCAAGCAGTTCTCCTGCTTCAGCCTCCCGAGTAGCCGGGACTACAGGTGCACGCCACTGAGCCCGGCTACTTTTTTCTATTTTTAGTAGAGATGGGGTCTCGCTCTTGCTCAGGCTGGTCTTGAACTCAAGCAATCCTCCCACCTCAGCCCCCTAGAGTGATAGGATTACAGGCGTGAGCAACCGCGCCTGGCCCTTGATTTGGAATTTATAGTTCACAGAGTCTGTGTCATAGTATCTACAAGCTTCAACCAGCAGATCGCTCTACTACCTCAGTACAGAGAGAACAAATAAAACAGAGACATGCAAGATTCGTCTGTAGAAAAAGACGTTTCTAGGGCTGCCTGAAAATTGGAAAAAAAAGAGCCAAATAGTAACTCTGATTTTCTAAAGTAATGTCTTAACCTTTGGTCAACTCAGGAGTATCCTTTCTCCCTTTGTCACTTCCTTTCCATAATCATAGTAATAGTGATAACAAAAACAACTAACATTTACTGAGTGCTTACTCTGTGTCAAGAATTATTCTAAGGGCGTTACAGGTTTCTGACTGCACTTTCTTAACAACCCTTTGAGGTGGGTACAATTATTATCCCCATTTTACACATGCTGAGTCACAGCCAGATTAAATAACTGAATTGGAGGCAGAAGGGCAGGCAATGACTACTCAGGGGACTCAGAGGCCCCTAAACCAAAGAACACAAAGAGAATCACCTTGGACCCTGGCGTGTGTCCCCCCAACCCCATTACTGAAAAGTTGCCTGTCGCGATGGCCACAGCTCTGGCTGCTGGATAAAACCTGGCAGAAGGGAACAGACAGCTTACTCCAACAGGGAGCTGGGGTAGCCTCCATGTTTTATGGGGTGTCTTTTACACCCCATAAGTAGGGACCAACATGTGAAGCAGTGGGGAGCATGTGACTGCAGGAGAAGCAGAAGTCATCCACTCTGACACACATCTAAGTGAGTGCCTACTTTGTACCTGGTGCCACCAAGGGAAAGATGAAGACACATTCAGGCCACAGCCCTGCCTCTGGGAGCTTTATAGTTCATCGGGGAAGGCCCAAATTCTCAAGAGTCATTGCTTTGGGATGGAATGGCTACTTGGAGTTAAGCAATTACTAAGAAGAGAAAGGGTGGGGTGACTCGCTTTTCTCCTTAGGAGATCCCATGTGTGTCAACGAAACTTTTGGAAAATAATAGAACTGAGTCACAGTTACAAACTGAGTCTTTTGGAAAATAATAGAACTGAGTCACAGTTACAAACAGTTACAAACGTTCATGTTTGTAACGTTTAGTCCTTTGAGCATAGTTACTGATGAAAGATACCTTAGTGAGACTCATAGGCACGTTAATGTCAGCCTCGGTGATCTTACCCAAGCAGCTTCACTGCTTTGAAGCCACACTGGCTATTACCTCAGTGCCTAGAAGCCAACAAACATCGGAGGATCCCTGGACATACCATGAAAGCCAAATCTTAGAGGGTCTCAGCCTCAACTGATTTGAAAGGAGGAAGAACCCACATATTGCAAAGATGGAATGAGAAAGGACTACCACTGGTGGAGATCTGCTCTCCTCTGAAAAAACCCTTTCAGTGTTCATTTTGTTTCTGATGACAAATGTGTAGGTCAGAGGTTACATTCCCCTTGCTGCTCAGGCTGGGAGATGGCTCTCTCTAGAGAAGAAGATCACTGGACTTGACGTGAACATAGAAAAAAAAATGTGGACAGTATAAAATAAATCTGGCAGTCACTTGGGGTTGACTCAGATTTGGGGAACCAGATATATGACACTCAAGCATTCAGGTGTCTATGGAAAATTCATCTTCAAATTCCATTTTTAATGTAGCTTTTAAAGAAAAAAAAATTTAGTCCCTTGAAAAGTAGGGAACTGAAAATTCTTTTCTAGACAGCATTCATGTGTGTTTGTGTGTGTGCGATAGAAGAAGGAACAAGTAATGGAATGTGAAAAAGTGGACAGAGACTTTGATATAAGCTCTTCTTGTTGGCATCAATTTAGTTCAAATTTTATTTTAATCCAAACAAGCAGAACAGGAACCAATGTCCGAGGTGGTTAATGGCTAAACATCTACTGAGACTTCCAAGTCAATCCTGAAGATACCAATGTATTTGTAGATTATGAAATTTGAGAAATAAGGTTGTATAAAATGGGAAAATTTCTAACTATGCTTAGACTTTTGTTTCTTTATATTACTTCACAAAAGTGGTCATAGAATCTTAGAATTGAGACATTCCCGATCCTAGTGTTCTCAACTGGGAGTGTACATATGTATGTGTGTGTGTGATGTGATTTCTGGGCTCACATTGACTTGAGGGAGACACGATTGGAATTTAGTAGGCGAAGACCAGGAATACTGAAATCCGAGCACAGGACAGTTCTCTAGCACAATCAACTGCCCCACCCAATATACCAATAGTTTCCTTGTGAGGAACATTGCTAAGGACTCCTGCACTCAGAGGTAGAAAACAGTCTGTCCAGAATCAAACAGCTAGATCTGGAATACCTGCATATGTATGCATTAAAACTAGTGAAATATTATACATTAACACAGAATATTACATCAGATATATTGGTTGAATTTCTCTCTGCAGACCAAAGAGTCTACAAATTGCAAAAGGCCTGCAGGCATGGCAGAGAAGCTCCATCTAGTGGTGCTTTGTTCTTTAATCTCCAGTATTAAACAGCATGCCTGGCACACTAAGAGCAGTAACAATCAGTTGGACAATTACATGGATGAGGAATGGACAGATAGATGGATAAAGAGGATGTAAATTAGTGCCACCTAGTGGTAAACATAGGTAACCACTATGAAGAACATACACATTATTAAAGGAATAAAGATGCACAGTATAGAAAAATTGTATCACACAGATAAGGAACTTTTAAATGCATCGTTGACATAGTGAGTTCTTTATTCATACTAAGTCAACCTCTCATATTAAATGTCCCTGTATTGAAGATACTGAATCCAGAAGTCTGTTCTTTGAGATGCAATCTCCTAAGTCACAAGGAACATTATACCCAACTCAATGTTGGAATGTAGCTTTACTTGATAGAAAGATTTTGAATCTATTATTTCTTTAAAAATTATCTTTATTAATTGCCTACACATCTTGGGATCTCCCTTAGTTTGTTTAGGCTTAATGACAACCCCGCCATTCCAAAGTTCTTTCCAAATCTCACATTTCAGCAGTCAACAACTTACCTGAGCTTCCTCAGCACCCGGGGAAGTTGGCTTTATCTCTGGAACTATCTCAGAAGGAGTTATGGGACTTCCATAATTCTTATTATCCACATTTCCAGATGCAGTCACCTGTGGACACATTGAAGGCCCTTATCCAGTTTTGAAATAATTCAGTAATAAATAGATTTGCTATAAAGTTTGTTATCAACTCTTTGCTTCTTCTTACTACCTTTTTCACCCAACAGACATGGCCAGGTACCATTTTTCTTGTATGAGCCAACCCAGTAGGCCAGGCCCAAATACCACTCCCACCTCCCCCAAACCAAGAGCACCAGCCATTAAGTCACCTCATGCCTTAATCCTGGAAAGCAAACAAATCCCTCCCTCATCACATTCTTACTTGTTAATAGCCATTTCTATTGTATTCTAACTCCTTATACTATTGACCAAATTTTTGGATTAAACATACTCTGGTTATATATTGGCAGCCAAATCCTAGAATAACAGCATAAACAATTCCCTGAACTCATTAGTAAACTAAGAATCCTATCTTTGGATCTTAATAATTTCTTTGGATATTAATAGATCCTATCTTTGGAAATTAATAATTTCATAGGACTGTTAAAAAAGAGGTTACATTTTTGAAATGATGGATATAACAGAATTAATACTCCTCTATACATTTTTTGTAACATTCATATAATTCCAAGGTTCCCTCTTAAACCCAAATTACCATGAATATATAATAAATAATAAGGTAGACAATTCCCTCTCTTTCCTAAATTTTTACATTCACCACTTTATTTCTTCTCAAACTTGTATATATGTTTGTGTACTTGGCCTCACTTTATTTGAAGTGAAAATGTCAAATGAAATGTCGTACCTGTTTCATCATGTGATTAAAGTTTTGCTATCTGGTTATCAAAGGATAAAGCAAAATGCTTTCAAGATTCAAACATTTCTGATCTTAAGAAAGCTATCTGTAAAATAAACATTTCTACCTTATATGTTACAATGTGCCATATCTTGAGTTCAAAAGAAGTTTAAGTGTTAACAATGAAAATTATTCATGATGCCACAGTTGTTCGACAAAGGAAACAGGTTCACAGTGGACAAGTACTGAGAGCAGTGCTCAGGCTATTGATGCAGACCTACTGAAAAGTTCTTTCCCTCCATCCATATTCCTATTTCATCTCCCAGCTCCTCTTAAAGATGACTAACAGGGCTGCACCAGAAGGAAATTTAGTGATATCTGCCCATCAACTTTGGAGACCTCTGTATTTTTCAGAAAAGTTTCAGAAAAGCAAGCATAGGAGGTCCTTTGTCCTTAAACCCACCTCCTATCACATGCTTGTGATACCAGCAAGAACCAGAAAGTAGACCCAGTCCCCAAAATGCCTGTATAATGATCTGACAATCCTTCACTCATTTGTTTCCTAAGTATTTATAAAGAGCCTGTGGTGTGTCACTCACTGTGTTTACCAAGCCTCTGAATGGACTCAGCTCTCTTGCTGTCACCACTCAGAATGAAAAGGCTCTTGCTCAGTGCCCCCAGCATAGATGCCAAACCTCAACAACTGTGCAACAGAACAGGATTCTGATTGTTTTCAAGCCTTATGTCCTCTGGTTGGTCTTTTTACTGCAGATAGTGAAGCTGACGCATGGACCACTCACTAAGTTTCCTTCCATTTGGAGGGAAGGTTAAGAGACTCTAAGAGGACATTACTCAGTAGAACAAAATCCAGCAACAGTAGTAACTCAATGATTTCTCACCTGGGTTGGTTGAACCACTTTGACAGCACCATCTTTGGCTGCATACATTGGGTTTTCAAATATTATGGGCTGCTTCCCCATCTCCATGACAAAGTCTTCACTCTGATCGGGGAGAGAGAGAGAGAGATCACACCATATCAATCTGGTTTGCACACAGAGAAAGGTGCCTTCCTCATGCCTGGAGGTATGTTAGTTGTTATGCCACACTTACCAAAAAGAGAACTTGCAGAAAAAAAAAAAAATAAAGCCAGCAAGACACAAGGCCTCCATATGGTAAATCATTATTTAAAGTAACACAAATGCACTAATTCTGCAGTCCACAACCCCCGGGCTGAAGTGTTTCTTTTATAAAATAGTAAAAATGACAACCTTCAAATAATCATTTTGAACCATACTCACCATTGCCATTGATCTGTCAATAGCAGACTCAGGCCCAAAACCAGACACTCCAATGTCCATGTTAACATCTGCCCCTGATCTGAAGGTCACTCCATTTCCATTTGCAGAGGGTTTGACAAGACTGCTTAAGCTGGAAGGAAGTAATCAAAACAGCGCCTTATTATTATTATTTTTACAGTATCCTTTCCTCCACATTGCTAAATCTTACTTAAATGAAAAGCTCAATTCCAATTCTAAATTTACACATGTCTAACATGGTAATAAGTTCCCTTAGCTACCTGGAAACATGAATGCACAGCCATGAACCCTTGAGATCTACGAGAAAACCCATCAGGCACTTACAAAAATAAAGCCTGGAGCATCGTACAGCCAAATCTATACTCTCATCAGACCTGAGTGCCCACCAGCCCACACAACCGTTTGGAATATAAAATGTAACTGTCATTCAGGTTTCAGAGAAGCAGTCAATTAAGAAGTTGTGATTTGAAATGGCTGCTTTAAATCCTCACTCCTTTTTGTTTCTGTACTGCAGAATAGGTGAACTGTGTATTGTACTTTTTTAACTTAAAAAGAAAAGAAATTCACATGGTCCCATCACACAGGCTTTGAACATCACTAGTACATGTAATGAAACTGACCTTGGCAGCTTGGGCAGAGCAGGCAGAAGGGAGCCGGTTTTCCTATAGTGGAAAAATGCTACAACTACCAGAGCTCCAATTATGATGATCAAGAGGATTGTCAACAGCGTGGCCACTGCAGCTACAGAACAAGAAGAGAAGCGAATATATCAATAACTCGAGCCCAACAAACCTGGTAGATGCGGAGTGCTAGAACCATTCACTCTTCAAAGAGGCTGGGTTAAATAAACTATCTAGGACAGCACACAATTTAGGGGCCATGAGTATTTCCAAGTTGCTCATATTAACACTTACTTGTTCCTGGAGGGATGCCTTTTGAAAATGCGATTTCACAATAATTTCCGGTGTAGCCATTAAGACACCTGAAAGGGAAAGGAAAATCATTCACTAGCTGTCACCTTCTGAGGCTTCTACTGCAATTTTCTGAGCACATCCTGAGGTAGAGAAAGCTTTGATTGAGTAACTTACATGTTGAAAAGACACTGTATCCTGCATGACTTTTGTTTATTCTACCAAAAGACGATGAGCAGAAAGAACAGTGATTTGACTTTAGAAATTTACTTTCAGCAAATTAGGTGTAGTACCTACAGGGTCAGCCTCATCAAATAAACCCGTTGGTGTCTTCTCTATCTAATCTATGCAATTCTTCTTTGGAGAAGAAAAAGGGAAACCATGGTTGTGTCCTTTCTTTTGTTATGATTTCATTAAATTATGATTTCATTAAACATAAATGTTGTTAAAGACATCCATTTATCTAACTCCATGTTAGAGCTTTCTCAGTAGTCATCTTCTTTCCAAATCTTTTTTTTGAGACAGAGTCTCGCTTTGTTGTCCAGGCTAGAGTGAGTGCCGTGGCATCAGCCTAGCTCACAGCAACCTCAAACTCCTGGGCTCAAGCAATCCTGCTGCCTCAGCCTCCCAAGTAGCTGGGACTACAGGCATGTGCCACCATGCCTGGCTAAATTTTTCTGTATATTAGTTGGCCAATTAATTTCTTTCTATTTATAGTAGAGACGGGGTCTCGCTCTTGCTCAGGCTGGTTTCGAACTCCTGACCTCGAGCAATCCCCCCGCCTCAGCCTCCCAGAGTGCTAGGACTTTCCAAATCTTTAGTCCAGTCTTTCTGCTCATCATGGGTGCCTTGTTACTAACACAGCTCTGTCAACCGACAGCTGTTCGCCCACAGTACTGTTGTCATTAACAATACCAGGTAAGTAGGAAGATGCTGTTGCCGTTTCTGTAATTCCTTACTCCCCAAAGTGTGGTCCATGACTCTGCAGTATCACCCCGAGCTTGTTAGAAATGCAGAATCTCTGTGAGTGAATGAGCATTTGAACCAGACCCCCAGGAGATTCTTATGCATATTACAGTTTGAGAAGCACCGCCTTAGTTCTCTATGGAACTCCCCCATGGGAGGGCAAGCTGGTTAAAATGTAAAAATTAGTGACCCGACAAGGCTTCTGTACTTGTTTCCCTGGCTACTTTAAGGACTCAAAATTCCCCTAGAAGAGGCAAGGCCTACAGCTTGGACCTCAACATTCAGACTTACTTGCATTTGGGGAGGTCATTCTCATCAAAATAGCAATTTCCTCCGTACATACACCTGCATGGGAGGGGCATGCTGATGGGATGTTCGATGGCTGCGGAAAGGGAAAGCCATGCAAGGGTTAGTCAGCCGGGCTCAGCAGAGCACCCACACCATGCAAACCTGCCCGGGATGGGGGTGGGGGTAGGGGGAGTGCCAGCTAATTAGTCTCCCTGTCAAAACGTCACCTTCCCTCTAAGTCAAATGAATTTCCTTATCAATAATAGGATCTTGGAGAGAAACATACATTTAGTGTAAAGTCAGGGACAGTTTATAGCATTTTCCCTCCACCCCAAAAACAGTGAAGAAGTACTAGACCATATTAATAGTTATAAGAACCTATGGCAAGAGAATTTAAGATGTTCCCATTCTCATCTGAAGTCTTCAGAATTCTTCTCTGTGAACTCAGTGAAAATCAAAAGTTGAACATAGGTACATCTCGAAACTTCAACTGAAGGCTCCAAAGCATCAGTAATTGATTAGTCACTAGACAGTCCTCCAAAACTGCCCTTGGTCTGGATCCCTGTTTCCCACCCATGTATGTGCCTGAAGGGTCATTAGTGCTTCAATGTCTCATGCTTTGAAAATGATTAGTAAGTATTTAGCACAGGTGTATTTTATTTAAGCAGTTTGGATATCCTCCTGGGGCAATGGATTTGAGGCTTTACCCAAAGTTCACTTTATCAGAGAGGCCTTCCATGAATACCATTTAAAAGAGCAACTTCACCTACCCCCATCCTCATCCCTCTTTCCCTGCTTTAGTTTTCTCCATAGTACTTTCTCCACCTGACCCATTACATATTTATTGGCTTCTCTATTTATTGTGCTCCTAGAATATAAGCTCAATGACCATAGGGGATTTGTCTATTTTGTTCCCTTCTGTTATCTCCAGCACTTAGAACAATGCCTAGCACATACATGGCATTCAGTAAATCGTAGTAAGTAAACTAATTGGCTAATTAATATATCAACCCAAGGCCCTATATGAAACGATTACCTTCGTTAGTGTGCTTATTTTGGTTAAAGTTCTTTTAAACAAGAATCTTAATATAATCCATAGGCAAAAAATTTAAAGCAGAAAAGGAGTAGATGAGGTGACAACTTTGAAATCAACTCTCCTTCGATGTGACATTGCAATGAATGTCGAATGATCTAGCTATATAGCATAGAACAAATCTCAAAAGCTTGAAATTGCCGTTTGTTCAAAATGTTGGAATCTTGCCATATTTCCCCAGTAGCACTGAGATAAACATGGGGGTAGGGGAAGAGAGGGGAAGGGAAGCAGTCTTTTCTTTGGGTTTGATCTCTAAACCTGAGTCAAAGGTCTGTGCCTTGTTTAAGTGCTTGCTCCCCCTGGTGGTAGAAGATATTTAAGCCTCTTCGTTTCCCTGGCAGCTAAAACTGTACCCCGAGGATGTGAGCCATCTAGCCTTCAACTCCCAACAACATAAGGTCCCTCGCAAAAGGTGGCCCTTTTTCAATTGTCAAAGCTCTGAAATGAGCATATGAGAAAACAGCGAACATCCTCCAGCCCTCCCTCTGCACTGTGTAAGCCCCTCCCACCTCAGGAACATGTGTCTCCGCCCTGGCGGACTCCAGTTACATTGAGAGCATTTAGGGTCACAAGCCTCATGGAAAACTCACTCTTCAAAATGTCTTTACAAAACCATACAACAGTAGGTTTGGGAGCACTGGATCTATATCTCTGCAATCTTAGCAAGGAATTCTCAGAATCATTGGAACAGGAGTTCTGTTTGGTCCCTCAAGTCCCACTCGGCTCTGTTTCCCACACCTCTCATCCCTACTTCCAGCCATCCCCACTCTCTTGTGTGCAGAACCCAGTGTACAGGGATCTTCAGGCTCCTGAAGAGGCAGGCAAGCTCTCCACCAGGCCCCCGGGCTGCCCGGGGAGTGCCCCTACCTGCATCACACTCCGTGGCGCTGCCCTCTATGAAGTTGGAGCCTTGGGGACAGGCACAGCTGTATCCTCCAGGTCTCAGCAGGCAAAGGTGGCTGCATACCTGTTTGCAAGGGTTGCGCACTGGAAAGAAGAATGGGAACAGCATTTAGGTCCTGATGGGAGAATGCACATCCCAACCAAGGGGACCCCCAACAACTGGGCGTGGCTCTGCCAGGTGACAGCAGAGCCAGGCAGCACCCCAACACCTCTAGGCCACATGTCACCTGGCTACTCATCCTCATTTACACTACCAACTCTGCACCCCAGCAAAGTGGCCCAGTCCCTTCCTCTGCCCTCCATCCCATGTCTGTACCTTTCACATTTTCTATAGGCATCACTTTCCTTCTCTACTGCCCTGGCAAGTTTAGAAAGTGGGTATCGGCCTGGTTCACTGCCCAACCACAAAATTTCTAAACAACTTGAGATGGCTTAAAACACCAGTGAGAAGACAGTCTCTTTCTTCTAACTCACTAGCTAAATAAAACGCTATCCATCACCATCACACTAAGTTTACTTCCAGTGCCCCCAGACTCCGTAGGCACTGACGTGGTCTTAAAAGACTTGACAAAAATTTTGAACCTAATTTTCTTGTTCTTGTAAAAATCTTACACTCATTTGTGGTCCTTTATTTGTAAAACCATTAGCATTAAAATCCCCCTCCCCCACCAGGGCCAGGTGTGGTGGCTCACACCTGTCATCCCAGCACTGTGGGAGGCTGAGGCTGGAGGATCACTTGATGCCAGGAGTTTGAGATCAGCCCGCGCAACATACCAAGATCCTCATCTTATAGCAAAGGACTGGAGCAGTGGTTCTCAAAATGTGGTCCCTGAACCAGCAGCATCATTACCACTTGAGAACTTGTTAGAGATACAAATTCTTAGGCCATCCCAGGTATACTGTATCAGAAATCCCACAAATGGGGCACAGAAATCCCATGCAAGCTAAAATTTGAGAGCTATTGGTTCAAAGTAGATGCTAATCTAGCCCAGCTGGGATGGGGCTCTAGCCTCTACCTCCATCATTATTTTCCAAGGGTCCCCAGAGCGTCCACTGGCTAAGAAGCCTTTCTCTAGGGGGCAGTCGCCAGTTTTTCAAAACTCCCCAGGTTTACCGTTCTCTCCTCTCTTGCCTTTAAAACTGCCAAGTGTGAGGGCTTCAAGAACACTTAGCATACAAGAGCTGCTATATTGGGAGGGCCTGGGATGTTCTGGAGAGGGGCTGGAGAGAGGTGATCACTGCTAGCAAAACAAATGAGCTACTCTCTAGAAAAGGCATTTGCCACCAGTGTACTCTCCTGGAAGTCTCAGCTCTGAGTTGCAATTTGCCAAGACTGATTCAGGGTCTCAGAATATCAGTGAACACAAGAGGACCTCAGGCTGCAACCTGGACTCACACACAGGGATGGGAAGGACTTGTCAAAGGCCACACGGCCATAGAATACAACTTGGGATTCAGGCATACTGACCTCTGGGCCAAAACAGAAAGACGCCAAGCTTTGGGTTGTATAGAATTGAACCTAAAAATCCTTTCATTTGTGAATTTAAAACTCACTCAAGTTACTAAATCTCTCTTAGCCTCAGTTTCTTTATTAGATAGAGATGAGAATAAAATGTCTTTATAGGATTTTGCAGAAGACTAATTGAAATAACAGATGTCCAGATTAGCACTGAAGAGAGACTCTGACATACAGAACTTAGTAAAAGTCTACTTCCTTTCCTCATTTAAAACATTTCCTTTCCCTTTCACTGTGCTCCATACACTGCTGAAGGATGAATTACAACACAGGCAACCTGATGAAGCAGGACCCAAAACTAAGAAAAATGAGAATGAGGGGAGTGCAGAGAAATGGGTATGACTGATCATTTTATTTATTTTTTAGCATTAAAACAATTTCTCCATAGGAAATTTTCATTAAGAAATGAGTTCTGTACATAGCAGATATAAAATAAATGAGGAAGATGGACAGACTTAATTTATACATTTACTTTAATAAAATGTGATAGATGAAAATTGGCTAAAAGGAAACTATTCAAAATGGTAAAAAGGCTGGGCGTGGTGGCTCATGCCTGTAATCCTAGCACTGTGGAAGCTCAGGAGGTCAAGACTAGCCTGAGCAAGAATGAGACCCACTCTCCACTAAAAATGGAAAAATTAGCCAGGCATGGTGGTGCATGCCTGTTGTCCCAGCTACTCAGGAGGCTGAGGCGGGAGCATTGCTTGAGCCCAGGAGTTTGAGGTTGTAGTGAGCTATGATGATACCACTGCACTCTAGCCAGGGGAACAGAGTGAGACTCTATCTCAAAAACAAAACAACAGAAACCAAAAATAAAAAACCCCAAATGGTAAAAAAAAAAAAAAAAAAAGTTAAAACCATAAGATCTCTTTCCTGTATGTCAACAGGAAAAGAGCCTAATCAATCTATAGCTAAGTGAACTAATTAAAAAAGACACCGTGTGCAGTGAGCTATGATGATACTACTGCACTCTAGCCCAGGCAACAGAGTGAGATCCTGTCTCAATAAACAAACAAAAATGAAAATAAAATAATAAATAAATAAAAACACCATGCAGATGAAATTTTAAACAAATGACTGACCATTTTAAACTAAGCCTCATATATCTCAGGCTAACCTGACTAGCCTGGCCTTGCAATTCTAAGACTGGTAAGATTTCTTTTGTCCATGAAACACGTTTTGTTACTTGTTAACCTAACCCACTCTTAGCAGGGGTCTGATGCCTGCTGGAGCCTATGGCCTAGAAATACATATCCACAACTCTAAAGAATGAGGACTGAAATATTTTTCTTCATATCTGCCTTTTATATACTTTCATTCGAACTTCAATTTTATCTTTCTTTACTCAAAATGATTAAAACACACCCCACATATACACACACATGCACACAGACACACACACACACTCACCTTTCATGCACCAAGAGATCATCTTATTATTATCCACTACATTCTACAACAGTATAGCCATTATTTTGAAATAAGGTTTTCAGATAATGAGGAACATCTTATTTCAAAGTTGGTGATTACCTGACCGATCGTATCTCCGTTGATGAAAGATTCGAACTTGTGTGAGCCAAGGGTTTACTACCAGCATTTTCTCTTTTTGTCCTTGCCCAAATTTATCTTGTTTCCATACTTCTCCCTTCTCCCTAGATATCCAGTATAGCTGGTCTTCAAAGATATCCAGATTGTAAGGGCGAGCTGCTGCTTACCCACAGTGGAAAAAACAAAACAAAACAAGGTTATTGAAAAGAAAACATCCTAGCACCACTTCTATATCTGATATTATTCTGCTTGAATTATTCCCTAATACAATGCCTTGAAACTCCAAGAACATTGAGGCAGATTTTCTGCACATGGGACTGTGAAAGTGTGCTGCACTGAGGATCAATCGAGAGGATGGAATTAAACCAGATTAATGCATAGCATGGTGTCTGACACCCCTAGCTCACTTTCATGCTACTGATTTTATTACATTGGAAAACAATTTGTATGCCAAAGATTTTATGTTTTCCCTTGAATGTAAGATACCACTGGTCAGATAGGAAAAATGTGATATGTCCTGAATCATTACAGTTCTGCAGAGTCTGGATAAGAAAACAAAATGTTCCTCTCCTTCTAGATGTTTCCAGTTGTGCATAATGAGCTATCTAGCACAGTGAAAACGAATGTGTCCAGAAGTGTTTAGATGAGATTGAATGCCACCTCTATAAGGGTGATCTAACAGGAGTCTCAGTTATTTCAATAACTGCTGCTGAGATGCATTTTTTAAAATTATGTAAAAAAGACAAAAAGGATTTAATTATTGCTGATGCATTCGTATGCATTTAATTCAGCGACAGAGAGTTGGGAGGGGAGGTGGGTATCTAAAAAAACTATATAAAGCATCTTCTAAGTTCAGGGTTCCTTCTTGAGAAAATGGGTAAAGAGACTGGAAATATATTAATTAATTATGTAATATATTAATTTCTAACTCATTTCTAACCTTCGTTTAAAACAACTCTCCTGTCACTCCCATCGTGATTCATGCTTTCAATAACGTCCTCCTTGAAGTCAGTCCAGTAAATCCGGTCGTTGTTCATATAATCAATAGTAAGGCTAGTTGGCCAACCAAGGTCCTGAAAAATCAGGACGTTGCGTGACTCCCCATTCATCCAGGCAGATTCGATTTTAGGTTCTTCTCCCCAGTCAGTCCAGTACATAAGCCTGCAACAGAAGGTTTCTTCGTTGTAGCATCTCACCCCGTGGGACCTCTCCACCACAGCAGAGCATGGAGTGCCACCCACAGGGTAAGCAAGTATTTTTTGCAGAGACCTGGGAGCTAAGTGGCACTGCTTTTATACTTTACAGAAGGAAGGGAGTGAAAACGGGGAGTGTGTGTGCTTTCGGTTCCTGAAAACAGCACTTTCTTAACAGAAATTGGCTGAAGGATGCACATCTGAAGCCTTTAAATGGTACATTACAAAATGCTGCTCATTCTTCAAGAGATGTTGCTGAAGGCCTACTGTGTGAGAGGCACTGTTCTGTCTTTGGAATACATGAGAGAGAAAAAAACAAAGATTTCTACCCTCATGGAGCTACTTCTCTTTTTAAATGTATGCTTTGCATACAATGAATAATTTCTTACAGAGAAAAAGGTCTATGTAAGCAAAGGTGACCTGACACTGAAGAATTGCCTAGGCCAGAGATCACACCACTTCAAATACCTAGAAGGACCAGGCAGGTAAGATAGAGGAGAGCAGCCCAGTGATGAATACCAGGCGATGGGGAGGGCAAGACCCCATGGAAGAGCCCCTGCCAGCGCCAGTGTTACCAGCTCCTCTGATTTTCCAAGCCAGAAATATAGATTTTATTTTATTTTTTTTAAATTTGAACTGTTAGCAACTAAGTAAAAAAACAAAAACAACTTGAGCAGGGCGCGGTGGTGCGGGCCTGTAATACCAGCTACTTGGGAGGCTGAGGCAGAAGGATCACTTAAGGCCAGGAGTTTCAGTCCAGCCTGGGCAACACAGAGAGACCTCATCTCAACAACAACAACAAAAAAAAAAATCAAAAGGAAACAAACAAACAAAAACTAGCAACAATAACAAAAAAACTTCAAGCTCTGTGTAGTCCAAGCCAAACATGTCTATGGATCAAATTCAGTCCACTGGCCACCACTTTACAGCTTCTTGTCTAAACCAATCATCAGGTGTAGACCAATCCTTAAATTCCATGGAAGAATGTGTGGATTGTAGACAAACTAGGCTCTGGGGAAAATGCAGCCAAAAGCCTTTGAAGTCATAAAAACTGGCAAATACTACCTTGTTTTGTTTTCATTAAAAATGATAGACATAGCGGGACGTGGTGGTTGACACCTATAATCCTAGCACTATGGGAGGCCACGGTGGGAGGATTGCTTGAGGTCAAGAGTTCAAGACTAGCCTCAACAAGAGTGAGATCCCATCTTTACACAAAGAAAGAAAAATTAGCCACGTGCCTATAGTCCTACTCAAGAGGTTGAGGCAGGAGGATTGCTCGAGCCCAGGAGCTTGAGGTTGCTGTGAGCCATAATGACACCACTAACCCAGGTGACAGAGCAAGACTTTGTACCAAAAAAAAAGATAGAAAAAAGCCAGTTGCAAAGGACCACATACTGTATGATTCCATTTGTAGGAAATGTTCAGAACTGGCAGGGCGTGGTGGCTCACATCTGTAACCCTAGCACTCTGGGAGGCCGAGGTGGGCGGATTGCTCGAGGTCAGTTGGAAACCAGCCTGAGCAAGAGCGAGACCCCGTCTCTACTATAAATAGAAAGAAATTAATTGGCCAACTAATATATATAGAAAAAATGAGCCGGGCATGGTGGCGCATGCCTGTAGTCCCAGCTACTCGGGAGGCTGAGGCAGTAGAATTGCTTGAGCCCAGGAGTTTGAGGTTGCTGTGAGCTAGGTTGACACCACGGCACTCACTCTAGCCTGGGCAACAAAGTGAGACTCTGTCTCAAAAAAAAAAGGAAATGTTCAGAACAGATCTCTCTGTAGAGACAGAGAGTAGGTCAGAGGTTACGTAAGGGCTGGAGAAGGGGAGACATGGGGGTTGGGAGGTGATGGCTAAGGGGTACAGGATTCTTTTTAGGGTAAAAAAATGCTCGAAAATTGATCATGGTGATGGATATAAAACTGAATATACTAAAAGCCATTGAATTGTACACTGTAAATGGGTAAATTGTATGGTATATAAATTATATTTTAATAAACCTGTTTTTTAAAAAAGGTAATAAATACTCAAAAAATATATACAGAATGGGTTTTTTTTGTTTTGGCCATGACTTTGTTCATGCTATGTTCTGAACTTATGAGCATAGCTGGCACAAAGTAAGAATGTAATAAATGGTGGCTCTTTTTATTGTCATTGTAGGTATTATTATAGTCATCATCCTTCAGACCCCGTGACAAATCTGATACCATAGAAGCTATGAGAAATTTCACACATCACAAATGCTTTCCAAGACTCAGAGATGGCTAGCCTCTCAAATGCATCATGGAATGAGGAGGTTTTGTAGGGCAGGTCTTGAGGCCTACCCAGTTAAACCCTTCCTACCTCCTTCCTTATTTCCTCTCTCTCCCAGGACTACACTGAGCCATTCTGAGAAAAAGGAATCACAAAGAATAAAATGAAGATCTTCTCCAAAAAAACAGTAGAGGGATTATCAGAATGTAATCATAATATAAACAAGGGCATAATCATTAATCACAGAGGAAAAAATTAAACAGCACACAGGAAACAGTCACATCATTAGTACCATAGAACACTTTGCATCTCTTTGCTCCTAAGATATTGTATAGGTTGAGGACAAGTCCACACCACAGGTTAATCTTACCATGCAAGTATATTTCAAGTGTCATTATTGAGTTTCTGAAGAGTATGATTTAACATATGAAATATAACAGAATCACAGTAATAATAGCTCATAGTGTTCTATGTACAGATATAGACCTATCTACAAAGGGCCATACTCGTCCTGCCCAAATAGATGAAGTATTTGGGGTTATTCAAAATGTAAAAAAAAAAAAGTGTCACTATTCTGAGGCTAAATTAATATGTAAATACCTAGTTATTTCACTTTAGTTGTTTTAAATGCCTTGAAATGTAGAGAAAGATGACAAGACTAGTTCTCATTGACACTGAGGCGATTTACAGATAAACTGCAAATAGAAACATTTCTAAAAGTGGATAATATTTATATGCATTACTTTATTTATATGTATTTATATGCATTACCTTAAATATTTGTGCATTTTGGATATAAATGTTTGGAAATATGATCAAATCCCCAGCTGAATTTCAATGAATGAGTTAGTTTAAAACATCCAAATGAAAGGAAAAACAATTCTGATGAAACCTTCACTTGAAACAGTTAAATCCACAAAGAACTTTAAAGTTCAGAACTCTGATTTGACAAGGAATCCATGTAACCAGAAAGATTCTCATGTATGTTCTCAAAGGAATCTCTCCATCAGAAATGGTTGGTCCTAAATGATCTCAAGGGCATGTTATAATTCTTGAAACAGTCACAGACGCTATCCCTCACCCCCCAACAAAATTAAGGACAATTACAGTACAATTAGGAAAAAAAAAATCATTAAAGACATGAAATTTTATGAGAATCGAGTAGAATTTATCTAGAATATTAAGGACTCCTTCAAGCACTTACCCTAGTTTGGGATTCACAGCAATTGCAGCTGGCTGATCCAGATAAGACATAATCAGCCACTTTCGGTACCTCCCATCAAGTTCGGCCACCTCGATGCGTCGATTCTTGGCATCTGACCAGTAAATATGCCTGAATTCAGAAGGACAAAGTTAAATGACTGAGAAGTCTAGACTAGTCATTTCTGGGGAAGAGGTCTGAGGATGACAGCATTTTGTTTGAAAGCTCTGGCTGGTGAGACAGCTACTCAGATACCTGTCTTTGGAGCATGGGCCCCTCTCTGTTATGCCCCAATCTCTACTGCCCTCAAAGGGAGATCTTTAGCAGGTTACACTTGGAAAAGTCAGGGATGGAGGAACTCCTGCCCAGGCAGCCAAAACAGCTGAGTCAGCCAGAACCAGTGAAGGTGGCAGACAGAGCAGCGAGACTGGCTCACATCTAGCACGACTGAGACATCTGCTTCTGCACTATGGCTGGTTCTTTAATTCTGACTATCCCAGAGTCTATTTCCTCCTCAGCAAACAGCCCCCACTGGAATCAGTAGGAATCTGGCATCGGCTGATAAAGAGGTAAAACTTCAAACAAGAAGACAGATCTGCCATTGCTTGGTTGCCTTTCAGAAGGAAGCATTAATGTCTGGAGTTCCCATTTCCTGACTCCACTAACAGTTGTCTGAGGCCCTGTTTCCTGACAGAAAATGCTGAAATGAGCTCCTGTTAGCCAGCAGGTGCAGTGGGAGCCAGTTAACTTCTTCAGAGACACTCAAGTCTTCTAGGAACACCAGACAAGTTTGTTAAAAGGTGAAAATGAGCTGACACTGCAAATAAATCTCCATTCCCCAGGAGGGTCCCTGTGCCTTCCTTCTCAAATATTTTTCCATTATTAGTTCATTTGCAAGGAATCACTTCCCACCAATGTCAGTCCAGTACAAAGCTTGTCCTTGAAAGAGGAGCTTAATAACTTTTCCTCATTAGTCTGCCTCTCATGCACCTACCTGATGATGACCCTACGTAAGGTTCTTACTTAGGGATCATCCAAAATGTGTGGGTTCCAGAAGGTCTGGAAGAACAGAACAGAGCTGACACCTCTAATAATTCAACCCCAGAGACTAAGAGGAAAGTAAATTTTCAACTTATTCAAACTATATAGCCAGCTAAAAACACAAGATGTGGATTGTTCCTCCCCAAAATCATTACCATAGAGAAAAATGTTTCATCTAGACTGCTTTGCTGGGAGAATTGTGAGGCTGTCCCATGTCTTCACAAAATGAACAGTGCTGGCACATTGAAAGTTAATTTTGGAATACAAAACCCTGTTGGCAAGAATCCTCTCCTAGACATAATAGGGAAACTTGACCTGGGTGCTTTCCTAACTTTTCCTTGGCATGCATAGAATACAGGAAATGATAGTGTCTCCATGACACACTGGGATAAGTGGAGATGGCTGCTGGGGCCAGAGCCAGCCTAGGCATTGCCCAGTGGCTGAGTTAGCCACATCTGAGACCAGCTTAACTCATGGCCCATGCCAAGCAGTTTGAGAACTCTAGCCAGGAAAACGGAATAGGCAAGAGAGGAACGTGCCGCAAATTTACCTTCCAACCCAGTCCACAGCTAATCCATCTGGCTGCATTACATATTTCAGTTTCAGGTCCACTTCCTGCACGAGATTGTTGCTGCCAGATTCGAAGTTGGGGATGTAGGCACGCTTGATAGCACCAAACTGAGAGTCCTGCCCTCGCACGGAGTAGTACACAACACCTACGAGGGAAGACACTCAGGTCAGTTTCATGTTAAGAGCATCAGGTAATGGGGAAACTGGAGTCTCATCGGGTGAGATACTATTCATTTGCTAACATCTCTCTCTCCTCATTGAAGGAGTGTGGACCTCAGGCATTTTAAAAGCACAGGAAGACTGACTCTGAAGGCATTTATTGGGAATTTGCTGCTTTCTTAGGTAAACACTATTCTCAAAGAGTTTATTGTATGGCATGAATAAGTGTGAAAATACAATAATAAATCCTACATTGACATAGTTATTGACAGTTTGTAAAGCCTCGCACATCTATTATTTCATTCAATCTTGAGAAAAACTTTCAGAGGTAGGCAGACCGAATAAGATTATAACTCCTATTTTACAGATGAAAAATTGAGATTCAGAGAATTGTTATAATTATTTAAGCTCATAAAGCTAGTAGATGAGGGAGGCAGGAATAGAAGACAAGTTTATAGGTAGGGAAGACAAGGTTTCTGACTCCTACCACACCACATAGAGCCACAAGAGACTCAACAATAAGCATTATTCATTTTTTCCTTCATTCAACTAATTTTGTGATCACATACCACGTATACTGTACTAGATGTTGGTTCAGGTGCTAGACATGTAGAGGTGATTAGATTCAGTCTCTGTCTCTCAAAAGGATATGGTTAGCAGGTAGGGAGAAAAAAAAATGTGGGCAACTAGCTATATAACTCAATGTCACGTGTGTTTTAGTAAAAGCATGTATAAAATGCTACAGGGTCAGGGGTGAGCGATCATGGAACTCTGCCTGGAGGAATTATAGAAGCTGTCTCAGAGGAGGTGACATTTGAACTGGCTCTTTGAAATCTAAGTAGAAATTTTCCAAGTATACAACAGGAGGGAAGAACAGGATCTACATGAGCAAAGACAAGGACAGGTGAGGTAGTCCACAAAGGACAATCCCCTGAAATGGGAGGAGGTTTGGAGAGAAGACAGGAAAGATTGGCTAGGACCCACAGGCATGCTAATGTGTAAGGAGCATTCTAGAGAGAAGGAAATTCCTCTTCCACTCTTGCAACAAAATTCATGCATTAAAAATTAAATTCTTCAAAATCCAACACCTTAAAATTCCAGAAAGTCATTTCATGTCAGTGAAAGATGCCAACGTGTATACTCACTGAGGCCTATGCCCTCAGGATCCCAGTCGTAATCAACAGCCTCAATAGAGTCCTCGTCTTGAAGATATTCTGAGAACCTCTCAGAGGAGAGATTGTATTTCCGAATTCGAACGTTGTCAGGCAGGAGCAACAAAGGAGGGTCACCTATAAACAAAAGAGGGGCTACTTTACCTGTTTGAATTCTACATGAACTTTTTGTGTATACCGTAGGATATAAAATGCACAGCAAGTACCTGCCCCCTTTAAAAAAAAACATGAGTTTTTACAGGAACCTGCCTCTGTTAATCATTGCTGACTATCCTACTGGGTTGCAATATCCATGACTTAACAATCTTGTCACCATTTCAAGTGGAAAACTGACATTTCTCTGAGGGATATTTTCAGTTCTTTATTCTTTGTCTTCAGTGGTGGTTTAGAGCAAAGGAAGACTGAGACCCCTAAGTAGAGTCCTCATTTTTACTCAATTTTTTTCTTTATTCACTGACATTAAAACAGACAACAACGTAGACATTCAGTCTTACAGAAGAAATACAATATTCATAGCCTTATTAACAGTTTACCAGGAATGTCTCAGTCCTCACTGTTTACTGGCAGATTTTATGATTCTTTTAGCAGGCAATCAGCACCATGACCCAGTTGATCTTCTAGTTAGTGACAAAGAAACCCAGCTTGTTCTTGATTTTTTGTTTAACCTAAAGCAGCTATTTCAAGTGGTGACTCATGCAAAATATATTATCTAGAATTTTTTGAATTTACTTGCATAATGTCAATCAAATCCAATTTAAGTAACCTGCAAAGTTCATTTTACATATTTCCTCTATCTTGACATTATGTTTCATATGACTATTTTAATTTATTTCAGTTGACTGCTTAGAGGTAAAAGATTTAAACATTTTTTAATTAGCTGCTTAACTACCATACCAACTGTTCAACTTCCTTCACCCTAGTTTTCACTCACTGTCAACAATGTTTGGAGGATAAAATATTTTAAGTATGTTAGTCAAACGTATGCTTTAAGCCCAATTTGTATGAAGAAACCAAATGGCTATTTTGTCCATTTACCTGTAATTTACAAAATAAGATGCTATTTCCTTATCAAGTCTCTTAAAATCTAGTCCGAACTTCAAATTCAAAATAAAGACCTAGACCCCTTAACTAGGATATGATGATTTATAATAGACCTCTGAAATTTTGAGTATAATATTTATGACTTATGTTCTTTCTCTTTTGTCATTTCTATTTAGTCCTTATTACTGCTTTTTATCAGGCCTGATTATCAGATACTGGCATAACCTAAAATGTAAAACTAATGATTGAAGTCATAAACGCACAAGACTCCTTTCTGTGTGTGATCACTAGCCCATGAAAACTAAAAAGGGGTATGTCAGCAGAGTGTCCTTGATTTGACCCGATGCAGTGTGACTGTTTTTTGTGAGCCATCATGGACTACAGGGCTCAAACCTTGATCTCAGTGAAGTGGGAGCTAGAGGGCCTCATAAATTTCCCCTGCTAATGATGACTATCAAGCAGGGAAGCTTTTGTTGTTTGAACCTTCTGGAGGGTGACATCTTGTCCATTTTTTGAAGTTTTCATCAATGTGGATGAGAGGGTAAATCCAGAATAGTAAGTAACATCTGACTCTTGTTTTAATTCCTACATACCTGTTGGGAGACATGGCCATTGTTTTAAGCTGGCAGGGGAGGAGAGAGGAGACTGAATAGGTGTTCAAAGAGAAGTAGCCGCCAATGAGTTAAAAATAAGACTCTGAGAGTGTAAGGCTTATTTCCTCATATTCCTGAAAGTCAATTAATCCCGATATAAACCCATCATACCTTCAGCTGCACATCGTTTTCCATATTTGTCCCCCACAGACCGGAAGCCGTCAGCGCAGACACACTCATAACTTCCTTTGGTATTTTTGCAGTTCTGGGAACAAGTCCCATATTGCTCACATTCATTGATGTCTGTAGGCAAAATAAAACTAAATATGCAACATCTGCTCCCATCATTCCTTAGAGAACCTGCTTCTGTTTAAATTCATATTCACAAGCAATAACGACTGAGAAGAGTGCAGTTGAAAATAAGCAAGGATACTAACATGTGCGGTACCAATACTTACTAAGTTTCGGATGTTTTTCACATGCTTTCCGTGTTTTTTCCCTCATCTAATCTTCCCAAAAAAACTCGTAAGAGGTAAAGACTATTATTAAACCCAGTGTCTCAAAGCTGGTAAGCAATGGAGACAGGATTTAGACTGAAGCATTAGCACTCTGTGCAACAGCAGGGGAAACTCGCCCTTTCGGAATGCATCTGCTGTGATGTTGTTTGGTACCACGTCCCTTCTGCTACCTGATCTCAGAAAGAAGACTCATCGATTTGGTTTTCCAATTAGGTTCTTATGATTCCGCTCCCAAATGAACTCTTTTTTTTTTTTTGGAGACAGAATCTCACTCTGTTGCCCTGGCTAGAGTGCCATGGCGTCAGCCTAGCTCACAGCAACCGCAAAGTCCTGGGCTCAAGCAATCCTTCTGCCTCAGCCTCCCAAGTAGCTGGGACTATAGGGATTTGCCACCATACCTGGCTAATTTTCCTATATGTTTTTAGTTGGCCAATTAATTTCTTTCTATGTTTAGTAGAGACAGGGTCTTGCTCTTGCTCAGGCTGGTTTTGAACTCCTGACCTCGAGCAATCTGACTGCCTCAGCCTCCCAGAGTGCTAAGATTACAGGCGTGAGCCACTGCGCCTGGTCCAAACAAACTCTTATAATCATCTGAGTACAACACATCATGACTTAGAAACAATAAATTCAAAAAATAAAAGATAATTAAAATTATACTCATTGCTTACAATCTTGATAAGCTACTTTCTGACTTCATGCTTTAGAACTCATTTATGTCTGGCATAAGTAGGTGTTGTTTGGCTTAAGATTTTGTTTTGTGAAAAACTTCAATCTCACGCACTGGTACAATAAGCAGCCATCGTTACTGAGGCCTTCATCATTCACATCAATTCCACAGACATTACTGAACACACACTATCTTCCAAGCACTTTGCCAGGCACCGGTAAGAGCATGTATGCAGAGGAAAACAAACGCAATTGGCATTCCGGAGTAGTTTAATGACCTAAAATCCTGAGTGTAGCCCCATTAAGGGAATTAAATAGTGATATATTATTTAATAAAAGGGAATGGGTGAAGAACCTAAATAGTAACAGGTTCTCCTAATAGGAATTGGAGGAAATATACTCTACCTCGACAGGCATTTGCGTCGAATAGCTCAGCTTTGAACCCAGCTCTGCAGGAACAGATAAATCCTCCTTCACTTAATTGGGTACAATTTTGTTCACATATATGTTCAGCACATGTTCTATCTTTTCCTAGATCTGAAAAATACAATCTCAGCATTACAAACCAGATCAGCCACAAATGAACAATCAAGTGGTACATCAAAAGGAACACCTGCCCATGACCAACTATAGGACATCTTGAGATGACCCCTCTCCATAAGCCTTTGAGAGGCTAGGGCACATCTAGATTCCGATTTCTGGTAATGGGCTAAATGCCATTTACACAAATGTATGTGACGTTAAGCCCTTGAGCCAATTTTCCCATTATATATAGCAATGACAGGCTCACCTTCAGAGCCATCCTATGGATTCTGGAACTATGAAGCCAGACCCTCTACAGCTATTATCAGCTGCTCTACTATTGACAAACAGACACATGTATAAATAAAAGACTGGCACAGGTTAGAACAAAGTTATAAATAGGAGGAAATTATAAGGTTATAAGAAGACTATAATTTGTCTAACATTGACCAAGTGAATATATGTATGTAAGTCAAGCGTTGGCCATGGTGCAGTAAAATGCATAGAGTCCTAAGTCATTTTGTAATATGAATGTTGTGTATTTTCATACACATTTTGTAATATGAATGTGTGTATCAAGGGCTTTAAAAATATTCATATTTTTTATTCATATTCATTCCATGTTAATGAATTTTCCCTCAGGAAGGAATAAAAATTATACACTACGATTTATGTTTAAGGATTATGACATTATTGAGAATAAGACAATTTTGAAAACAACTTGACTGTACATTTAATAATGGGGAATCAATCATATTATAGTACATTTTATCAAATCTAAGACACCACAGATGCACCATTATTTTATGTAACACTAAAATAGAAACGTTCAGAACTCACATTATGACAATTATCAATTATAAGATGCACTTTGGTTTCAGAGATGTTAAAATGTGAAAATATACATCTTAGAAGCAATGAATGATTAACTACATGAGGGATTGCTATGTGATCATTCAAATTCATGATTTCAAATGATACTTTGACATGGGAAATATCTATAATAAAAGGAAGAAAAAGGTTGAAAAACTTTCCATTTAGTATAAAATATTTCTTGTATTTTTTTAAATACTAAGAAATATTTTTTTATACTTCCATATGCAAAAAAGACAGCAAAAATACCCCAAACTTACTTTTGTCTCAGTTATGGGATTCAAATGATCTTTACTTTCAAGTACTCAAAAAAATCAACCAATAGTTTATTTTTGTAAGCCTCATATGAATAGTCCTTGTTATCCCTGTTATTCTTTGGCTCCAGATGTTCCAAGGTAGACTTTTAACAGCTCAGATGCTACCCTAACACTTCATTGCTCATCAATGCCCCATGATCTTGTCTCTGCCAGTATCTATCCAAGCCACCTGGCTTTCGTTCTTGTCATTCTTATCAGTTTGCTTCCTTTATCCTCAGTTTCCATCTACCCCTAAACCGAGGTCTTACAGCGAAGCTGATGAAGATGAACATATATTAATAGACAGTGAGTGATCAAGGGGAGGGAGGTGAGAAGTGGTTACCTCCAACAAGTACTACAGCTTCATCTGCCTCTCAAATGAAATGTCTCTTGGTCACAGGCTTCTGAATATTTTAGCTGAAGAGACTGTGGTATTTCCCAGTTCGATTCTTCCAAATCAAAATAGATTTATATCTACCTATGTTCTATACCAGTGGTTCCCAAACTTTTTGGCACCAGGACTGGTTTCATGGAAGACAGTTTTTCTATGGATCAGAGTGGGGGCGTGGGGGTTGGAGCTCAGGCAGTGATATGCGGCCGGGTTCCTAACAGGCCACAGATCAGTACTGGGCTGCAGCCCAGGGTGGGGCTCAGAGACCACAATTCTATACAAGGTGAACTTAATCACTTCTCAGAGTCCCTTAGGGTACCATGACTATATCAGCAATGTGGTTTAAACAGACTAAAAATATTGAGTTTAAAGAAGAAAAATAACCACAAAATAAGCACAATGACATTCAGTGGAATGCTTCCCTTGGAGTAGACTTCAAAATTATACATGTGAAAGCTTCATAATAAATAAGTCTATTAAAATTTTCTATTTCTTCTTGAGCCGGTTTCTGTGTTTTGTCTTTCCAAAAATTTGTCCACTTAATGTAAATTGTCTAACTTATTGCCATAAAGATTTTCATAGTATTCTCTATTACCTTTTAAATTTTTATAAGGTTGGTAGTGATATCATCTCTACATTGCTAAATAAATGTGACCTATTTTTATTAACTTGACATCCGCGAGCCAGCCACATAACTTCTCTGGGTCTCATGCACAAAATTAGACTTGGTAATCTCCCAGCTGTGAAATCTACAATGGGATTAGGGGTCCCAGGAAGCAAAAACTTCTGGACCAAGTGCTCCCTTGAATGAGTTATAATCTTGTGAAGCAAAATTCCTTAACAAGAGTGGAAACTACATAACATTGTGGGATTCTTCCTCAAATTTCAGGAATTTCTTGTAACATTTTCATTTGAAAAGGACCACCATTTTAATCCATATAACAACTGATTTCCCCAAGCCCAGACATAAGACACTGTTTATAAAAGAAACACTCTATTTTCCATTTTATGAAGAAGGAATAAGAACTACTAGACAGAGAAACAGCACATATATAATATTTGAGATTTGCTTGTCTTTTTATCAGAATGATGTGAGAAAAATGTTAATGTCATTCTATTCCTGGAAATTTGCTAAAAGAATAGATTCTAGGTGCTCTTACCACAAATAAAATAAAAATAAAAGGTAACTATGTGAGAGTAAGGATATGTTAACATTTGCTTGATTATAGTAAGACTTCACTATGTACATCAAAACATCAGGCTGTACACCTTAAATTTAAAAAAATCAAACATGTCCCAAACCTCACAGTGATCCTTTTGGAGAAGTAGAGGAAGAGGAAGGAAGAGGAGGAAGGAGGAAAGAAAATGAAGGGCTAATACATTAGCAGCACCCAAGAACCAGTATTTTAAATAAGAATCTTATGCCTCAAATTATTAGCCCACATTCTTTGCTAAAACTGGGTTTAAAAAGAAAAAAATTGTTAGCCCACAGTATCCACTTAATACCTGAAAAGATAAGCTACTTCCATACCCAAAGTAATGTCTGTGCTACTTATTTCCTTTAAATAAACCTTTCTGCCATTTGAATAGAAAGTATTGTAGTTGATTTTAAGCCTTTTAACTGCCACAGGCAACTAAAAGACAAACCACTGTTTGACCCAATTCCAACCTGGAAATACTCCAAACTCCTGGAACCTTTCACGTATCAGTCTCTGTGTGTGCAGCTTTGCAAATGCTATCATGTTCATGCTTCAAAAATATGTAATTAAGTCACTTCATTCTGTCAATAACTCTAAGCCCCACTGAGAAGGTATATAAAATAAATGGCAAACCAACTCAGCATGGCTGGTTATTCACACCCCTTTGTAACTCACAAAGGAGAAAAGTTGACAGAAAATCCTTTGGCTGCCTCAGAAAAAATTGATTAAAGTCCAACAAGTTGAAAGCACATGGAGCCAATTAAGATGACTAAGTCAAAGGTTTCTAGAGTTTGAAGAACTCCCTCCTTTTTCCTGTGAAAACAAAGCCTGGAGAGGTCACCAGTGGCACAGCTAGTGGCAGAGGGACTAGTGACCAGCTCTCCTGGCCTGGACTCACATGACTGTTCAAGTTCTGCCTCTGCCATTCTGGGTGACCTGAAGCAAGTCACTTAAGCTCCCTGAGCTTTATTTTATAGATAGGCAAAATCATCAACCCAGTGGGGCTAACTTGGGTAACACAATAGGTAATATATTTGAAAGCACTTCATGAGCCATAAATAAACTACAAAAGCCTGAGTTATTAACATGTCATTCCAACATTTCCCATCAAAATATTGAGCTGGAACCATCCCTTGGTCATGTTCATTATCCTTTTCCTACACAAGGTATTCCTTCTACTTTAAAAATAAAAATAAACGTTCCTTCTAAGGTCCCCTGTGGCATTTCCATCTTGATCAACTACCCTCAGAAGATTTTCCAAGTGCCAAGGATACTGCATTTGGCTTAAGATTAAAAAAATGTACAGGTTAGTAATATAGGTAGCTTTAATGAACTATGAGGCACCTGGTGAACTGGGACGAGGGTGTGCTCTACAGTTAGGCAGACCAGATTTCAAATCCTAACTCTACCTCTTAAAGACATTAAGCCTTGGTCAATTTATTGAACCTTTCAGTCAGTTTCCTCATTTATATATTTTAAAGAGATAATAATGAACCTAACTCATATGATTGTTACAAAGATGAAGTGAGATAACACACATAGAATTTCTGGCACAATGTCTGTTATAGAATAAATGCTCAATCACAGGTACTTATAGGCTTGACTGAAATTCAGAGCACAAAGCAAATTAAAGAGAAATATGTTTATTATCTACTTTACATTATTTAATGCTTTAATTAGATAAACCTGAGTTACTAAAATGAAGTATAAAAATAGGTGTTTACTTACTGCAACCCATTTCATCAGAAAAGTCACCACAGTCATTGATATCATCACATACACTGTCCTTTGGAATGCAACGCTCATTTTCACACTTAAATTCATCTTCTATACAAGGCTTAGGGGTTGGCTTTCTACCTGTAATTTAAAAACAAGATAACGTCAAAACTTTTTCTTCTATGAAACAAAATGCTTTCCTCTGTGACAGAGACAGTTATTGCTTACCAAATAAACAAGTGTTTCCCAACATTTCCCTGTCTCCCTTGCAGCTGGGTTAGGACCATGTGATTAGTTCTAGCCAATGGGCTGCTGAGTTGGACGTGACATTACAGGGCTGAAACAATCAATGCCCATGTACCTCATCCATGTCTCTGACATTGCCACAGTAACCTTGGAGGCCATGTGCTTCAGGTGGCATAGCTACAAGATAGAGGAGGATTATGCAACCTGTGTTGCCTTTATATGAGTGAGAAATAAGTCTTTGTTATGTCACACCACTGAGACTTTGGGATTTATTGATTGCAGGAGCTAGTATTAATTACTATGAATAATACACAAGGAAAAACATCCCAAAGGGTAGAGTAAGAGACAATGAGCGACATTTGGACACAGGTGCTCCTCCAGAGCAGAATCATGACCTGATCAATAAATTTCCTCCACTCTCCATAGTAGGGGCCTTCACAATGTCTGCACAGGGTGACTATATAATTTATCTCCAACCCAGTATGCTTTTGAAAGTGAAGGCGATCACAGTAAGCAAACTGCAATATCTCAATGGCTTAAAACAGCAAAGGTTTCTTCCTCACTCAGGTGAGGTATGATGGAGGTCAAGCAGCCATCCTCCATCCTCCATCCTAAGATTATGCCATCATAATCTTATTTTAGTATTAACTATTCCATCAGGACAACAAGCATAAACCAGGACTTTCCTACACAAATATATGTCATCCTAGCCCAGTGGTACTTCAGAATTGTTACAGACTGGTGACTGTGATATGTCTCTAATTCTTTCTTTCCATTGGGAGTGTTTATTTCTATTGTGTTGTCCCTGTTCTACCACTGTCTATTGGGAGCAGGTGGCACAGATATAACTAGTCTATTAGTTTACAGATATCCGAACCAAGAGAAACCATATCTAGAATTAATGGAATGGCTACTGCCCATCACACAAAGGTCCTGGATTGAAGATACTGAATGGGACTTTTGAGCTACATCCCTAAAGGAGGGGCTAGGGGTGTTCTGTGTGTGAGAAAAAAGCATAAAGGGCTATTTAGTGACACAAGGGTATAGTGTGGTAGCAAGAATTGGTGCTCACTGAATATCCAGGCACTTCCCTATATTTCCCAGTCTCCCTTGCAGTTAGATTGGGACCATGTGACTTGTTCCCACCAATGGACTGTGAGAAGAAGCCATATCTGTCAATTCCCGGCCCAGGAAGCTAGAACTTTGGTGCTTCCACCATTCCTCTCCTCCAATCTTGGCAATCTTGAAGATAAAGTGTCTATGATGGCATAATCTTAGGATGGAGGATAGAGGGAGGCTGCTTGACCTCCATCATACTTCACATGAGTAGGGAAGAAACCTTTGCTGTTTTAAGCCATTGAAATGTTGCAGTTTGCTTACTGTGATGGTGGGCAGCAGGTCCTCTAACTAAAACCTTGTTCCCTGAAAGACTAAAAGTTTACTGCTCCTTTTTTCCACTCTGAGATTTGAGCATGTGCTATAAATGCCTTGCTCCGAAAAAAAAAGGGCACTATTAGTAGGGGTAAAGGAAAGACAACCGGTGAGGGGAAAACCTGCTCAAATTTTTTAAAAATGTTATTTCTGGGTTTTCATCCTTTTGTGCTATACCTCAAATAAGCATATTAACAAAGCTATGTCCACAGATTCATCTCTACCAATAATAATAATAACAGTAATAATAATCGGGTATAAACTTGAACGCTGCCGTAGTGTCAATGTCCTCCCTGACACAGTCCCCTGTGGGATGGGAGCTGGAAGTGAACATTCTGAGGAACAGCATTCTAAGGCCACATCAATACAAGGGATGGACGATGGAAAGATTAGGCCATTTATCAATAAATTTTCCAAGATGGTGTCTTTTTGGGGGGGGGGGAAGTAATTGCAGGCAAGGGAAATAAATTTCCTCACTGACGTTTTTCTAGGCAAATTAAATTGCCCAGAATATTGATCAACTCTTCCCTTGAATAGATAGACTTTAAAATATTCTCAACATCCAGGAAAAGCACAGATATTTTAATACCTAAAATATTAAATGCAGCCAGTTTTAAATTTCTATCTTAAACTAATTTACTATTTTTCTCTTCTGGGAAATAAACTTTCATTTTCAAGAAGGATATTTAGATAAGCTCTGTTAACACCACTGCTGTCCTACCCAACATGATTTTTGCAGCTGGGCATTGAGCAGGAATATTCATTCACATGCCTAGATAAGCAATTAGTAAGTCTAGGATGAATAATGACCAAACCTCATCTTTGAAAATAAATCATTAATTTGGCAAGTGTGACTCAACCAGTATTAAGTGTTTGTTCTCATTTTCCTATGAAAAGAATGGGAAAAAGCTCAGTAAATGTTTGGACAAAGACTGAAAAAGTAAGGGATGTGCCAACATCTTCACACAAATAGGATAGGAAGAAGTGGGTGGGGTTGTATCTGTGTAGTGCATGTGTTTGTATGGTCATGTAAACAGTTACGTCAGCAGAGATCTGCAGCCTAGGTCCAAAGCAAGCCTCTGTAGAACAAACTGAAATCCCAGCGGTACATTCTGCAAACTGCAGATAATTTGGGGCCCTTCATTTTTCCGTCTCCCTTTTGACTTTTGCTTACACTTCTCCTCTTTCTCATCAGTTCCATCTCCACAGTCATCGAAACCGTTGCACACCTCATGGCTATAAATGCAGCGACTGTTGTCACACCGGAAACGGCCTGGTGATTCACAGTGAACACTCGCTGAAAGGAAAGACAGAAAAATGAAATTAGAAATTAAGAGTAGAATACAAAGTGTCAATATTGGAAACACTCCCATGCCACCACCAGGCTTGCTTCATTCATTCATTCATTCATTTACTCATTTGATTGATCAATCCACAGATACATCTTGAGTATGTCGTACACAACGTTGCACTGTGGTAGGTACTAGATACGATGGGAAACAAGAAAGTTCCTTGTCCTCGTGGAACTTTCATTCTAGCAGAGAAACAGACTTTACAAATTAACTTTAAAAATTTATAGCGGTGAAGCATCTACTGGTTAGATCTGATATAGATCAGGAGAGGAAGGTTTGGAAAAGGCTTGCTATGGATTCTGAGGCAGAAAGGAGTGGGGCAGGTTTCTGGACCACACTGTGGCTGCAGTGAGGAGGGCAATGGGCTCCATGAGGCTAGAGAGGCTGGCAGGACTGTACATGGGCTCTTCGGTTGATTAGGAGGAAACACCAGATCCAAGCGCTGGTTCTTAGAATATTGTTACTACAACTACTGCAAAAATTATTTGCTATGACAGCCCAGTACAACATGATAAAACAGTGTTGGTGATTTCATAACAAGTTTATTTTTACTAGCTATGGGCATTTTATCTTATGGAGAGAAGCAACTTCCTAATTACTTCTTTGAAAGTTAAATATGCCTAAGATATTTTTCAGGATTCATTAAGTTAAAAACAAAACAACAAGGCTAGTTCCTAACAAGTAAAGAGGTAGAAAGAAAAATGTTGGGATGCCACTGTGAATATATAATGTGCACTAATTCAGGTTCTCTGGGAAGGAAGGGAAATGCTCTGACATGTCATTTTCATGAGTCAAGTCTCTGGGCTAAAAATAAATAGCGATGAATCTAGGAAAGGGAATGCAAAAGGCAATGTGAACTTCAGAAGCAAGTCAGACTGCAAGCTTTCAGCAGAAATGTTTCCAGAGGCCCCTTCTCCTGTGTTGAAGGCTTATACAAAATATTTAAGCCTCAGTTTGTATCAGAATCAAGGGCTCATTAATGCATAGATTGAGGGGCCCAACTGGGTCGGTCTGGGTGGGTCAGGGGTGTGGCGCATGAATTTACATTTCTTACATGTTCCCAAAGGACACCAGTATTCCTAGTTGAATGAGAACTATTGCCCCAGAGTTTCTCCAGTGACTCAAAGCATACAGCAAAATGATTGAAACAAACTTTATTTTCTTTCACTTTATTAAAATCAGTAGTCTTGACCAGGGGACTAAACTAAAAAGCTAAAGAGCTTTTTAAAAATACATAGGCACAGGCCCCATCCTTGGAGACTCTGCTTCTTTAAGTCTAACCGCCAGGTGAGGCCAGGGCATGTGATTTTGAGACACTCCTCCATCACTGATTCTGATATGTACCCAAATTGAGATTCACTGGCTTAAAAAATAAATATGCATCATTCAACAAGAGGGAGTTAGATGGCTTTACATTATAATGTTAAAGAGAAGTGACTTCAAAGATTAAGTCAGTCTTAAAATTTTCTGACAGTGTTCCAGGAAGCTCTAGGGGTTTGGACAGGAGACTTCAAGGGATACCAAAAGTAGGATGGAGCAGGGACAGGTACAACCTCCCCCATACTCCTCCTTGGACTTCAAGACCTGCACCTATTTATGCACACTGGGATTCCAAGTATGATTTCCCTAGAATAAATTGTTTTCTAAAGGTATAAAATATTTAAAACCATGGCAGTTTGCCCAACCTTCTCAAGTTACAGAGAAAGAACTGAAGCAGGAAGGCCAAGTGAAACCCCAACAATGCTGATCAAGTGTCCAGTACTCAGAAATTATACAACTGCCCCCCCCCCCAGGATTACATGCTATATGTAAAAAACATTGAGACTTTGCCAGACAACACACTCCCATTCACTGCATTTCTCTGCCTCTTACCGCACAGATGAAGTTCTTCATCAGAACCATCGCCACAATCGTCGTCGCCATCACATTTCCAATACGGGTGGATGCAGACATGGTTTTTACATTCAAACATGGTAGCCTGGCAGTATGCACCATTGGGAAAGCGAGTGGCTGTCGTGGGGGAAGAGACACATTCAAATTATTGTACAAATTGACTAATGTTGGAAAGCTTTCTGACTATTTCTCCTTTGGCTCTTGCCATTACAGCCTGCTCTTCCTTATTCATCAGGATGTACTGTGGCCTTAACCTGCCTGAGGGTCTGATGGACTATGTCGTAAGAACGGTCATCCAGGCTCAGCTTTTCAGTGACATGAATCATCCCATGGACAGTACTGGACTTTGCCTCTGCAAGCAAGTGCAACTCCTCAGCTGTGGTAGGACTGATTTTATCCACACACATTTATGGAGTCTCTTTGAAACCAGGTTTTAAGACATGGCAACCACAGCATCAACAATAATCATCATGGATAATCATCAAGAGGTAATGTTTTTTCAGTGATTCATAAAGACTTCAAAATTTGAGTGATTGAATTACCTTTACATTTTTAATAATTTTGGTATTCCATCGTGTGATTCTGAAAATTTTTAAAGCCGTAAATTCAATATGTTCTAATATCCAACACAAGTTCTTTATACTAGCTTATACATGGCTTGAATATTCTTTTTTTTACCTGAAATGTTTTTTATCCAATTAATGATTTGTATATTAGCTGATGATATATAAATACTTTGTTACCTTGGACTACTTAATATATTCTCTGTTTAAAATACCGTTAATGAAATGTACTTGGATGGCCATTATGAAATATATCGATGTGGTGACTCAGCCCCCAGGTGAACTGATAATTATCAACAGGTGCCAAACCGAAAATACTTATGGCCCTTTAATCTGACTGGTGTCTGAATGACCATATCCATACTTTCAGGTAAGCAGCAGTACGGGTGCCTAAGGGACTTACGACAATTAGCTTCATCAGAGGCATCGAGGCAGTCAGCAGTCCCATCACATTTGAATTGGTTGGGCACACAATGTCCACTCGTACACTGAAAATATTCAGGATGGCAGGTCCTCAACTCTGAAGAGAAAAGACTGTCATTCTTGGAAGGCTTTGACATTTTCAGACAGGTATTGGATACCTGGAGTACAGTGAGTGGCCCACCACATTCCTATCTGTGCCCTCTGGCTGGCTGACAGCTTGTGGTTAGCAAATACACAGACTCCCAAAACTCACACTTTCCCCACTGAACACATGGAGATGGGAATACCTGTCTCCCCTTTAGTAAATAATATCCAGCTCTTAAGCTTTTCCTCAGAAACCAGAATTCTGCAATTTTTAATGTTTCCTGATTTTCCTAAGACCCAACACTTAATCTGTAAGGAGCTATAAAAATTACTTGGGGTTTAGGATTCCTATCCCAGTGCTCGGATCTCTACCCTAGGGAGCTATGGTAGTGTTATTCCTTAGGGTGGCTTTCTGTGGAATGGCAGGAAGATCAACGTCTTTATTTGTATACAAGTCCAATGCAAATTAAAGTCTGATGCTAAGAAATGTTGGAATTAAAATCAGATTTTTAAAAATTCCTCACTATTTTCCCCTATTTATATGATTGATCTAGAATTGCTATGAGTCAAGAATAAAGCATAGAAGTTTCTGTGTTATGTGAAGGCTATATATTATAAAAATTACATGAATACAATTTTACTATAAAGAAGTCCCCATTCAGTCACAGTACAAGATTCTACGGTAAGCTTCTCAAAAAACTCTGACAGTTACCACAGTCCCGCTCATCTGAGTTGTCCCCACAGTCGTTGTTATGGTCACAGAGCCATCGAGAGGGAATGCATTCATGATTGGTACATTGAAACTCGCTCTCCGTGCACTGCCGGGGGACTAGAAAAGAAAAACACCAGGCCATCAGTGTGCACCAGGAACCACACACTGGCGACACCTTACCAGCTGGCCAAAGAGCCCTCAGTGGCCAATGCACTCCTGTGCCCCAAGCCCTAGAGCTGTGCTTGGATAGACCATTCATCCTCCAAAACTAGACCTTCCACCTCACTTTTGAGTCTGTAAAGAATGGCCTTTATTACACGGTTTGTCCAAACGTGATTTGATCTTAAATAAGTTTTTTCTTTTCTTCTTTTTTGCTTCCCTTAAGATAATTCTTGATTTCGTGAAATTCTAGATAATCTCTTATAGGATTCAACATGAACTTTTCCTTATAAAAAATAAAATTCCAATTAGATTACCCTTTTGTATAAGAAGGTCGTAGCTGACTGATATTTGCAGGTATAATCAGCATCCTAATTCTCTCAATTGCCTATAGTAAACGGTTATCACTTCTTACTTCCAAAAAGGTAACTAAACTTAGAATAGATTTCATAGTAATCCATTGGAAATTGACATATATCATGAATCAATGATAAATGCTCAGTGCAGGCCTTCATAAAAGTTGTTTCCAAAACACACCCAATTATTCAGGACTGTCCATCTGGTTTGGTGTGATCCAGACCTTTGGCTTCCTTTCCTCAACCTCCCTGTCCAATGCTTTGTAGTTGGCACCTTCAACTGTGAGAGAGGAACCAAAACCTGTCCTGTCATTTAACCATTAGCCCTCCTAAAACAGTCAGCTAGTCCAGGAAGGATAACCATCCAAACACAAGTTCTCTTTCCTATGCTATTAAGGTCATTTTGGGGAAAGAGCTGAAGAATCAGGGTCTTTGGTCCTGATTTTGTATTTCTATTCTACTTCTCTCACTATATTTGTCCTTGATTGTAAGGCACATCAAGTTCTTTTTGGGAAAAAAAATTGGGTGTAAACAAATTAAATCGATAAAAGATATACTTATGTAATTATTCTCCTCCTCAACCTTGATTTTAAGCATCTGAGATGACTATGCTGTTAGTGGAAGAGAAAGCAGAAATGTACCAACCAGCAGAAAGACTTCAAAGAGCTGTCATCTTGCCCACCAACGATGAATAGCATAGACAGTTGAATGTATATTTATGTACAAACAGCAAACATCACAGCTCTGGTGGCACATGAGGACCATATAACTATGAAAACTCACCACAGCCTTCCTCATCCGAGTTATCTCCACAGTCATTTTGCCCATCACATTTCCAGCGAAGAGGGATGCACTGGTGATTTTTACAACGGAAATCCCCCGAAGGATGGCATGTCACCTCCTCTGCAAAGCACAGTCATTGCAAAGACTTCATAAAGCAGTGGTGAAGAAATGTACTAGCTGGCACTGGCTTTTTTGTGAGATAGTCTGAGAATTATGTCACCACATTTTTGAAGCTCCCAGAGAGAGGAATGCCAGCAAGATTCACTGCCAATATTCCTAACCTATCTTATTGCCTGAAACTAGATTCATTCCCTTTTGTGGAAATTTTTCAAAAAAACGAATTGGTATCTGATTTGTAATTTGCAACAAAGGCCTGGGAAGAGAGGCTAAAATGATGCCACAACAAATAGAACATTTCTATCAGATTGTCTTCAGACGGTTAGACTTGGTGTTATTGAAATAATCCATCTTCTTCCTTGTCTCTCATCCAACTACACCCAACACACACACATTCACATTTTGGTTTTAATTAGAGTACATGCCTAATCTACACAAATTCCATATTTGGCCTTTTGTCCCTAAAATCTTCCCATGTTGCCAGAGTGACTATAGCTGTCCAATAGATGATATGGAATGTTAGAAAGACATTCAGAATATGAAAATCCCCAAATAACAAATATTCTGATTTAGAAATATCCTTTTTAGAGACAGATACAAAGTCTTTTCTCTACCCACCTTATAACAATTTCAATCAATCTATAAGATTAGACAAACACTTTAAACTTGTCAAGTATGAATAAGAATGTTTGGGAAAAATTACATAAGTTCGTAACATCTTAGTGTCTTCCCCAACTATAGCATCCTTTGGGGTGGGATGTCATTGAAGATGATATAAATTAAATTCCCCCAATAACCCTGCAAAACGCTACAAAAATGTAACGTGTTATTAGAATTATCAAAAGGGTTTTCGTTTTTTTTTTTTTTTTATAGAGGTAAGCAAAGAAAAGACGACATGGGAAAGGAAGTCCACTCTCCTCTCTCATTCAATAAAGACTGCTTGTCGCTCGCCCACCCCGCTGCAGCCCTCCTACCGCAGCCTTGCTCGTCACTGTTGTCCCTGCAGTCATCGACACCATTGCACACGGCAGACTTGGGGACACAACGGTAATTTGTTCGACAGCTGAATTCCGTAATGTTGTTGCAGCGATAGGCAGGGCTCACTGAAAAGTGAGCAAAAAAATGAAAAAAGCAGAAAAGTCAGAACTGAAGGCATCAGAAGGCACCACGGTTTTCATATCTTGTCATATCCAGGATGTGGTGCTGACAAGTAACAATTTCCCTGTTACCAGTTAAATTGACCCTGGCAACATGTGTCTGTTTTAGATGTGATCTGTTTACCACCAGAAACAGAGTCATGGTTTTTGCAGTATAGCTTTGTCGGAGGAGAAAGGACTGGATCTGAAGTAAAAAGCCTGGGCTGAAGTGTTAGTGTTGCCACTAAATAGTAATGGCACCATCCACTTAATGGGAGCCTCAGTTTCCCCATCTTCAAAATGGGAATTGGTTAGTACCCACCACCTTCCCTACCTCACAGTGTTTCTCTGAGGCTCAAATCACAAAGCACTGGATATGTAAAATGTGAGTTCCTGGCATCATATTATGGACAGTTAGACATTTTATGTCTCAGAAGAAGGTGTTTGCCACTTCAGAAACAGGGGCTGGTTAAACCTGCCAGCCATATAGCTACACTTTGCATTGCAGTGCCAGAGTTTGCAGAGAGAAACAAGAGGGACCATCCCATGGGGCTATAGCAGGGGACTCCACGTCCTCTCTCAATCTACATGGAGGTTCTCCATGTCTCCCTACTCCGGTCATGCCATGTCCCTCCCACAAGAACTTACTGCATTCGTGAATGGGCTCATCTGAGTAGTCTCCACAGTCATTATCTACATCACACTTCCAGTCCTGAGGGATACAGTGGCCGTTGGCACATCTGAACTGGCCCGGCTGGCAGGTCCTGCTGGCACAGTGGGAACTGTCTTCATCTGAGTTATCCTCACAGTCGTTCACTGAGTCACACTGCCAGTGTTCTGGGATGCAGCGTTTGTTGGCGCACTGCCATTCATTGGACTGACACTTATGATTCTCTGAAAACAGGGGCATTTGGTTATCAGCTTGGAAGGCGTCAAGAATAGAAGGCTCTAATCTATGCTGATGAATCCTGGAGAACTCGACTGTAATTTTAGAGGACTTCGAACCTAACGTGCTTATTATCAACCAGTACTACTACATGGGTAGTTATTCCTTTGATTATTACTGTCTCCCAAATTCTTAAGTATCTTTTTCTTGCATACAGAATTAAGGGATAAGGACTGAATCCCCTGTTCTGTTAGGTACACCTTGTCCTGTCCCTGTTCCCTTATTGGACCTGGTTTTCAAACTTTGTGTTTTATTGCTGTTGTTGATATATTGTTTTTAGTTTGTAGGGTTTTTAGGGGGGTGGTGCCTTTTTAAATGGAAACATCAATCAATATTATAACTGAGAGTCCTTGTGTAAAATGGGGTTGGGAAACCCTCCCTTCATGCTCAATGTTAGCTCTTAAGGAGGACTCGGTGCCTAGCACGTGGTGAAGAACCACCGATATAGACAACTTATCTACTTCAACCATTTGCCTTGTAAAGACCTTAGGATTTTTAAAACACTTCATAAAAAATAGAGTTAGAGGGGCCTGTGAGTTTTCTCCTAGGACTTTGAACTTGTTTCTGGTTTATGACATTCAGGAAGTCCCCCCACAGAATCATGATTGTACACAATCGAGACAAGTGGGCAAAGGAGGCATAAAGCAATTCAACACACCACAAAGAATAGGGTCTTCATCAGAGCCATCAGGGCAATCTTGGTGAGCATTGCACAGTGTCTGCGGGCTGGTGCAGTTGCGATCCTTGCACTGGAACTGTCCCTGTCGGCAGAAGCGCTGCGGGCAAAGGACCGTTTCATCAGAGCCATCCGAGCAGTCTCTGTGGCCATCACATTTCCACCAGATAGGAATACACCTACACGGAGAAAATACAGCACTTTCTAGCAAAGCATGGGTGGGGAGGTTGGCAGCTGTGTGAGCAAAGTCAACACAGAATTCCAGGTAATGGCATGAGTTCTCTCATGACCCTAGAAGAGGACCAATTCAATCTCAATTACTGTGTTGTATTTTCAGAGAAAACATAATTTGACGAGATAGAATAGGTTTGCTAAGACCCAAATACATACTTAAAATATGTGTTAAGTATGACGATTAAATTCTTTCTACAACAAACAATGGAGTGGGTATTTCGAGCTGTGGTTCTAGAAGCAGTGACTGGTTGAGATTGTCTGCCAGGGTGATATTATCAAGGACATCTGGGTATTGGTTGGGAAACTAGAGGGCACTAACGATTCCTGAGTGCCTGTGTGATGACAGGTGCATGCTAGATTCTTAATCTCAGGTATTTCATCACCACAAGAATCTACCTTGCATCTCAGATGCTATGATCTAGTAATGACTCTCTCCGTCCCACTCTCTGACTCAGTTCCCCCCCGAGTCATCAATGGCCTGTGGACATGGTTAGAGAAATAATCTGTGGCCATGTTTCATAACAAAGACAGATGATCAAAAATAAACTTGAATGTCAAACCCTGGCTCTTCTGCCACAGGTAACCAGGGAGCCAGGCCCATATAGGTGTGGAAAAGACAGTAAAATTCTGTCACTCCTGGGGGCTACTTTTCAGTACACACTTGTATATGCTCTGGTCCTGACACTCGGGACAATTTATTAGAAGGAAGAAATATACAGTTTGCTTCCTCTCTATGGATGCTTGCAAACATAGGCATAACGGTTTAGTTAAAAAATTCCTTCTATTTGTGGAAAGAATTATCTGAAATTGGAGACTGAGAGTCTTAATGTGTTCTACACAAACTGAATTAATGAACTCCAATCCCCTGGAGCCTAGAGATTCAACATCTGTTCAAGGGATAAGAAGGCCTTGGGGAGAAGGAAGAGAGAGCCTCACTTTTGGTTGTCGGCACACAGGAACTGGGTGCTGGAGCACATGGGCAGGCAGTAGGTGCTGCCTCTCAGCGGAAGAGTGTGGAAGTCATCTGGACACTCGCAGGTGAAGCCTTCTCCTCCTGCTTTGATGAGGCAGAGATGAGAACAGCCACCATTGTTGGTACCACACGGATTGACCACTGGGGAAAAAGAAAATATGTGTTCATTTGCTTAAAAGGGGTCTCAAGCACAAATTAGCTGATTACCCACCTTGACATGATGATCATCACCTCTTAGTGAAAAATAAAAATAATTAGACTGGTTTTACGCTTTTCTCAAAAGCTCATAAATAGGACAGATGAGAGAGTTATATAAACAACCACCTTGTGCTTTGAGAAAACTCATTTATGTGCTACCAGAAGTGAGGCACACCCACTGGTGTTCTTGACTAAAAAAGATACGTATCTTAAAGTCCTGGGAGAGCAGGTAGTTGATTTAGCTTACATTCAAGTGGCCAGAATCTAAGTGAATCAATCTTTGTTTCTAGTAGATGTTATATTCATTCCCTCATTCCAAGGATACAGGTAACAGAAGTTTGGCCAAGATTAATATGGGTGGATAAACTAAGTAAAATCTTTACTCATTTTCTGGGTCACCCCTTAAAGGTGGAGATTAACTTGAACTTCTAATAATATGAGGAATATTAATGTCTGGAAATAAATACTGGATATCTTTATTTTGCCAATTCTTATTTTTCCTTACCTCCAAGTTTACCATATGTTTTAGCAAAACATCACAACAAAGCAGACCCATCCCCAACACATACTCCAGACCTTTGCTAGATTATCTCTAAATTATAACATGGCTTTAATTGCATGAATAGGAATACAAGTTCACAAAGAAAATAGATTCTCTAACTTATGAGACAATAAAATGCCTTACTTTTGATGTTATTATCTTCTAGAAGTTGAGAATAACACCTATGATACATAATACAATGTCATAAACATAGACATTTAATAGATGTTTTATAATGACTGTAATTTTCTTTTAAAGTAGATGGATTAAGAAATGATTATAAATTTATTAGGTGTCATAATTGCATTATGGTTATATAAGAAAATGCCCTTAGTTTTCAAAGGGCTGAAATGTCATATTTTTAGCATACTTTAAAACACTTCAGTCTTCCTACCAAAATGGATAAAATGAACAAAAACCCCACATATTGATCTTGAAGAATGGGGCAAGATTTAAAAGAGTTCTAAGTAGCTTTTCCAGGAGTAGGAGGGAATAAATTCTAAAGATATTTGCATGCTCTCAACTCTCAGCATATGTTTTGAAGAAAATACTAACAAGGAACAACGAACCCTTTGTAAATCACAATAATCACATAACCTAAGGCATAACCCTAACTCCTCAATCACCCACTCACCAATTGGCTGCCTGTAGGGATGGTACACATGGATGTCAAACGGTCTATGTGTAGTGTTCACCAGCATCATCCTATTTGATCCATCATATTTGTTTCCCTTTTCAACTGTCCTTGTATTCCAATCTGTCCAGTAAACAGTGTCTTCAAAAATGGTAACAGCAAAGGGGTGAGGCAGCGTCCCGTCGTAAACCGTGTGTCGATGGTTGCCCTCCAGATCGGAGTACCTGTGACAACAGGAAGAAATAGTCACTCGAGGAGGAAGATAACCCCTCTCCCTCTAATAACTTTTGGGACAAATTAATGAACAAACCAATTAATAAAATTCTACCTCCTAGAGATAACTGAAGTTCAGATCCTCCCCCACACTCCTAATCTTTAATTAAAACATTAAAAAACTAAATTTGCAGGATTTATTTTAACTGAACAAAAGTTGAAAGGGTGCTCAAAGTGCATAGGAATTGACACAGGAGTTTCAATAATCACTAATTCCTAACCACAGCTGCTTTCCTGCGGGTGCAGCTAGTGTGGCTGCTGTAGGTTTATAAGCGCTTATGCTGAGGTTCTCCATTAAGCACCCTTCTGAAATCCTGGGGGGAGCTCCATTCTAGTTTGCTAAGTCACTGGAAGAAAGCAGAGGATAGCAATACAGAGCTGGAATTGCAAATTCTCATGAAGATTTCAGGAGAGACGCTATTCTAAGAGATAGGTGGGTTCTCAGTACAACCTGAGGGGAACACAACATACAGGCCTGGAGAGTGAACTTTGCATACACCAGTAGCATACATATTTATTATCATTTATTATTATTATTGCATACATATTTATTATTAGTCATGCCATGGCAGTATTAATGAATACTTTTCCAGAAGAATAAACCTTCAGGGAAGGTTGTCTGATTTCATGATGACACAGAGCATCCACAGTGAAATTTCCAAGTCCTCTTAGTTCCAACATCTCATTCATTATTATGTGTCTATGCCAGAAGTCATTTCTTTTTTTCCCCCCCCTAGCAGAATGAGCTACTACTACAGAAGTCATTTCTAAAATACTGACATATTCAAAAGTTTTGGAACATAACATAAACTAAAACAAGAGGTAGAATGAGCTAGCAACTAAGAAACTTGATAATGTTAGCTATGTGATGTTAAAAATGTTCCCCAAAATATCATACTTCATGGTAACTTATAGAAGCCATAGGAAAACGTGAAGACCTGTTTGGCCTCTGTTGCTAAGAATGCAGGTAAATGACCAGAACTTAGTCACCAACTGTTTTGTGTTTTAAAAATCATGGACCAGAAAGTAGTCTTTAGACCTTCCCTTCCAGTCCTTGCATGATCTGCACAGAGATCTCAGACACCTCTAAGATTGTTTTTGTCAAGAGCAGAACAACAGGCACAACTCTAATGATATGTTGGTGCATTCCAGATGTACAAGGAAGCAGTTGGATGCTCTATAAAAATGTATTGCTTTATGTATTCTATGAAATATATTTCTGAATGCATTGCTACCTCTCCAAGAGGTGGTCAAGTCAACATGGCTACATGAATATCAAAGGATCATTCATTCCCAGTGAGAGTGCCCAATATTATGATTTTACTTTTGGACTGAAACTCAACTGCCTGAATTCCAGCTATGCAAATAATCTGGATCAGATCTAATCAATAACTGAACATAATATCAAGCAGTTTAAAACATTTGTTTTTTGCCTCTAATGCTTTCAAAAACACTGTCCATATGTACACTATCCATTTCGGTTAAACCTACTAAGCTTTCAAAACCAAGAATAATCTACAAGACTCAAGTTGAAGCTTCTTTAAAGAACTTGATAATTCTAATTCTATATGAAATTGTATGGGAAACTAACTCAGTTCTTTGATACTCCTTTCAAGATAGGATACACACACTGTGGGAAGGGCCATGGGTGTCACTACTAGTGTATGACATTAAAATGACACAAATAAACTAGAAGAAATTTGGAGTAAGTTTTTATCTGCTATGGTAAATTCTGCAATGAGAATGCTAAGGGCTACCTTAGTATATCAAATGAACCAATTCAACAAAAGAGAGTTGTAGCATTAACCATGTATGCTATGAACACAGGACAAAAGAGTACTAGCATGTGTGCCAGGTGTTCCTTCATTCTCAGTGGCATGTTCCAAAAGTATGGGCTTAGAGAACTTCAGAACTTTCTGCAGTGACTTTGGCAGCAAAATAAATGTACTAAAATGACAGAATTTCTAAAAGCCTTTGAAATAGTTCTACTGAATTAATGGTACGTCTATGCATTTAAATGCAATAGGCTGTACCTGGATACATATTCATAAATGCTTACCCAGAAGACATTACTATGGTCCAATTAAGCCATAACTAGCAATGCCCCCAATTAACATGTACTGGTTGATTAATAAAGTATATTATCATTTCTACAATGACTTTTTCATTGAATAGCATATTTAACATGCTTTAAAAAAATTATTCTATTACCAGAAAGATGTAAATGCATTATCATATTGAATTTATGTAAATAGACTCTACTGCTTCATAAAACACTACATTATACTTAATCATAGATGCATCAAAGTATTTTAGGGAAATTCTTACCAACACTTTTGCTCTTTCTTTTTCTCAAATACTAAAATCTATTAATCATATATTTAGGAAGGGAGAGTGAAGTAAAGAGATAAGAAAATTAAGATGAGTTGACTGCTAAGCTAACTACCATAGGGAAGAGATTGTTAGCCCCATTTTCCAGATGAAAAAAATAATAACAAGTGAAAGCACCAGGCCATACCCTGATCTGTAACACTTTAAAATTCACTGTCTGTCAATTGCACCATACCATATAGCCCAGCAGCTTTAGTTAGAAGTGACATTGGAGTGACTTCCAGTACACAGGCCAGGTGGAGGATGCATGGGACTAACAGACAGGAAGCATAAGCCCTGAGGTTTGGAATAAACAGCTACCCATTATTTTATTCGCTTCTCTATACGTACTCGATGTAACCCAGGTGGGCATCTGTCCAGTACAGTAGATCATTGGTGTAATCAATGGTGATACCATTGGGCCACGCTATCTTGGTAGAGATAATCACAGACTTATTGGTTCCATCCATGCCTATTCTTGCGATGTATGCACGGCGAGTCCAGTCTGCCCAGTAGACGTACCTGGTGGAGCAACAACAAACGCTCAGTCCCTGATGCCCAAAGATGTCAGTTGCCAAAAGACATACCTTGTCTCTATTGAAAGAAATGGAATTTACATTCTACAGAGACTCTCAGAAAGGAAACAGAACTAACAGACAAAAGAGAAAAGAGAAAGGGGGACAACGTTCAGAACATGCTCCAGTATGAACATTATTAACTGTGGCTTTGACATGCAGAGTCCAGTAAAGAAGTGGGTCTTTTTAAACCACAGTTTTCTTTGTATGCTGCCAAAATATGTGATTTGGACAGTGAAAAGGTGTGCATGGCAAAGAAAGCAGAATAGCTGATGAATATCATCTGAAGAAGCCACGCCTTTACCCATTATACTAAACCATTTACCAGGCAGGAAAAGCCGCCTTGAGATAGCTACATGAACAGTATAAGGGCACGAAAGAGAAGCCCAGGATTACAGGGAGACAGTACCCATATTGAGGGTGAAGAGTGATCCCTCTTGGACGATCAAAGCAGAAGGTGTTGTTGGCATCCACACAGTGGCTGGCCAGGTTGCGGCGGTGTTCACCATTGAGGTCGGAGACAAAGAGGCCATCCAGGTGGGCATCCAACCAATAGAGCTTTCTAAAATGGAGATCCAGGAGTTACTATCATGGTCACTCCAGAGAGCAGGACCATATTTCCTGGAGATCATCAATCAGTATGCTTCTGGACTTGTAGTAGTGTCACTATATGTATACGTACTCTTAGTCAATGTTTAATTCGTTGTTCAGTAAGCACTGAGCACCCATGTCAGGCTAGCTACTGGTCAGGGAGAACTATGGAGCAAACTCTCCCCATTCCCTATTTCAGGGTTTTTACCCTTGAGAGGGCCAAATAGGAGGATGTGGGGAGAGCCTTCAGGGAGTCTGGGCTGCCTGCAGCAAGAATATTTACAGCATTAAGTGCCTGCAGCTTCGTGTCTGTTAACCACAAAGCCAACTAGTTTATGCTGCCAAGTAGCTGATAGACTCGATATGCAATAGAGATGTTAAGAAGTAAGGGTGACGGGAAACTTTTAGTTAAAACAGCAGTGGCCGACCTTAAAGGCCCTGCATTTTAGAAGGACTATCTCAGAACAAGAAAGTTTCTTTTAGGTTAGCCATTCTCCCTTTCATAACCAGCCGAGGCAAGCCTGTGCACTCCAGGGGAGCAGGGGTTGTGCCTGCCTTGCTCACCTCTAGATCCTCAGTGCTTGCCATCACACCTGGCATGGGCAAGTACTCAGGAAGCATTTTTTATTTTTATTTTTTTGAGACAAGGTCTCACTCTGCTACTCAGACACCCATGAGTGCATTTATGTCATAATAGCTCACTGCAGCCTCACATTCCTGGGCTTGAAGGATTCTCCTGCCTCAGCCTCCTGAGTAGTTGGCACTACAGGTACATGCCAAAATGTCTAGCTAATTTTTCTTTTTCCTTTTCTTTTTTTTTTTTAGAGATAGAGTCTAAGCCTGTGTTCTTCAAACTCCTGGCCTCAAGTGATCCTCCCACCTTGGCTTACAGAGTGCTAGGATTACAAGCATGAGCCACCATGCCCAGCCTCAGGAAGCAGTTTTGAATGACTGAATGCATGAGTCATCCCTCAATATAATCTACAGTTACCTGAATGGCCAACAGTAATGGAGCTCTTTCCTCTCCTATGATACATCTTTACATAAGAAGAATACCATAAACTGTACAAATAACTAGATTTAAGTCCTATGGTATCCCATCTGAGTATTAAATACAAAGAAGAAAAAAAGCACGCAGAAGCAATAAATGTACCCACGTATTAGCCCAATTTGAAAAGATTAACTTCCTATCAAGATGAAATCACGGTTCCAATTTTCTTTTTTGAACTTTTAAAAAGCTCATCAGTGTTTTCTTACCTGGCAACCCAGTCTACAGCCAGACTTTCTGCACCTGGTAGTCTGTGGCTTATGATCGTCTCCCTGTTTGTCTTATTCAGAAACATTCTCTCAATGACTCTCCTCTCTGCATCAATCCAGTATAATCTCTTTTCTACTCGGTCAAAATCTAGTGCCACGGCATTGCCCAGTCCTTGCAAAATGAGGGAGTAAGAGTAGCCATCTGTAGTTAGGTTTCTCAAATAGTAACGGTTGCTAAATATGAGATAGGGATTGATGTTACTGTTCTGCCGGCAGGTCTTTCCATCTGGTTCTCGGATGTAGCCTGGGCCACACTTACAGATGTAGGAGCCTATTACGTTCTCACACTTCTGGCTACAGACATAGGGCGCCTCCTTGCATTCATCAATATCAACACAAGTCCGCTTGTCAGACATAAGCTTGTAACCAGGACGACAGGAACAATAGAAACTGGTGAGGGTGTCTGTGCAGTTGTGATCGCAGCCACTGATTGAAGGGTCATTGCATTCATTAATACCTGTGGGTAGAAGGCAGTTATTAGAGATGAGAAGAAAAGAGTCTAGCCAGGGTGCAAGTAAAACAGGTCTTTAAGGGAAAAGAAAACTCTGATTTGTAGGATCTTTCATCTCAGTGGTGTGACGATTCACACCATGGCCAATCTCAAGCTTTCAGAGTGACATCACTGAACACAGAGCTGCAAAGAGATGCACACATTTGCCTCTCGCCAGATGGCATGAGCTCAACATCAGGTGCAATACAATACTAGGTGAACCTCTGGCTGGTCCTGAGACACATGGCCAAGCTCACCCAAAACTACCTACAGCAGAAGGAGAGCATGTTCTTACGAATTCTCTACTCACCAAGGGGCAATAGGTTAAACATTACTTCATGCACTGCAAAATCCAGGCCTACTTCTGCCACGAGTTTACATTTCATTTCACATCTGTGGGCTACAGTCTTATTATTTGCAAAAGGAAGAGAGTTTACAAGATCACTAGGACTTCTTCTGGTTATAAGAGTGGAGATCAGTTTCTCTTCAAACTAAAAATTTAAATTTGAATCATGTACAATTGAGAATTTAATTCCTATAGTTTAGATAAAGCAAAATTAAAACCTAATGAAAATCTATTTTAATTAGGACTAAATATAAGAAAGTTCCCTATAAATTGTTAATAAATGAATAATATAAGTAATCACATTATTTTTCTTAATTTATTTGTGGTTTTTGAAACTTCAGTAGAAACTTATGGAAGTTTCCCTTGTAGCAGAGCAAATAACCAGTTTTTGCATGATTTTTAAAATATTATACATAGAAATTCCTTTCTCTAAATTTCCATAGCATTGTCTCAGTTTCTCTGTCTAGCATTTGATTTTTATGCTGCTTCATGTAAGTCTGATCTTTCCTATAAAACAGAAACCACCATGCACTTCTGGGTCGATTAGGGTTAGGTTACATTTAATGGGTGCTGATGACAAGTAATCAGTGGAATAAATGAAAACATATGGTCTCTCTCTCAAGTATTTAAATTTTTATTACGGAGACAATGACAACATAGATGAAACAATGATAGCAAGGATTAAACACCACAAAGCATGAAATGCCAATATTATAGAGGTCAAGATGGTACTAAGCAAATAGTACCCGTATTATATATTCACGACTGCTTTCCTTGTGGTGACTAGGGTGAGAGAGAGATCAAAACTCTCCCATTCAATCACCCAAGGAAGAAAATGAAGAAGAGATTAACGAGTCCTAGCAGAGGGAGGCTTTGGGGAACAAGTCATTCCAAGGATTCAATGAGAATCAATGCCATTCTCTTCATCTTGGGCACCTTATTTAGCAATGATCCTAAGTGATGACCTGAATATTTGTTCATCTTTTGTTCTCTCTAGCGACAGCCTAACTGAAGAATTAGTCCAAAAATGTTTGCCTACCTACCTTATGTACCAAAAAATACTTGCCTTTTGCTATATGAGCAATAGTAATTTTCTGGTAACTTTCTAGTTAGAAGACAGATGGGAAAGTCTTTATAAGTAGTAACGGCTGGAGTATCCACATTGAGTCTCGAAAAAGGGGAGATTTTCCCAAATCTTCCCTTATACTCACCACAGCCTTTCTCATCACTGTTGTCGGAACAGTCATCTATGTGGTTGCAGAGTTTCCCCATCTCGATGCAGTGCCCGTTGTTGCACTTGAACTGATGAGGGGGGCACGTGGCCTTGGGGGTGTGGCACAAGTGCTCCAGCTCATCAGAGCCATCCCCACAGTCATTGTCTTCATCACAGACGAAGTCCCGATAAATGCAGCGCCCGTTCTGACAGGTGAACTGGTGTGCTTGGCAGGTCGGGTATGAACAGTCCCTCTCGTCGCTATAGTCACCGCAGTCATTCCGACGGTCACACCTGTGTTAGAGACCCAGTGCCACTTTCAGAGAGATTGACAACAAACCTCAACTCTCCCCCACTTGGGCCTTTGCATCCTTCTCTATCCAGCTGGATGCCAGATCAACCTTTCAATAACAAGATGACCAGTCCTCTCTCCCCCAGAATCTGCACCTACCCCACTAATCCCAAACTTCAGAAGAATTCAGTATTTAACAGTCCACATAACTTTCCCAGGTCCTGGTGCTACCACTAGAAATGTGCTAGAGCTACTAGAAATAATTGCATTCATTTTTTTCCGTAGTTGGTACACTAATTAAATGCAACTTTGGCAATTTTGGTGTATATCAGATCTATTCATCAATTAATGAGACAGCTTAGGCACTAGCCATATCCTGGGTAACTATATGATATAAGTGTCCATACCCAAGTGAAAACTCACAGGGTGAGTGCTTTCTTTATATTAGAAAGCATCTTCCCATTGGAATAATGTTTGCATTAGCAGTCGTAATCTATATTTCACTATAATATTGCTGCCATCTGTTGTGAGCTATGGTGATGGAAAGGAGGGCAAACTAGAAGATTAGCATGGAATATTGGAAAAGAAGGAAGGCATGTTATAGTACCAAAAGCTATCTTGGGACCCAACATTCCCCCGCATCATCAGGACAGTACAGTTTTTCCTGAAATTCTGTGAGCCACTCTAATTTAGATCCAACCCAAAAGGAAAAAAGTCAATTAGGCAAGCAAATCACCAAACTTTCAGGCAGTATTGCAGAGAATTGCTCACCATCAGTCTTATCATGCATGTTTTTTTGTTTGTTTGTTTGTTTGTTTGTTTTGAGACAGAGTCTCGCTTTGTTGCCCAGGCTGGAGTGAGTGCCGTGGCATCAGCCTAGCTCACAGCAACCTCAAACTCCTGGGCTCAAGCAATCCTCCTGCCTCAGCCTCCCTAGTAGCTGGGACTACAGGCATGCACCACCATGCCCGGCTAATTTTTTTTTCTATATATATTAGTTGGCCAATTCATTTCTTTCTATTTATAGTAGAGACAGGGTCTTGCTCTTGCTCAGGCTGGTTTTGAACTCCTGTCCTCAAGCAATCAACCTGCCTTGGCCTCCCAGAGAGCTAGGATTACAGGCGTGAGCCACCAAGCCCAGCCTTATGCATGTTTTTTTAGCAGCATCAGTAATGAGCCAAGAGAAAAAAGTCAACAGGAAAATGATCTCCTGTCCCACTGAACCAAACAGGGAGCACACATTCTGGCAAGCAAGCAGGAGGACATACACTGACAGCCCTCTCAGTGGAGGCTGGTGGCCACTTCAGACGCATAGAATTTATATAGGGAAAGGGATGGAGGGAAGGAAAAACAAAAGAGAAGATGAATGACTTCAGTAAAAGTCTGGTCGGGCAGGGGTAAGGCATCTGTGAAATCATAGTAATGACAAAGGCAGAGAGCTTCAGAAAGCTCAGAAAGGGAGTAATGAGATATAACCTAGAGTCTGATCAAAATTAAGACCTGCTAGTTCCTAGACTCCATGCCTCGGTGTTCAGAATATAGTGATATCTAAGATTAATGGTTTTAACTATTTACCAAATTCAGAAAACCTAAATAGAACTACAACATGATAGAACTTTTGAGCAGGTAGGGAGAAAACATACATAAAGGATTATTCACTTTCACTACAATAAATCCATCAGTTAAACACAGACAAAGGATATTGAAGTGCAAGGAGACAGCCCAGCTCCTGGGCATCTTTGGCTATCAGTGCACAAACTCTATTTCTCTGCCCTGTCTACTCGGGCCTCATCAAGGCATGAGTCACTCCACACAGGACATTTTCTAGGTAACATTTAAATCTTTAAACTTCTTTAATCTCTGTCCTTTTTGGTTATAATGCTGAGTCCCTGCTCCTTTTGCAGCCTTCATAGAACACGACTTAGCCTCCTATTCCTTCCTCAGGATCACAACACAAACACCCAGTTCTACACCACACTGTATTCCAGTGGTCCTTCAGCATCTGCTCAAGGGCTGCCTGCCCCTAAAGTAAACGGCCCAGCATCTGCTGCTCTGCTCTCACTTCATAGTCTCTTCCCATCTCCTTTGCTGGCAGGCCGTAAACTGACAGTTCCTGTTGCTCTCAGCATGCCTGTGGGTCCTTTAACAGTCCTTGGCACATATGGCATCTCTTCCTAGCACCAGTTCCACATGTCCAAATGCCTAAGACATACTTTCACCTGAGAAGTCCTACTACATTAAATTCACCTCCCACCTGCAGAAAACTCCTTCCTGGGCTCCCCTAATTTTGTTAATGCTCTTACCATTCTAATCCATGAGGATCGAACCTTACAAAAAAATCATTCTTCTTCTCTGTCCAAAGATTTTTAAAGTCAAGGTGAAAAGTTGGGGCATTAAGAAAAGTATAAAAACCATTTGAAGTGGTTTATATGAAGAAAGAGGTAAGGAATCAAACAACAGAACACTGCAGGAGAGATCCCTCAAAATGGCAGCCTGTGAGCTGAATCTGTTTGACCCACATAGTGTTTAAATAATTTTAAAATTTGTTGCCAGCATTTAAAATCAGAGTATTTCATAACAAAATCCAGATTTCCAACTTCTCTCAAAAAAGAGAGCACCAGAACATCTGGCCCTCCTGCATGGCACTGAACGGCTTCTTTTCTTATAGCAGAGAGGAAAATAGAATATTTCTTGTACCTGTGCTTCTACTCCGAATGAAAAACTAGGAAGGTGACAAGCTTAAGAAAGAATTTTCTTATATGCAGCCCACTCCATCTATCTCCCTGGCCCTCCGTGTAAGGCCACATTATGCCTTTCACGGGCCCTAGACATTTAATGTATGTCTTCTTGGGCCACTTCCTTCAAAAAACATTAAAGACTATATTGAATGACTACATTGGTATAAACCCATATATGCTAATACTATATATTAAAATACTTCCTTTGACCTAAAAGTTTGTCTCTCTTTTGATTTTAAAAGGAATCCCAACATTTTCATTTCATAGGCCACCGAAAGCATCGTGGGCCCTAGGCACTGTGGCCACTGTGCTTAACAGATAAGTCAGACCTGCCACGCGGACCACTCACCTAAAGGAGCTCGGGATGCAGAGTCCGTAACTACAGGTGAACTCGTTTTCAGAGCACGGCCTCCGGGTGCAGTTCTGACGCTCATCGTAGGCGTCAGAACAGTCCGCATCGCCATCACAGACCCAGGCTTGGGGAATGCACTTCCTGGCTGGAGGTCTGCTATTCGCACAGAAAAACTCAGAACTTGAGCAGTTCTGATTCTCTGAAACCAAAGCACACAAGAATCAAAAACCATATGAGAGGGGGGAGGGAGGCATGGGCAATATATGTAACCTTAACACTTGTACCCCCATAATACGCTAAAATAAATATACAAAAATAAAATAAAAATTTAAAAACCATATGAGAGCTCAGCATGGCAGTCAATTCTCTTGTCTTATGTTACTTACCATTCTGAGAGATGAAAGGAAATGAAAGGAAAATGGATAAACATATCACATTGCTATGGTAATAATAGATCATAATAAAAATACTTCCCAAAAGTTCCATTTTAATTGCTTTGGACCTAGGCTTTTTCAAAGTAAGAAATCAACATATGAAAACACTTCATTTAGCTTTTCTTAAAATTAATTTAAGATAATATTTTTTCCCTCTAGAGCTTCAGAAAACCACTCCCATTTTGTTAATTGGATACTAAATGCCTTACATTTTGGTAACATTTTTTAGTTCACAAAGACTAAGCACACAAGCACAATGTGAGAAAGGTATTTTTACGCCAATTCTACAGATGAGAAAGTGAAGGTCAAAATGGCTAGATGGCTCAAAGTCATAGAATTAGAAGGAGAAAGAGTTAGGGCTTCAAACCAGCTCTTTTGCCTCCCAATTTAGTGCTTTTTCAACTACATTATAGTTGGCTGGGCATGGTGGCTCACGCCTGTAATCCTAGCACTCTGGGAGGCCTAGGTGAGCAGATTGCTCGAGGTCAGGAGTTTGAAATCAACTACATTATAGCTACCACCCCAAGCAGAATTAGGGTAGATAGCAGAGGTGTATGTCAACAAGAGTTGTCAGAAACCATGATGCTTAAGGAAGAGATGAGATGCTGACACAGAATCATTAATGCCCATGGAATCATAAGAAAAGGTATTTTATCCAATCTCATTGCAGGTGAACAGGAGACAAAAGAAGGAAGATGGTCTTGGAAATAGGAGGTGGAAGAAAAGAACATGCTATGAACCACGCATGTGTAACTGCCACCCACCCACTTCTGTGGATACAGTATATGCATCACTATGGACCACCACCAAGTCACACATGAGGCTACATCAAACACAAACATCAGAAGCCATTGATTTTATCGTCCTACCATGGAATGACACTCTTTTAAGACACCTTAGCTAGGAATTCCATACTGTGTTGGGAATGGTGTTCCATAATCTACTGAAGAGGAATAACAACCCCCCATAACAGCTTTAGGGTGACAGATGAAACTGGACACAGTTAACTATGTCACTGTTAAAGCTACTATTAAGAGTAGGCTGGCTAAGTTCTCTTTATTTGTTCTTGAAATGTAGGACACTTCCATTAGCCAAACACACAAAAAAGAAATATAAAGTCATTTTTCATCATTCTAAAGCATTTAGGTGGATGACATCAAACAGCTCCAGAGTGAAGAAACAAAAGTAACATTCTGCCAGTGTCCATTCAATTAAAGAGGAATCTGCAATCAGACTCTCCAAACACACAGTATTTCCCAGGAATGAGACTCCAAGAGGAATTTGCCAGCTTCACTTACCACATTGGTGCCTTCCATCTTCATCACTCATATCCCCACAGTCATTATCACCATCACAGATCCAATCTCTTGGGATGCACCTCCCACCATCACACTTGAACTCATCACTTTGGCAGGTTCGGTCAGGGTGCCCTAAAAAGATAAAGAGCACACTCAGTGAAAAGAGTGGTTTGTAGTCCCGAGTTCTGGAGAGAAGCTGGCTATACATGGGTTGTCTAGAAAATTCGAGACAGAGCATTACCTAGTTTGAAACACCTAGGGCAGGGACTCCAGTGAGACTCGTACCAGCGATCAATGATTTGAGGCAAAAGTAGTTGACTGACAGTGCAAAGCCTTAATTATCTTTGGTGACTAGGATGAGATTTAGTAGTCCCCTACAGGTAGAGAAATAAGTCTTTTCCCCAAGGATGATATAAATTACCTACTGTTTCACATCTTTCTAATTCATTAATAAAATCTACTTTCCATCTAAAACCATTTTGTTTTGTGCAACCACCTCCACTTTCAACAAACTATACAATTTACTTATTTGCTGCCTCTTTCCCCTTGTTAGAATACTTAGCTCCATGTGGACAGAGATCTTTGTCTCACTCACTGATGCAGCCCAAAAGTACGTAGGTGCTTTAATAGACATAGGTGTTTAATAAATATTTATTGAATTAAAATAAGTCACTCTTCTACTTTAAATTAGAAATCACTGATCCAAATTCTTTAATCAAACCCCACATTTTCCTATTTAACTAATCAGGTCGTCATAGGCCCAAAAACCCAGGGCTCCCTCAAATTAGGCCATGACAAAAGAAAAATTTAACTGTAGCTGTTAAAGACACAGAACAATGATAACAGTGAGGAGAAACCGGCCTTTTCAGAAGCTGGAATGAAAGGTGTGTACACTGGGCCAGACATTTTGAAGAGACATATCCCTGTTGACACAAAAGAACCATTTATAGAAATCTAGTCTATAAGCATCTTCCCCCATATGCACAAAGAGGTTTCTAAAAGAATGTTCATTCCATAGTGGAAAAATGGAAACAACCTAAATGCCCAATAGTTAGGAAAAGGATAAAAACACATGGAACATCCATATTTTAGATGCATTTGGCGGTGCAAAGGAACAAGGTAGAACCGTATTTTCTGACATGCTGACAAGATATTATTAAGCTAAAAAAAAATGGGGGGCTAATTGCAGAAAAATATATAGAATAAAACTGCATTTGTGTTTAAGAACTATATATCACAACATATAGCTAAAGGTAAGTAGGATTCACACACACCATTAATTCTGATTATCTTCGAGAAGTGAGGGAATTGGAGAAGGATGAAGAAATGTGAATTTTACTTTTTTGTATACAACTTATTTCTTTAAAATACACTTCTGTGGGCCAGGCATGGTGGCTCACATGTGTAATTCTAGTACTTTGGCAGGCAAGGTGGGAGGATTGCTTGAGGCCAGGAGTTCGAGACTAACCTGAGCAAGAGTGTAACCCTGTCTGTACAAAAAAAAAGAAAACAATGGAAAAATTAGCCAGACATGGTGGCACACACCTGTAGTCCCAGCTACTCAGGAAGCTGAGGCAAGAAGATTACTTGGGCCTAGGAGTTTGAGGTCGTGGTGAGCTATGATGACACCACTGCACTCTAGTTTGGGTGACAAAGCCAGAGCCTGTCTTAAATATGTGTGTGTGTGTGTGTGTGTGCGCGTGCGCGCACGTGTATGTATACACATATATATACACACAAGCTTCTGCATATTATAGCTTGAATTACTGCAATGTGAATGTATTCATATATAGGTTCGGTGTTTATTTTTATATAATTATGTCAGGCAATTGGTTCTAACTGCTATTACTATGACTTTGGTTGCCACAGAGAAGTTTGGAAATTCGATTTAAACCAATAATTCTTTTATTTGAATGAATCTCTAACACTCACTTCACAGTTATTATTTCCTTTACACATCCTCAAAACTCTATGTGCCATTTGCTTTCTATAAAACTTTCAGTTTGGGGGAAAAAGAACCTATAGGAGAGCTCTAAATACCTCTCTCCAACTAGTAGCCACAGAATTTAAACCTGAGAAAAAACAGGAATAGAAAACAGTTTGACTTCAGCTATAAAACTAGAATAATAATCCTAAGAAAATATTCCCAAAATAAAACATTTTATATATGATAATATTTACAGCAGTAATATTTATAATAGAGGAATAAAATAAAAGCAACCTGATGCTTAATAATAGAGGCAGTTAACTCAACAAATAATATAACCACTCATCGGAATATTATAGTCATTTAAAAAGGAATATGAAGACTACATAACAAGGGTGAACAAACTTCTTTTTAACTAGATAGTAAATATTCTAGGCTTACAGGCCATATGTTCTGTCACACCTACTTGACGTTGCTTCTAATACAGTTTTACCTATAAAGATGGGCAATTTTCTGACCGTAGTTTTCTGACCTCTATATAACAATATGATTTATTGACAAATAAAAAAAGCAATGAAGAAAATCGTGCCTGGATAAAAGAGGGGTGTCCAGAAAGGATCCAGCCATGTAACCATTCTTGTTATATTAACCATGGCTGGATCCTTTCTGGACAGCCCTAACAGATTAGAATTTGCTAAAGTAAACAGCAGCCTCCAACTACAAACAAGGCACAGATGCGTCCAGGAATATAACAAGAGGGCCCCTGGAACTTCTTGGGAAGCTCAAATGGCCATGGGACCTCACTTCATAAACTGGCACAGAGACAAAAGAAAGAGGATATGTGCCCATAATATGCCCGTTCCCCGTGTGTATGATAATTCAATCACTTTTGCATCCTCCAATAGTATTAGAACTGAAATACAGAAATTCCATTTGAGAGTCAACTAAAATTAGCCAGGCGCTGTATTGGGTGTATCACCAACATAATCTCTATTCATTGGCATCAATCAGCAACTTCCATATACTGATCAGCTCCCCACATAGCACTGTGCACTAACAGGTCTTTAATAAATGTCTGCTGAGTGGTTTCAGCAACCCAGCTGACAGCTGGGGCAGGGAGTGCAACACTAGTCTGTATTTGAAGTGGCTGGAAGAGACTGAGGATGTGTAGCTGCATCATAATGCTTTCCAGGCTTGTTTAGTCTCTTACCACAAGAGGCAGGTTCGTCAGAACCATCAGAACAATCTATTTCTTGATCGCAATGCCAGTGGTGGGGGATACAGCGCCCAGATGTGCACTGGAACTCATTGCTGCTGCACGTGTGAATGGCTGCAGAAGGAAAGAAGATAAAACCAATGAACAAAACACACACAGTATGTTCTCATCAGTCTTAACAATCCCTGAACTAGATAACAGTCGGCAAGAGAGGAAGACTGAGGCTGGAAAATGGACTTTTGTGTAAGCTTTCTGTGGGGAGGGAGGAATACAGGAGTGAGAAAGAAGGCAATACCACCTCAATTCCAGGAATTTTTTTTCTGGATTCAAGAAATCCAAAAAATAAAGTGTATTTGTTAGAAAATACTGAAGAACTATCATTGTGATAAATGAAATCACAAATTATGCACAAGTAGTCTTTATTTTATTTTTCCCACTATAAAATTAAAAGAATAAATTATTTTGAAATAATAATTCAGAGCAAAAACAACAGTATCACCATATTTGAGCTCACCTCACACTCAACTTTTAAGCCATGTTAGACCATGATTCTAGAGAGATGGCAAAGTTTTTCTCTTATTCATCCTTGTAATATGGTGCTTTTATTTGAATAAATGGGGGACTCTGCCTATGTTTGAACATTGAGATCCCTAAAACGTCAGCAATAAATCCAATCTGCCTAACCCTATCTCATTGCTGCAACCTGAATTCTGCTTCCTCATGCTGATATTATTACAACAGATTCCTCTTCTTGGACTGTAGCCTGGCCTGGTGACAAATTATTGTCATGCCCTTTGCTTTCCTTGGGAGGGTACCAGTGATCAGAGTTTAACTACATATACCCCTAACAGGGAAGAGCAATGACTGAATTCTAAACTTATACATCTATTTACACTAATTGTCTGGAAGTTGGCAAGCTTAAGAAAGGCCTTTTAATTTGAGCTATAAATTCTCCGAATAAACCAAATTGCTAAATATGAAATAGAGGTTTTTGAAATTTTTCAGTTCCTGATGGCTAATGCAATGATATTAGGAGTAAATTATAAGGGCTTAATGTAGATTCCATGAGACAGAAGTCCATCAACACAGAAAAATGACTCTCTGAGTGCAGCAGATCTCTGGAAGCAATATTTGGGGTCTGGGGATTCCAGTCATGGAATAAAGAGAAGGAGCTTCTCATAACCCTGCAGTCATATCCTAAAGCAATTGCCTACTGCAACTACTTACAAAGTCAATTTGAGATGACACTGGAAATTAGCCCAAATACCCAAGCTATGTATCTTTGTGTTAGCTCAAGACGTGCATCTCCGGCAGGACAGAAAGAGAAGTAGTTTTATCTTACTCACTGCAATAAGTAGGGTTTTCATCACTCATGTCTCCACAGTCATTGTCTCCGTCACACAAGTAAAGGCGAGGGATACAAATATTTGTACCCTGACATTTTGTGTAACCAGGCTGGCAAGTGCGATCAGCTTGAAAAAGACAACCAGATAATCATTGAGAACATATCCACCAAATAGGCATGGCAAACAATGTCCATGCTAACAGATCTATTGCAAAACTCAAACCACTGAAAAGGAGGCATTTTCAGAGATAGATCCTGCTATCAGTGATCCAACTGATAAAGGGGGTGGTGGGGGGAGATAGGGGCTCATTTGTAATTTAAATCATCTTATTTCATTAAGTCCCCACTCTTGGTTAAATAAACTGGTATATCCACACAATGGAGTAATATGTAGCTATTAAAGGAATAAAGAAGATCACAAATATTGAAGTAATGACAGTATGATCTCCAGGATATATGATTAATGGTAAGAAAGCAAGATTCAAAACACTGTTATCTTTTAATTAAAAAAAGGATGATATGAATGTGTGTACAAGTGTGTGTGGATAGAGAGAGAGAGATGTTTATACTAAAAACGATAGCAACAAAGAAAAGATAACCGAATAAAACTGTTACCTCTCTAGATAGATTGAGAAGAACATGGGGGAGCAGAGAGGACAGAAAGACATGAAAGACTTCTGTAAATGCACCTGTTGTATAGTTTCAACTTTGGAACCATGTACATTATTTTGTACAAATAAAAATCAATGAAATAAAAATGGAAAAAAGAAATTAAAATTGGAAAAAGTGACAAATGAAGGTAACTGTACATCAAATTGATAGCATAATCCTACAGAGAAAAAAAATGGAGTGTCTTTAAAACCTGTATTTTGACTGCATATCTCTAGGGGGACATAATCTAAAAATAAGAACCTTGCATTAAGTACTATTAATAGTATTAATGGTATTATCTGTGTGCTTATAATAATTTTGAAATTATTATAAGCATTTTGAAATTACTGTAGAATAAAACAAATAAGTAACTATCTTAATGTCATTAGGAACCAAAATTTTAAGCATGAGAAGAGAGGTGATTACAAAATCTAAAAAATAAACAATTTATTTTTTCTTTAAAAACTGTATTTCCTAGCTCTGACCATTAGGAAAGGCCTAGAAGTAATGAAAGTCAAATAGGAATGAACACTGTAATTTCTAAATATCACAAAACAAGGTCTTCTTGGATAAGTGGCTAAGTCCACTCTTTTGTTTTTCCAAGATGCTCAGGTACAAATCCTAGAAAGTTTAGAAAAATCAGTTAATTAAAATTCTATGTACCAGAAAAACTAAAGAGAGAAACCATTTTGGCCAACACAGCTTTTTGCACAGCGAACATTAACCACAATGCATTTATGTAATCATTTTTTGTCACTATTGCTAAGGCTTTAAGATAATAAAATTTTTAGCAAGGGAAGTTTTAATCTAGCAGATATACAAGCCAAGGAAAAAATACTCAAGGTTAAAATATTCAACAGTTGTATAGATCCATTAGTTTAAATGAATAATTCAAATGTTAGGTAGAGTTGTCTGTAAAATCATTTAGTAGAATATATTACAAGAAAACTGATGTTTTAGATGAATATTTAGTTTAAAGCCTTTGTTTTGATATAAAAATTTCATCTCCAATGATCTAAGACTTCACACCCAAAAGCACAACAAGCACTTAAAGATAAACTTACGGCAGTTTTTCTCATCAGAGGAGTTATTGTCATGGCAGTTGTCTCTACCATTGCAGACGTACTCAAGAGGTATGCACCTTCCATTATTGCAAGTAAATTCGGTGGTGGCATTACAGTCCCTGAACAGGCACCCTGCCTCGTCACTGCCGTCACCACAGTCATTGTAGTAATCACAGCGGTAACTGTATTGGACACATCGCCCATTGGCACAGGTGAAGGCTGTCGGTGAGCAGGTGTGAAGTGCTAAGAAGAGGAGAACATATTGAAAAATCCCCCTTGATTAAAGCTTATCCTAACTTCTAAAAAGATACAATTAAATAAAATGGACACTGTGTGTTTACCTTTCAAGACAAAAACGGCTGCAAATCAGACTGCATGCAAAGTGAGATAACATTTTGAATTAGTTCCATTAGGCAAAATATGTTTATACCTTCTTTATATAAATCAGTCACTCTTTTTCTCTATAATCTCAATTTCTCTCAATCACAGAAAAGCATTCAAATACAGTTTTATTTTGAGAAAATAAAAACTCGTGGCTGCTATAGCTGTCTGCTGGAAAAAAGTAACTAACCTGAGAACTCCCTGAGAAAGTCCACTGTGCATTATTCACTGTCCAGGTGGAAGCTGAGGATTGGAAGGCTAAGTAACTTTCCCAGGGCTATACGAACTGAAAATAGAATGACTAGGAGTTTAATCCAGTGCTTTTGTTCTTAACCACTACAGAGGTAATTTAACAGAAATGCAGGCCAGTGTACAGCAGCTCATGCCTGTAATACTAGCACTCTGGGAGGCAACAGCAGAAGGCTCCCTTGAGCCCAGGAGTTTGAGGCTGCAGTGAGCTATGATGATGCCACTGTACCCAACCCAAGGCAACAGAGTGACACTGTTTCAAAAAAAACAGAAATGCAGTTTGCATTATCAGAGTAAATGTTTTTCAGCCTGAATAAGATGTGTAGGCACAAATTTCAAGCCCATTTACACACAGTTTGGTACTGTGTATGTACCCCAAAAAAGGCATAAAGATGTTATTAGCTTCCACAAAAGTGCCAAGCCCAACTCACCACAGACACTTTCCAACTCGTCACTGCCGTCACTACAGTCATTGTCACCATCACATTTCCACTCTTCCATGATGCAGTGTCCGTTGGGACAGGTGAAATAGGATTCACTGCATCGCGTACCAGTGTCCACAATGCAGTGCTTATTATTGTTGGCCAGATACCAGTTGCCCTCGTGTGGACACTGGCACTCGGCACCATTGGGACCTGAAGAAAAGTAGGCCCAGAAGAAGCAAAAGATTAGCATAGCAATCAATACATTGTCTCCTCGTGGAAATTCTGCCCATTAACCTTTACACTATATTCTGAGTCATTTTCCCATCAAGAAAAGTAACCACCAATTTCTAACAAATGTTCTAATTCACTCTAATCTTTAAACAACTATTTCTCATCCGAAAAAGCAATGACTCTTCTCAGCAATATTTGCAAAGCAATCATATCAAAAGGCACATCTTTCCATGAATTTATTGTAAAATGCACCATGATACACACAAGATCACAACCTCAGATATCATCGGAAATATTTCCAACTATAAATAATACCCCCTAAGCAGAAAAGTTAAAATTCCTTCATAAGGAAGGTAAGCTCATTGATGGAAAACCTACTCAACTCAGGAAGAGGGACAAAGCCCTCATCTTGTTTTATACAACCACCAAGAAGGAATTTAAAATACCTTCATAAAATGCTCTATATTGAATAGAATAGAAGCCCACCAAAGCCTTCCTCTCAAAATATAACCCTGCATCTATTTTATAAATTAGCCTGAAAGGATTTGGATTTTTTTCCTCCGGTTAGAACCGAATGTTCCTTCAGCCTTCCTTATCAGTTGTTATCAGGATCAGTATTTTCCATGTTTTAATCTTACCTGGTGCACAGATGTGGCTGCAGCCCCCATTAAACTGATCACAAGGATTGCTACACTGATGCTGCTTGTTCTTCACAACGGTGGTGATACCCGAGGGCTGGGCGAACAAATTCGTCGTCATTGCAATCTGACCCGACCCATCATATTTGTCAGCTCGGTAAATTTTTTTTGTGTACAATTCAGTCCAGTAAATATACTGGCCATAGAGAGTCAAGCCTAAAGTATGAAAAGCTGTGCTGACAATGACTTCACGCTGCGTGCCTGTTAGAGTGCTGCGTTCAATCCTCTGCCTAAAACAAAGTAAAAAAAAAAAAAAAAATTGCTAAAATTTAGAATGAACAAGTTTCTCAGCTGGCAGCCCAATCCTGAGCCTAACCATCTAACCATTGCTTTAAACAAGCCCTCAACTTTCTTTTCAAGTGAGGCATATGGCAGCTAGTAATGTTTCTCCTGGCGATGGGAGGGTTTGTTTGCTTCTCAAACAATGGCATATATAAATCATTGACCTCCAAATATTAATGCTAATCCTACAAAACGAATTAGAAATAGGAGATTATGAAACGATCCATGGAATGCATGGAACTTGGTGTTGGGCACATAGCAGACTCTCGATAAATGTTAATTATCTTTCCATTCCACACCCTTGGCGATTTTTTTGGTCTGACATTTTTGGGTAACTAGGTGTTTGCCTAGAATGACCCAAATTTAGAAACAAAGCATCACTGCTTTGTTTCAAATGAGAGAATAACAAAAAGATCAGGATGTTAAGTTAGGTGCACAGCATCAAAAGACCTAAATTATGAGGAAATAAGCAAGAAAAGTTAAGATTCCTGACATGGAGATATGAACCATAACAATAATGAGAATCATAAATCCCTTCAGATGACAGGAATGTGACACATTCTGGCATTACTTGGAAAAGTTACATACAAAATTAGAGTTGACAAAAGGAAAATATTGAACTTTCTGAGAAGTTCGCCAGAGAAGTCTATTAGAAAAGATAACCAATGCTAAAGCTCAGAAAAAACTTAATATCAGTGTGCATTTAAAAGTCATTTAGGCCAGATGCAGCGGCTCATTCCTGAAATCCCAGCACTTCGGGAGGCCAAGGCAAGAGGATCACCTGAGTCCAGAAAATTGAGACCAGCCTGGACAACATAGTGAGACCCTATCTCTACAAAAAATAAATATAATTAGCTGAGCACAGTGGTGTATGCCTGTAGTCCTACCCATTCATGAAGCTAAAGCCAAAGAATTGCTTGCGCCCAGGAACTAGAGGTTACAGTGAGTTATGATCGTGCCATTACACTCCAGCATGGATAACAGAGTGAGACCCTATCTCTTATAAATAAAAATCAATAATAATGAATAAAAGTCATTCAACCTTTATGGCAGTTACCTAGGTCCTGCAGGCTATAATTTGGGTAATTACATTTGTAATTATAAATTGAGTGAATGCATTTTTAATTATGGTTGAAAACTGTAAATGTACTTTGTAATGCACCTTTAGATGTCTTTCAGTTCATAATTATTCAATTTATGATATAGATAAATTTTTACAGGTATGTTCACCAAGCCAGACTATAATATAGTTCCTACAACTGTGATTCTACAATTTAGCAATGTCTATAAGGCATATTATATTTTCATTACATTACGCAAATCCTTCTTCTTTGGAAATGGGAGGAAAACTCTTCTTATTGACATCTACATGAATAACCAAAGACACATACCGACCACCATCCACCCAGTAAAGAAGACCCTCCTCATAGTCCAGGGTCAGGCCACTGGGCCAGATAAGGCTGCTGTTCACAATGGGTACCCGGAAGTTTCCTCCCAATGTGGCTCTCTCGATTTTAGCATTAATGTCCCAGTCAGTCCAGTACAGGTACCTAGCCATAGAAGAGGAATCATAATTAATTCACCACAAGGAACCTCACAGACCTCTTTACTTTAAAGAAAGAAAAAAAAAAGGCAGCATACTTTAATTGCAAATTGCCAATAATAAGGCAAAAGAAACCCTACTCCATTCCCACCCACACAACTAGCCCAAAAGGGATGTACTGAGTCAGAGTACTGACATAAGTGCTGCACCCTCCTTCCCATCGCTTAATATTCTTCTACCCTTGAATCTATAGCCATAGTTTTATACGCCCATAAGACATTTTCTCTCTATAAACAAAAAATAATTTCAGGCCACTTCTTTCCAGAAATGAGCAGACAGAAATACAATAAAGATGATGGCATACCCTCTGCAAGGATCTAACGCAAGCGAACTCGGTTTGGAAACACGGGCTATCACAGACTGCTTAGTCCCATCTTCAGCCATGGAATTAACCGTCTGGTTGGTGTAGTCAGTGTAATAAAGTCTTCTATTGATCCAGTCAAAGGCAATGCCACCAACAGTCCCTATATCTGGACATACACCAACAGACACACACAACACACATACAAGGGTGTTAGAGCCTCAATATGCAGTCATCTGTGTGTGCTGACTCCATTGTGTCTACTTGTAAGACAAGCATCACTTGGAGTACACTTACCTGAAGCAATGACAGTCGGGGTATGGATCCCTGAAGAAAGGCTGACATAGGAAATCTGCCCACGCTCAAGGTTTACACTTTGTGTGAAGTAGACTCTATCATTTATGCTGTCATAGTCTAGAGCCATGACAGTTCTATCCACATTTATTGGTTGGAAAGGTGGGCTGTGGTTTTCAGGGTCCAAATGTAAGCTTCTCAAAGAATCACCCAAGGCAAAGACAAGGAAATTTTCTGTTGAAATGGAGCAGCTCTTGCCATCACTTTCCAGAGTTCCAAAGGCACAGCCACATTTTGGGGTGTGCAGTCCAGGTAGAGCAAAGCAGAAATGGGAACACCCACCATTATTTTCCAAGCAAGGGTTGTTGTTGACCTCTGCTGGTGACCGGGGCTGGACTTGTTTATCAAAGATGGTCACATCTCTTAGCCAGTCTATATTGTCTCTTATCACTATTGGTTCTTCTGTGTTCCCTGGTTCCTTGCTAGCTTGGAAGATTTTCTTCAAATTCCTATCCACCCATATGATATAATTTCCAAAAACAGTGATGCCATAAGGAGTTGGGTAATGACTGCCATAACGAATCATTTCATATTCCTGTCCATCAAAATGAATTCTTGCGATCATATCTAAAGAATCATCAACCCAATAAACGTAGCCATTGTTATGGTCCACTGCCAAGCCCCGTGGTGTGACAATGCCCTCTGACACAAGCACAGTTCTGTTGGTACAGTCAAGCAAAGAACGTTCAATCTTTGGCTTTTGCCCATAGTCAGCCCAGAAGAGGTATCTGTTCTTGGGATCTACAGCAATATGCCTAGGCATATCCACTGTGACTTTAAGAAGAACACGGCGGTAGGTAGTATTGATCCGAAGAACTTCTATTAATGTTTCAGACACAAAGGCATTGGTGAAATAAAGATTTCCTACAGGAAAATGAAAGAGCATGTTGATGAATGGAAAACCAAGAAGAAAAAAGAGATATCTTTTCAAATTCAGAACAAAAATATGTGAGGTTCAAGTTTGGTCTCTATACGTTGTCTTTTCCAAGATGATAAATAAAAACCTGAGTTTAAGCTTTTAGGGTAGATTAGAGTTCATAGCAAACCTCATAGCCCACATTCTACTGAAAGGTATATTTTCCAGAATGTCCTTCCTCTTCTACCTGAAACATTGAATGTTTACTCCAAAGACTCTAAATATACATTCTGATAACTTGATGAAAGTAGCAAAGAGGAAGACCTAGCATAATCTCAGATTGTAGTGATGTTATCAAATGCTTTTTGTGTCTAAGATTAAAATGAGGTTTTTCTCTAGTCTTTCTTACTAATATAGACGTTTTGATCCCATGGACCTTCTAAAGCCACCAAAAGTCCATCTCCCTTTGGGCATGATAGCACATTATAAATGCTAGAATACAAAGGTAATGGTATGAAAATGGTATACTAAATAGAGAATGATCCAAAATTATTCATTCCGTGTAGTTGAAAGTCTGTCGTTGAACTATCAATACTGCTACCAAGGCCTACAGATTTTATTCCGATATACTTCTAGAGAAATCAGGCCAATATGAAATGTTGCTGATACATTTTTTTCATAACTTAATTCTACTTGCTACATATATATACACACACACAGATAGAGAGAGAACTATATGTGTGTGTGTATGTATGTATATATATATATTTAATCAGTTATGAATTTGTCAGTGAAGCACCTTATCATTTATTCAATAGACACATGGCTTAATCTAAATGTACAATTGAAATTATCTTAAATGATTTCAACAACTGTCTAGAAAAACAAATCTGTGACGCATGTCCTTAGGTTAAACTTTCTAGCATAAAATAAGACCTCCGAGATGCAAACACAATAAAATCAATATATAGCTTACATACCTGCTACCCAATCCACTGCAATACCACGTACTCCATTTTCTCCTATCCCACTTGTGATGATGTTTGTCAAAGATGACCCATCTGGTTTAATTCTACGAATTGCATTATAAGATGTCACATATCTACTAAAATCACACCAGTAAATAAAGCCAGAAGACATATCAACATCCACATGCAGCGCATTTCGTCCTGGAATGATTAAGGAAAGATCATTAAACAATGCTCTGGCTGGAACTAGAACTTCTTCTGAAACCCTCATTCCCAACCCCCTGCTCTGATCATCTCCCCATTATAAAATAAAACTCTTTTTTTTTCTTCCCAGATGCATGAACACAACTACCACCCAGATCTTGGTTTCTAAACACCATTTCCCACAATAAGGAGCTCTGGCTCCTGGGAGAAATGGTTGATTGTAGGTTTGGGCTGGGAAGGTACCAGGTGAGCATGGAGCAGCTTATGTACAAAAAAGCAAGGAAGCACTCAAACACTCATGTGACCATGTCAGAAGCATACAGGCAGCCAACCGAAGAGCCACTCCCTAGCCAAATGGATCAACTGGAAGACCAAAGTAGGGCCGGGTGCGGTGGCTCACACCTGTAATCCTACAACTCTGGGAGGCTGAGGCGGGCAGATTGCTCAAGATCAGGAGTTCGAAACCAGCCTGAGCAAGATCAAGACCCCCGTCTCTACTATAAATAGAAAAACTTAATTGGCCAACTAATATATATAGAAAAAATTAGCTGAGCATGGTGGCACATGCCTGTAGTCCCAGCTACTCGGGAGGCTGAGGCAGCAGGATTGCTTGAGCCCAGGAGATTGAGGTTGCTGTGAGCTAGGCTGATGCCACACCACTCACTTTAGCCTGGGCAACAAAGCGAGACTCTGACTCAAAAAAAAAAAAGATAAATTGGGGAAAAAATGATAGTTTTCCCTTATAAAAGAATCGCCCAACTAAAAAATCATTTCAGACAAAGATTATGAATGGCTGCTAAAACCAGTGGGTAAAGGTGCTTGTGAAGCAAGATATTTTCAGGGCCAAAGTGTGACTCCACAGATTTCATACCAATTAAAAAATGGAAAAATATATCTTTAAAAAGCAAGGATTTAGTGGTGACCACCTTAATCAAGTGATCAAACTCAAAAATCACTAAGAGCAGGACAAGCTGACATATGTTCTTCCTGATAAGATTCTGTATCAAGTACATAGCATCACCTATGGAGTATTCTTGCCAAATGTGTTTAACCTTGATCTAACAAACAATTGGACCTAACTTCCATTTCATGAGAAATGTAGGGTATAAACCAAAAGGTTGAATGACACCATGAGGAAATACTGAGACAAAGTCTAAAAGACAGCAGGTATGCCTCTTCGAAACATCAATGTCAGAGCAAAAAGCTAGGGGTGACTACTCCAGATTAGAAGAAACAAGATACTCCCAAGCGATGCGTGAATCCTGATTAGATCTTGGCTGGAACAACAGCTAACTAAAACATTCTGAGGACAACTGGAGAAACATGAATATGAATATTAGATGATAATGCCCTTCAGAGCTGTATACTAAAGTATGAAGGGGTAAAGTATCATGATATCCAAAATTCATCTTCAAAAGATTCATAAAAAATGAGTGTGTATGTATATGTATTTACACGCACACATACACACAGATTGAGAGCTAATAGAGCGAAATGTTAGCAATTGTCAAATCTTGGTCAAGGGTATAAAAATGTTTGCTGTACCTTTCAACTTTTCCAGGTTTGAAAAATTTTTAAATGAAAAGTAGGGAGGAAAAGAACACTGAAATTTTAATATTTTTATAAGATGATAACTTAGATCTATAACGTTTTAGATATGGAAAAACGATGAGTCATGAGCACATGTAAATATTAATATGCCCATCAAGCAGGAGCATGTATGGTGCTAGACGCCAAATCCTTCTCCAGATTCATTTCTGACTCTTTTGATCATCCCTTCATCCTTTTCTCTTTCCTTTCTACTCCTTCCTTCCTTCCTTCCTTCCTTCCTTCCTTCCTTCCTTCCTTCCTTCCTTCCTTCCTTCCTTCCTTCCTCCCTCCCTTCCTTCCTCTCTCTTTCTTTCTTTCTTTTTTCTGTCTTTAGCCTGTGACATACTCTTTGTATGCTAGAAAACTCTTAGTTCCTCTTATGGTAGCATATACCTAAAAACATTGGTTCAGCTAGGAGGCAAGTTATCATTTGATATACTCACAGTTCATAAGCATAAAGTGCTACACAAATATGATTATTAATGAGACACCAATACTATGAACTCTTTTACTTCAATTCAACAAATATGGACTATGTTAAATACTAGCATACCTTCTACCCTAAATCTCCACTGAACAGTCAGAACACAGTTCTTTTGAACACCAAATCTGTAATACTTCTTGCAAACTCTTGCTACCTTCTATATTGCTGAAGGCCTGTGGTCCTCAGTGTGGTCTGTGGGCCAGCAACATCACCCTGGGAATTCGTTATAATATAAATGTGGATTCTCTAGCCATATCCTAGACTACTAAATGAGAAAAATCTGGGGATGGGGCTTCGGCTGTGGTGTAATGAGCTCTCCAGGTGATTTGGGTGCATACTAAAGTTTCAGGACCACTTTAAGCTGAACCAGGTGATTTAATGGGAAAGACAATCTTCATTATTTGCTGAAGCCAAACATGAAGAAATGCTTTTAGTACACCAAGGATTTCAACTTGGCACCAGATGGAGTAAAATCTCACTTTTACTGGAGTTGGCATACCTTGGCCTGCCACTGGCACCATGGCTTCTGAATGATCTGACACTGCCAAGCTAAAGCCTCGTATTGCAGACAGCATTGAAACAACAATGAAAGAGTCATATGGAGAGCAGGTCCGATGATCAGGATTGAGTTTAAATCCAGTGGCACAGGCACAAGAGAACAGTCCCCCTGGTATAGGCAGGCACATCTGCTGACAGGCATTCAAGTTGTTGCTACAGCCATTTGAGGATTCGGCCGCATCTAAATGAAATAAAAAAATCAGTTTGTAACTTGTGACCCTACCTACTTGCCACTCCATCTCAAATTTTTAAAATTTGGTTGCCAAATAATTCATTACAAAAATTAATAACAAACATACAGTAGCTAAGTTAACGAAGTAAAAACTATATTAGAGAGACTAGAGCTTATACAATAACACTTAACAGTATTAAAACAGTACCCCAAATATTTTGTAATAGTTATAGAGAATAGGGCTTCAATTGTTTTTCTTCTGAGAATAATTGCAAGGATTAGGGAGGTCAGTATATAAATCTGTTCATTTTTGCCCTCTTGACCTATGCATTTAAAATCATATCACTTTAATTACGTGATTGACAATGTGATGGGCATTTGTATATAAAATATTTAAAGAATATTCTTTATAAGAATAAAGATATTAATTTTTATAGCATGCACTTTTTCACATGCAATAAAAATAAATATCAGGAACAGGGGAGAGGGAGAAAAAATAAATACCAATTAACAAACCTAGGTTATAGGACAGGAAACAAATTGATAATCTTTGGTTGGAGACTAAAAGCTATAATATATGTCAACACTGTAAAAAGTAATCACTATATCATATTGCTAATTTAAAGGGGCAAAGCAAAAGTTAGATTATCTTTGAAAGAATAAGATCCAAAAGTAGCACTTGTCCGGCGGTAGTCATCCAACAAACACTCCCTGAACGCTTTCTCTGTGCCAGGCACTATTTCTGTTACTAGGTATGGAGCAGTAAACAAGACAGACAAAATGCCTGCCTGTATGGAGGTTACATTCTTATAAGCAACATAGACAATAAATAAACAAGTAGATTATATGTCAGGGAGTGCTATGAAGCAAAAGCAAAGTTAGGAATTAAAAGTGATGGGAAAAGAAAGAAAACAAACTTACTCTAAAGCCAACTTGGCCTTTCTGATGCCAGATTAGCCATGCTTAAGACATGCTCATTGTTTTTTAAAATATTTGGGGTAACTTCAATTTGTATGCATGTGTGTGTACATGGGAGTGTGTGGGCGTGTGTTTACAGTGTGTAGATGTGTGAATGTGCACTATACATCCATGAATGTGTTTGAGTGACAAATACTTACTGCGTCTATGATAAACTCGAAGTCCCCTCAGATCTGGAATATTGTCTCTCAAGACTACTTTATTTGCCCCAGTAGCCTTCTCAACTCTTTCGATAACCTCATAATGTTCGTCAGTGTAGTAAAGGAAGGAACCAAAGACTGCGATTCCCCAGGGGTGGGAAAGTTGGTGTACCAGGATCGTTCGACCTGTTCCATCCACATTTCCACTTTCAATCTAAAGAATCAGAATTTTCATTAGTTTTACTGATTTGTAGCGAAATAAGAGAACATTTTAAAACTAATACTCTCCTAATTATAATACCTCACATTTACATATCACTTCCTCCTTTACAGAGATTTTTCAAATCAGATACATATTCTCTGATTTGATAGTCACAACTACACAGAGCAAATATTATGCCCCTTTCACTGATAATGAAGATAGAGTCAAGCAGTCACCATGCCTTCTGAGATGGCATGGTGAAGAAAAAAGGAACTAAACCACTAGTCATGCCTGTGATAGTCTCGGCAAGGATACATTTAAATGTCTGAGTGTAGCCCATTACACAGGAGCTGACCAACCCTGGGTATAACATCCTCACCAACAATTTCTGTAATGAGGATAGGAAACATGCCCCATACCATCAGAGAGGACAGCAAGACTGGAAGTGGGCCAGGGATGGCACTGTTATATTAGAACAGGTAAGAAACTTTACTCCACATGACTTTGGTAAACTGGAAATGAATTCATAAGAATAAAGTTCCTGATGGGAAATGACAAATTGTCTTCTTCTGGAAAGAAAACAAAATGTAGATGTAGCTGGTTTAATTTCACTCCAAAAACCTGTCTCAAGTGCCTCCTCTGTGCCAGCATCGGAGCTGCATAGTGGTGAAAGAGACAAGCGAGGTTTGGCATCATGCCTCCCTGGACAAGGGAACCCAGCAGTTACAAGAACAGGTTATGCCCTAGAAACTGAAGGAAGTTCCAGAAGGCTAGGGCATAGGGAAATGAGCCTGGACGAAAGCTGCCAAAGGAGGGACCAGTTCAGATGAGAGCCGTGAGCTACTCCTCTGTAGTTCCTCTACAGGAAACTGTGCACATGCTATAAAGAACTGGACCTCAACTAGAGAGAGATTTGCTCAAGGGAGAGAAGTTATTGGAGAGAGAGCAATAAAACATAGGTACATGCTGCCCAGTAAGATTGTTCAAGAACCACTGCCAGCCAACTCAGAACACTCAGTATCAACCACACAAGCCCAGCAGTCAACCAAAAGACGGAAAGGGTGCTAGTACCACTCCTCTTCCAGTGACAGCCCAGTAGAGTTTCTGCTCCTCGATGTCAAGGGTGATAAACTCCAGGTGTTCAAGGTTCCCAGTGAAAAGAACTTTTAATGATGTGCCATCCATGTTAGCACTTGCGATCTTGGCAGGAACCCCACCGTCAGTTCCTTGGTCTGACCAATACAGTTTCCTACAACCATAAGAAACACCAGCATTTAACAAAACAGAAGGTGGATTAGAGTGAATGACATTTATAAGTTAAACATTTAAACGAAAATGTGTATTTCTTGTCCTCAAGATGCTTCCCAATCAAAGTGTGAAACATCAATGCCTTGTTGCATACAATGTGTAGGAGTACTTAACCAGTGTTCTGTCAACGTCTGTCCATTTCCTAGTTATTATTGGGGTAGAGGCCATTTTATTTTATTTTATTTTTTGAGACAGAGTCTCACCCTTTGCCCGGACTAGAGTATCGTGGCGTCATCCTAGCTCACAGCAACCTCAAACTCCTGGGCTCAAGCGATCCTCCTGCCTCAGCCTCCCGAGTAGCTGGGACTACAGGCATGCACATGCCCGGCTAAATTTTTTCTATATATTTTTAGTTGGCCAATTAATTTCTTTCTATTTATAGTAGAGACGGGGTCTCGCTCTTGCGCAGGCTGGTTTCTAACTCCTGACCTTGCGCGATCCTCCCACCTCGGCCTCCAAGGCCATTTCAAACAGTATCTAAAACAAGAAAGAGTTTCCATTGGCAGCTGAACCTCTAGTTCAGACAGAGGTGTGGGAAACAAATGACAAAGAACAAGCCTACAGCAACATCTTCAGAGAATCACACACTCTGATTACACTGGAAAGGCTAAAGCCAATGTGAAAAGTTGTCAAGTACCTCCTTGTTCACTTATCAGTCCTCTTATTTAATTCTTCTCAAAATCATCATCAACCACAAGGCCAGCTGCTTGCTTAATGACCTAACCTGATTTCTGTTATGAAAAATGCAGAGTTTTGAAAACTAATACAGAAAGCAGCCATGCTGACAGGGGGTATGTATGACTTATTTTCTTTCTAATTCAAAGGGATACCAATGAACTGTATTCAATACTTATGTACACATGAACCGTAAATCACCGCACAGCATTGCCCAGTCCATGATATATGAAAATTCATTAAAACGAACAAAGGGCTTCCACTGAAGACACAACTTCTAGACTTGAAGGCAAGTTTCAATTCCCTTTGATCTCACCTCCTGCTATGGCTCCAATAGACAATCCTCCTACTCTCTTTTCTCAAAAGTCTTCAAACTCCTTAATTCAAATAGTCTTTATTCATAAAACTCTTCTACCACTAAATCAATACACTCATCCTATGAATTTCATCTTGAACTCTGAACTTCTCTGCCTCTAAGTTCGCAAACTTTGAAATTCTCTGCTTTGACCAAAGTCTCCCATCTCTTCCCTGCTCTAATTTCATTTTTCTTATTAAACTTGTTCTTTGCCCTTAAACCCTGCCTGAGCTCCCAAAGCTCCAATCCCTCTATACTTGGACATCATAGGGATATAACATACCTGGACATACGTAACCGTTTCAACAATATTCTTATTTATTCCTTTGGGCTCCTACTGTGCATAACTTGCTAATCACCAACACTGAGTTACTGCCATTTTTTTTCTTTCTCCTCTCCCATTCCAGGCTACCAAGAGATTGCTGCACATAGCACAAAACTCCTGTGAATTCTGAGTTCACTAAAAAGGTAAGCTTCCTAATCTTAGCTGAGCATTCTCATCCCCAGCTGACTTTATATAATGTTCCTCAAATCAGCTCATTCAAGTTGTCTCTATTGTTCATAAATTTCTAATTCAATCTCCATAACGTTCACGCTTCATCATTGATCTTTTATCTGTTCCTAAAAATATGCTTGGAGTTCCCTATTCTAAAGGATATTTTTCTGTTCTTTTTGACCTACAAGTTTATCTTTCCCTAACTTTTCAATTAAAAGAGTAGTCATATTTCCTCATCTTCCTTTCACTGTTTAACTTCTTCTATTTTTATTGAACATCTTCTCTCTAATGAGTGACTCTATAATTGCCTCAACCCCTTATTAGTGATCATCTAAAGAGATATTTTTCTGCAGCAACTGCTTCAATAACATTGATCATAATTTCTCAAGACTTTCTCTTTACCGAGCATCCAAGACAGTATATCCACAAGTCTCTGTCCTGTTTCTCCTCCTACCTACTCTGACAAAATTCTCAGCTCTTTTAATTGCCTCCTAACCCACCAGGGCTGCTGTTGGTTACCTGAACAAACCCTCACTTTTCTACCCCTTTGCTCTTGACTTTCCTTCCATCATATCATGGGTGATATCTTCAAAGGCAGCTCTACCTTATGAAATTCTATGTATGCTTTAACATCCAGTCCAAATGACATCACCTCCACCAAGCTGAAAAGTCTTCTCTCCATAGCACTACCGTCCCAATTTTTTAGGCTCTCTTATAGCTCTTAACCATTTATGAACCTGGTTAATACATAATTAATACATAATTAACCAGATTAATTAAAATATAATACATTGGTTTTATCTTTTTTACTAAGGTATAAATTCTTGAGGTGACAAATTGGATCTTTAATCATCATTATATCCACCTCTTAAAATGCCCACCATGGCTCCATGAAAAAGAATATTTCCGCACACCAAAATCAATGTCTACCTCTTCTTTCTGGGTAAAAAGCTGGATTGCATGTCCTTCCTTGCAATTAGCTGTGGACATGTGACTGAATTCTAAGGTGTTCCTTCTTCTAAAAGAATAACCGAAAACTAGAACAAGCCAGCAAGAATAGAATGGAACTTTTGCTTTCTGTACCCTTTAAGAATTGGATTTGGTTTACATGTCATCCTTATTTAAAGCAGAAAGTTCATGGAAATTACTTCTTCATTTCCCTTCCACAAATCTAATGACTTTCAAACAGAAAGTCAAAATCCACTTGGAATGACACCACTCTTTTAAAAAAAAAAAAAAAATGAATGCTCTTAACTTTACAACTTATTATTCTGATTTATAATACAGTATAGTAGTTCAACTGAATGAATACCTGATCAAACAGTCCAGAGGACACTAGCCTATATCCATTAAGACTGGGCTCCCTGCTTCTGGCCTCTCTCCACTCCAATCCTGACCAACCTTTCTGAGATACAGATTTGGTTTTATTATTCCCTTCCTCAAAATTCCCTGCTGCCTCCATATTACTCCAATGAATAAAGTCCAACTCCTCAACATGACATTTAAGGTCCTCCAATGACCTTAGCTGCTGTATCTTCCATCTGCTCAACTGTGCCCTACTTGGAGCCTCTAGTGTGGGTCTTCTCCAGAGTCATCATGGTTGTGCTCAACACCACCACGCTCTGTTCCCTCATGGCTCCCCTGGCCTCCAGTACCACTCCCTGGTTCCAACAGAATCTCCACCTCCTGTAAGCCTTCTCTTCCTTCAAGGTCTATTTGCAAATGTTATATACTTCCTGAAAGCTTCCTGTGCCTTTTCAAAGTCACAATATAATGTCCATCCTTTTATATATATATATATATATATATTTTTTTTTTTGAGACAGGCTTGCTCTGTCACCAAGGTTGGAGTGCAGTGGTGTCATCACAGCTTATTGCAACATCAAAATCCTGAGCTCAAGTGATCCTCCTGCCTCAGTCTCCCAAGTAGCCAGGACCATAGGCCTGTGCCACCAACCTGGCTAAGTTTTAAATATTTTGTAGAGATGGGGTCTCACTATGTTGCTCAGGCTAGTCTCAAACTCCTGGCCTCAAGCAATCCTCCCAACTCAGACTACCAAAGTGCTCGGATTACAGGTGTGAGCCACATAGTCTCATTCTTATAATTCTGTTGTGAATTTCCTGAAATTCCAGCTTACTTGGAATTAATTTTAAGTCCAGTATTATTACTTTGAAGAACATAAAACAAGATACAAATTATATCTTTCACATTAAATGTAGCTCATAGCTATTTCTCTTTTTCACTGTGATTGATATTTTTGAAATGTTGACATGTGAAATAAGAAAATGTCCTAAGCTTGAAATCTTCCATTTTATCAGATCATGACATTGATAAGAATGGTGCTGCATTGAAGACACATGCCACTATGAACACTCACCCACGAACAGGATCAACAGTTATGCCAACTGGAGAGCCAACTCCAAGAACTGTTCCATCATTGGTGATCAGGGTCTTTCTGTACCCGACATTTCCCCGCAGTGTGCAAACCTATAGCATAAAATCGCATATAATCACTTATTAGAATTGAGTTTCATAATGGGGAAACAAAGAAAGCTGAGGTGAAGGTGAACTTACATACAAAACAAATTCCAAAGCACGATTAGGGATGAATGTGAGGGAGTTTGCATGAGATTCAGATAATCTCTGATTGCATTTCAGGGCTATGAGGAAATCAGCTCAATAGAAAATAAGAGTAACAAATGCAAAATCACCTCCCAAATTCCTACTTCCAATTCCTCTAAAATTTCAGGAGAAAAATTTTGCTGACAAAATACAGATTTAAATGGGTACACATACAGAACCACTGCCTGAAGAAACTGCAAAAAAAAAAAAAAAAAAAAAAATACCCCCAGAAAAAGCTAAGAGAAAAACTCAGAAGACAAATGGGAACCCCTTAGCTTTCCTGCACCCCACCCGCTAGGCCACAGCACTGCAAACACAGTTCATCAAAACAGCACAAATTCACTCAGGCTTACAGCGAATTTTGTTCCGAGTCAACAACCTGAATTGTTGACACTGAGTGGAAATCTCTGCCCTGCGAGGTCCTGACTGTATGACCTGAGGCAACGGAAGTCACCTCTCTAAACGTAGTTTTTTTCTTTTTTTTACAGTGCATTCTAGTTCCTTCTGCACAGAGCTCATAGGACTAAGAGGTAATGCAGAGAGCACTTAGCACAGCACTCAGCACAGCTGTGCACAGTAAGTGCCTCACTTACTATATACCAGACATTATACCAAGCACTATTGTTGTTTAATCCTCACAAATAATTCTGTGAAGTGAACACCATTACTATGTCTATATTACAGATGATGCAAAACAGGTCTAGAGAGGTTTAGGGGCTTTCCCAATTATCTATTTTTAATTATCATTGTAATAATCACAAAGTTAACAGGACCCTAACACAGCACAAAGAAATATGGTTTATTGGACAAGGAGGAAGTTTCTTACAAGAATTAGACGATTTTAATACCCTCCTGAGACAAAGAGACAACTAATAAGATATTAGAAAATGCCTGTTGATTTGCATTAAGGTTTTCCTATAAAATTGCTGTTCAATACAAATACAATGTCTATGTTTCTTTCTCTCTCATACACAACCTTCTTCTCTACCTGGTTCTTCTCCCTAACTTTTTCTTGCTCGTGCCTCTCTAGCACCTTTTTTTTGAGACACAGTCTCACTCTGTTGCCCCAGGTAGAGTGCAGTGGTGTCATCCTAGTTCACTACAACCTGAAACTCATGGGTTCAAGTGATCCTCTTGCCTCGGCCTCCCAGAGAGCCAGGATTATAGGCGCAAGCCACGAAGCCCGGCCTTTATGGCACATTTCACTCCCACTTGGAACAAGATAATTTTTCTTTTTTCAATTTGCCTCTTTCTGCTACAATTGTTTTCCTTTCCCTAGGTCTAAGGACCTCTTTGGTTGAAAAGAAAGTACCTTTCCTTGTTTTCTGGAATGCATTAAGATCTTGCTCTCACCCAGCCACTCAGTAGGCTTCACATTTCAGCTATAAACTTTCTTTTAGTGAATGGGCACACAGCTACCCCTAGTGGAAAACAATTTCTTCAATGTTTCTCTTTTATTTTCAAGTGGATTTTATGTCCAAGGAATTAAATGTGAATTACTGTAACTCTGAAGGAATATTATACAGGTAAACAGAGAGTGGACACAATTCCTATTTCCTTAATTAATCTGCAAATCACCTGGAAGAATTGCTTACAGTTTATATCACCTAATAGAAAAACCAATAAAAACATTAAAAGGGCGATTGATTTACCCTTGGATCATTATTCCCATAGGTCTTTTGTGGATATTCTAAATATACTGATAATTTGACGAAAACAATGCTCTGTATTTAAGGGACACCTCAGTACAATGTACTTTTACTTACTGAGCTCCTAACCCCACTTTACAGATAAGAAAGCAGAGGCTCCGAGAAGTAATTTGACCAAGGTCAAATAGCTCATGAGTGGAGAAAATACAAAATCTAATGGTGTCCCCAGTCACAAAATGCATTTCCATATTTCAGGGACTTTATTCAAGTGTTTTTCTCTGCCTGGGATACCTTTTCCCTACTTCTTCATCTGGCAAAAATAAATACAGCAGTCCCTCCGTGTACATGGGGAATCTGTTTCAAGACCACCCAGAGATGCCTAAAACCTCAGATAGTACTGAACTCTACTATGTTTTTTCCTGTACATACACACCTATGATAAAGCTTAATTCAGAACATGGATAATATACTGTAACAAAAGTTATGTGAATGTGGTCTCTCTCTCTCTCTTTCTCAGAATATCTGAAAATACAGTACAATATTTTCAGACCACAGTTGAATGCAGGTAACTGAAACCTAAAACAGCATAACCCTCAGATAAAGGGGGACTTATTAGCCACCCTTCAAGACTCTGCTCACTAGCACCCACTAGTGGGAAGCCTGCATTCTCCCTTCCCTCACTTTTACCTCTGACCCTAAAGACTAGCACTTTCTAGGATCTTATCACACTGGAGCACAGGTATTTGTTTTTGTGTCTGTCTCTCAGATGTGTGAGTGCCTTAAAGGCAGAAATATGTTTTATTCATCTTTGAATATCCAGGATCAACCATGGAACTGATCCAGAGAGCATTTACAGGTGCCTGTTAAATGAATGAATAAAATGAGCAGACACAAAGCCAGGTCTTTGGGCTCCAAATCCAATTATCTTTCCTCTGTACCACACTGTATTGAGGAACAATTACAGACTGTTGGCTCATGTGCTTAAAGTGGCCTTACCAGTACACACCCGTGCATACATGCTCGGTTAGTCTCCACCTGGCTGCCTTTTCACTGTACCCAACACAGAGAAGAGGATATGGTACCTAATTATGAAAACCTATCAAGTTAAAACAAACAAACAAAAAACCCCAGTCAAGAGACTAAGAGATAGTAAAAGAGCATATTAACTGTCATTTGGAATTAAGACTGCTTTGCACTGAGGAGACTCTAGGGAGACATGAGTTTGGTATTAGAGGTCTTAGGCAGTAAATGTTGCCTATGTTTTGATGGATGATATTTTTAGTTGAAATTATTGTTTTAGTTGAAAAAATATCTTCTGCCCCTGTCAAAAAGGGTTAAACAAGTCTGGATCATCGGAGTTATAGTTTATAACAGGGCAAAGAGAAAACACTGCCCTGATTCCTGGCCAGCTGACCATTTGGTCCAGTTTCTTAACTTCTGTGAGTCTCCGTTTCTTATGTAAAAAAATAAGGGCTTGAACCTGATGAACCTCGAAGGGTCCCCTGGTGTTAACACCTGACGATTCTACTTAGTTTGACATCCTCCATTGAGTTAGTATTTGTGCATCTTGCAAATTTCCCAAAGAACAATGAGCTTAAGCGCTGATGCCCACGTAAAGCAGTGGACTGTGACTCTACAGAGGGTTACTAACTGTCCCTTTCACAAAACCCTCTCTTTGCTTTAGGAGGTTTCACTTTCAAAATTAATATGAATTAATAATCCCTTACATGTTTTATCCTTGTCCCATAGGGGAGCAAACCCATCTTAATCAAGTTACCTCTGATTTACTTCATGTGATTTCATACCTACACCTCATCTAGAATTTCTTCTGGGAATTAGAGTAAAAGGAACACTTATCTCAAAGAGGAGAGTATCAAAGGAATTAGAATCATGTTTCTACTTTCTGTTTCACTGTTAGAAAAATTATAGTGGAGTAATAAAAAGATTTCCAACTAAGAACAGAGGTAACGTATATAGTTGAGAACTGAAATAATGATTAGATGAGGAAAAATAATGAAAATCCCTGCCTACCATAATCTTCCCTTCATGTTGAATACCTTACATAATTTTTTATTTATCTTCTTATATATTATTTTGTAAATCACCTAAAATACTCTTATAGGAACAAGGTGGTATTGATAATTAGGAGGAAACAAAATAAGGCAGCACCAAGTTTCAAGAATTCATTTTTAAGGTGGTTTTCCTCCTTAGCTTCAGACACTGTGATAGTTAACAGTAACATCTCTTACCTTCTGCTTCTTGCTTAAAAAATACCAAAGTCCACGAGAGCATTTACTGAGAATAGAATTTATATGAAACTGAAACCAGTGTGTATGTACATAGTATTATGGAATCATTACCTCAATTGAATGAGTTCCAGAATTAGTGGAATAAAGGTTTCTTGATACCCAATCTAAGGCCAAGCTCATAGAAGACCCCAACATAGACAAAGAAGAAAACACGGTCCTATTGGTGCCGTCTGTTTTCACTCTGTGAATTTCACCCTGGGAAGACAGACAGAAGGAGGTGAGGTGCTTCAAGGCCACAGCTCCTGCATAAGAGCACTTACTTCACAGAGGCTACCGCCAGCTGCTGCATTTCTTTAGCAAACAAACGTTCAGCACCACTGGGTAGGTTCAACGTGCACGATGCTAAAGCCAGCAACATTTTTTAAAACACTGAGTTTTAAGTGTGTCACAGGAATACACAGGGCTTACTGTTCAGGCTATCTTTGGTATTGGCTACAGAGATATTTCTTAACAACCACCTACACAATCATTTAAAAAAAAAACAAAAAACCCTAAGTCACAGATGTGGATCAGAAGCCAAGTGTATATTTTGTAGAAGGGTCACAAGCATCAAACACAAAAATCTTTCTTTCTTCCTCCTTCATATTCTTCTTGCCCTTTCCTCATCCTTGGAAGGGGGAAGAAAAGGTTCCAGGGGGAAGGGAATTGGAGGAATGTGATTATACTTATCCTAGAGGCAGATTCTGAACAAAGCCCAGCAGCCACATCAAATACTTTCCCGGAATTCCCTTAGGGAACTACTATTTTGTCTTGCAGTACAGTCATTTTACATGTTAGTCTGGCATTTTGTTAGCTTAAAACTCATCTTGGGCAAGCTTTGTGTCTGCTGCGTCTTGGCATGTATTCTGCAGTTAAAAGCAGGCAGTCCCGTGCAGGGCAAATTACAGGTACTAATTACATACTTGCTGAATGAATAAATATACAAACAGCATACCTTTGTTTATTGTTCTAAAGCTAAAGAGTTTTTTGATCTCTGCTCCAGGCCAAGTTCACATTTACATCCCTCACTGGACTATTTCCCTTTTAACCACCCAACAAAAGTTTGCTTATAAGAGGGTATCAAAAAAAAAAAAAAAAAAAGAGGGTATCAGCGCAGACAGGCTCTTCAGGAATAAATTATATACTTCGATGTTATTCAGAACTTACTGGATTCTCAACCCAATAGATGAACTGCTCTCCTTCATCAAATTCAACATCATAACCATTTTGTATCCCTGCTATAGGAACCATGGCATCATTGCTCTTCACATCGGGATTAAGAGAGATTCCAAAAATTATATGTTGTCTTACAGTTATTAAGAAAGGTTGATCATCTGTGAAAATAGCAAAATGTCAGTCAAACTTGTATCCCACTATTCCAAGACATTTAGAGTAAGGGATGGTAGTAGATTGTTACCATTGTATGGCCTCAAATGCCATTGCAGCCTTGTAGTGATAAATACACATATAGTAGATATTTCTTCAGGCAATCATGGGTCTTCCATAGAGTTATAGTGGGTTGCTAAGTCACAAGACCTCCAACCTCACATACAACACTGTCTGGATTTTTCCAAGGCAGATTGGCATTTATCTTATTTTTCATTAATTCCTTACTTACACGGACATACCATCCATGTTTGTTAAAGTTCACAGTCAGGAGGTTCTTCCATTTCTACACATAGACAAACCTTGCTAATACTGAACTCAAGGAAAGGAGACTTGGGTCTTGCCAAAAAAAAAAAAAAAAGGTGAAAGAAAACTTTTATGGTGAACAGCAGTTTACTAGTTTTAAACACATTCAGAAAATAAAGCACTATAAAGTGTTGCCTAGAGACCTTAATTAATAAACAAATACAAAAGCTCTCATTTTAAAATTGTATAACATAAAATTAGAAAAATGTAGAAATATCTCATAATTCCCTTATCCCAACTATAACCACTATTGGCACTTGTCTGTGTTCTTCCACTTTTTGACTGTATGTTTTTACAAGGCTGATATTGGACAATTCTGCTTTTGCCCTTAACTGTATCATACAAGCACTTCCAAACATATTCCAAACACTTAGTAAACACTATTTTAAAGGCTATAGAACAATTAAATCAAGTAAAATGTTTTCATCTATAAATGTTAATGACTCTTCTAAACTTTTGTTGGAAAAATATGTGTAACCTTTTTTTACTTAGCATATATTGGCATTCAGTTATCCAACCAGTACTCAGGATCAAACTGGGAAATACTGGAAAAGTTCCACTTGAGTGAAGTCAACCCATAGAAAAACCACTAGTGGAATTATTTATGAAACAACAAAAGACACTATTTATAATTAACACTTATCCATCATCATCAGAGAGTAATATTGATTACACCAATCCCCAAAGCACAGTTCAATAATCTTTGAGCAGTGAATGAATGCTTTGTATCCAAAACATCTACAACCCAGTTTAATCTTGTCCTGAAAAACTCTAAGGACACACTAAATTAAACAATGTCAACAAAGATTAGGTTCATAATAAGTCTCTGAGAAAAAATGGCAAATGCCAATCTCTTTGTAAGCATTACAAATAATTAAAATCTTTCATCATGAAAGTATCATTGCACAACATTAAATGCTGATGGAATTTGATTTTCAGTAAGCCTATATCTGCATAATCTATAAACACTATAAATTTCTTGGATTCAGTATATATTTCCCACTTGAAAACTAAATTTCCCTCTATATTTAGGACTCTATTATCTCTTAATTTCAGAATATGGTGTCATTAAACATTTCATTTTAACTTGCCTACAGGTATTTTTATCAGCATCAAAACACATTCACTCCTCTTAACGGAGAAACAAAATGGAGAATGATTCTTAAGAAGGGTTTATTATACACAAGTACACACTTCAAAAGAAATAGCATCTTTCACTCCCTAAAGTACTTGGTATAATCCTCTGCATGCTCGGCCATTCACCCAGTAAAATGTCTCTAGGATAAGATTAAATTGCTCAAATAACCACAAAATATCTCCTACAGAGACAGCACTCCTTCTTAAAGTATCACACAGTCATACTAAAGTCAGAAGACCCAGGCTAGAACACTCATCTCTGACTATTGGTTATGAGAGAATAAAAACGAGACAATGGATGTGAAGCCACACACAAATGTTGAGAATTTTTACTTATCAAGTGCAGAATTTGGAACTTCTCACTACTATAGCTTGTCAGCAATGTCTAACTGTAGCCAGGTGAGTGAAAATATGAGGCACAGATTTTCTAGTGACATGCACAGACATTAGTTCCACGTACAGACACTATTTTACAACTGAGGTACTCAATTAAACCACCCACACACACACCTTCCACAGACACTTGCACAATCAAAAGGAACACAGCACGTGCTCAGGCGCAAGTGAGTTGAACGTTTTCGTTGCTAGGCACAAACAGTGACAAGCTCCACCTTCGAAGCCCACTGAAGGAGCGTACTTTACCTCTCAGGCAGCTCACAGAATCGGAAGAGAGACTCCATCCTGAAGGACAAGCGCAGGAGTAAAAATTAGGCCCCTGTGAGGAAAGCAGGCACAGATGGCTGCAGTGGGCAGAGGCACATGGATTCACGGCTGTATGAGAAAGAGAAGGGAAGCGCTGGTGAGTGGAAAATCTCCTGCGGTTAAATCAAAATAGAGTCATGCTCTTATAGCATCCTCCAAGAGGCCCCTGGTATTTGGAGATCCAAGTACTTCAAGTCATCTCCATTGTTTTGTTTTGTGTTCCTTAAACTACTGTACCCTTCCCTAGCATTATGCTTTCAACATAAAATTCCTAAGAGGCACAAAAGAGGAGCGACTTACCCAGGTCACAGGTCTATCCAGTCTATACCTGGATTATGAACAAATAGCCACTGAGTAATCCGTAATTTAGTAATAGAAATATGATGCTAAATAATACGTCTCCTTACCTTACCTAAAAGAGATCTTTTTGCATTGATGAAAGTTGTGTGCTTGCTATGTGACCTTGACATTTGCCTCATGTGGCCCAGGTTTGGGTTAGATGATAATCTTTTATTTTTCTACTGATGACATCCCTATGTCCGTGCTCCTTGAAGAGGGATCCTGTACGACTGCTCTTAACATCCCCTTAGCACCTGCACAGGGTGTTCCCTAGGTCCTATGTATTCTCATTATACACAATACCTTCATTCACCCCCAATTTATTAAGCATTCACTACCTACTAAACACCATTCTAAGCACGGAGGATGCTATAAAAGTGGAGTATATAGTCTAGAAAAAAGAGACAGAACTACACTCATAAATCATGTGTCTCTGGGTGTGTGTGTGTGTGTGTGTTTGTGTGTGATTTCAGGACATGCAGGCAAAGAGCAAAAGAATTGTGAAGGGGTAGCTATTTTAGGTAACGCAGTTCAGGAGGGCCTCTCTGAGAAAGTGACATTTGGGCAGAACCCTAAATGCCATGGAGGAGCAATTCATGCAGAGATCTGGAGGAGAAATGCTGCAGACAGAGGGAAGAGCCGTTGCAGAAGTTCAGAGGTGGGAAGTCACCTGGTGTGCTTCCAGACCACAGCGAAGTCCAACGCAGTGATAGTAAGAGGGAGAAGAGACCAGGGAAGTAGAATGGGCCAGATTCTGGTAGCAATAAGAGGATCTGAAGTCTATACTACATTTGTCAACTGAGGAAACTGAGACTCAGAAAAGTCACAGAGGCAGCAGCCAACTGCTGAATAACATGACACAATGCACATGTGCTGCTGTTACATCCAAGATTTGTGTTTTCCATAGTAAATAAAAGTAATGGCAATGTTAGGACTGGGGACAGGCTGGAGTAGGGTGGTAAGGGGAAAAGGAAATTTACTGCCCAAAACAAATGAGTTCGCAATAGTGTGCTCCTAGCATTCCCAGAATAAATGTTTCCAAGCTATTCCCAGGCAGGAAATTTCTCTGTATCACTTACAACTTGGCTGTTTCGAAGGATGAACTGCAACAATCCCAAGGGGTCGGTACATATTGTACATTACAACTGACTGGTTGCCCCCATGCCACTTGTTGGCCTGCATAACCTTTTGAGTAGCACCATTTGTCCAGAACACAGAATCCTCGAAGAGAGTGAGGGCATAGGAACGCCGCAGAACCTGCAAGGCAGAATGGAACACTGAAACCTCACCCAGAAATAGAAGCCAAAGTGAACCCAGTCGGCTCAAGAAGATGGTTTCCTTTAGCATGTCATTATCTAATAAAAACAAAGGGAAGTCACTGTGCAAGAAAGAGGCAAAAATTTTACCACTGTCCTATAAACCATGATCGCACTCAAAGTACTTTCACAAACACCTGTCATTTACTCTTCATGCTTACCCTGGTAACTACACTGGAATCCACTTTACAAATGAAAAACTGCAGCACAGAAAGTAAGGAAAGGGTAATTAGAGGTTACATGCAACTAAAGAACATAGTTAGAGGTTCCTTATCCCGCCAAGCCCCAGTCCACACTCTGTTCCCACCACTCCTTGTCCCAGGCTGTTTCTACCCTCTTGTTCTGCCTCTCTCTGATTCACACCAATCTGTTACAGTTTAGGTATTTATTTCCTGAAGGTAGGGAGGCCCTCCCAGGGTCTCTTCAACTCCCACCAACTATAAACAATGGCAATTTTAAATCAAAGTCAACAACAGCTCTTTGGTAAAATGCATATTTTTCTATTAGTAATAGAGGAGAGGTAGCCCCTCACTGTTATTGATATTTCCTGGATTGACCTGATAATATCTATGACACAAAAATTTTCTTGATACTCATCTACTTTTTACCTATTTACTATTGTAATTTTCTTTCTTTCTTTCTTTCTTTCTTTTTTTTTTTGAAACAGAGTCTCATTCTCTTGGCTGGGCTAGAGTGCTGTGGTGTCAGCCTAGCTCATAGCAACCTCAAACTCCTGACCTCAAGCGATCCTCCCATCTCGGCCTTCCAGAGTGCTAGGATTATAGGTCACAGCCACTGCACCCGGCTGTAGTTTTCATTTGGTTGTCCTCACTACCAACTTACCATATTACTGGCTATCACCTGCCTCCGATGCTGTCCATTATAATCACAAAAGTCTATGTAATCAAGATAGGCATCCATGAAGTACAGCAGTCTGTTGGGGTAGTCAATAGTCAAGCCACTAGGCCAGTGGATCTTGTCCTGGATAATGACAGTTCTCAAAGTGCCATCCATGCTGGCTCGCTCAATACGAGGGTGTTGGCCCCAGTCAGACCAGAACAAAAGATGTTCACTGTGAAAAGAAAGGAATTACCAATCTCAGGGGACATATTTCAATATGAAAAACACTGTCAGTTTAAATAATGCAATATCCTGTTTATGATCTGCTTAAAATAAATCATCCCCAATTCAGAATCTACACATAGAGTTGTATTATTTCCTCTGAGTGTCACGAAGTAAAATGGTAATCACATTGCAATCACAAGCCATCTGGATGTTTTTAGAATTTTCGTAAAACATGCAGTTCATTATGACATTGAAATGTCTTAATGCCAATTCATGTTTGTTTGTGTACAACCGACAAATAGTTGACCGAGAAAAATCCATCTGTCGTTGCTTGTCTACCCTGTCATGTTTTCGATAAGGGAATCAATTTATTTCTCATTAGAGATTCACCATAAATTTCACTGGTGCGTCGTAATACTTTACAGTAGCTAGGAAGCCAGCATCACACTCAACATAACTTCCCCAATTTACCAGCCTGAAGAAAAGAATCTAAGTTATAGAATCTAAGGAAATTCTATGAAGGAAATCCTCAAAGGTTTCTAAACACAGCAGAGAATTTCTGTTTCTTCCCCTTAGAACCAGCAGGCAAACATTTTCTTTCTTTTATGAATTCAAAGGGAGCTCTAGTAAACAAAATGAAACTGAAAACAGAAAAATTCAGCTCTTTTGTTGTAAAACCATGAGATATAACAGTTACAGCAAACTGGCCCTTCTATGGAATATTACTGCATGCATTAAGTAGAAACTTAAATTTATAATGATATAATAATCAATTCAATAATTGTACTGCCAAGTGAATAAAGCAATATGGTCTTAAAATAAAGTAAACAATCAATTTCTCTTATGTATTTTATAAAGAAGACTATTCAGATAAAGGAGGAATACCAATAACAGTTGGAAACCTACCACGTTTAAATAAGAGATCATTTAAAATTTTGCATATCAGCTACGTCATGTTATTGTTGTTTTTCTCACACTATAACCATGCCAAAGCAACATAATTTTAAAAATTTTAAAAAAAAAGTCTTACTTCATTCTGGGATCTAATGCTAGTCCCCTTGGATTTGATACGTTTTTACTAATCAGCACAGTCCTGTGGCTCCCATCAATTTTAGAGACTTCAATTGTTTCCAGAGCATAGTCTGTCCAATAAAGATTACGGCCTACCCAATCTACTGCAAGAGTTTCAGTCAGGACAACACTACTGTCAAATACCTAAAGACAAAAGTGAATAAAGGGTGAATTCTAAAGAGAATAAATGAATATAAACATGGAAATTATACGAAAATCTAGAATAAGCCATCCAACTTGTCTCATAATTAATTATAGGGATTAGAAAATTTTGTCTTCCCATGTAGCTACCCACCAATTATAGTAGCATTTTCTGGGAAAAGTAAACAAGATTCTGTAGTATTGAATATTCTAAGATAACTCTATTGTTGGATTAGTGTGCAGTTTCATTTTGATTTCAAAAGTTTTTGCAATTAAACAAAAGCTCTATCCATTCATTAAGCTGGCAACCTTATGTAACTTTATAGTGTTTGTATGCCAACAACACTATCTTTGTTGATTAAGCATCAACAATTACAAAATAACGTTGTAAGGGGCAGAGAAAACATAACTATCAGGGGTCCAGAAACTGAAACTAAAGTTAAGAAAAGCAATCCTTCACTCTCCTGCATTTTCTTCCACTCACATCCACTAGAAAAGGCTACAAAAGGGACATTGTGAAGTCCCTGCATCACAAGACCTGTAATTCAGAATCATGAATCTGCCTTCAGAGGCCACTCTTCTCTAAAACACCCATAAATTAGCAGTGATGAACATCCAGGTGTCTTGCACATAACGTGGCCCAGAAGAAGGTATGAGAACTACCCAGGATGAGACAGGACCCTCTGTCACTAGTGAATAACAGCAAATAGACCCAAGACAGGGGAACTAGTCAGGACAAAAGTCAGCAGAAATGTACTTACTACTCTTCTGTCCGTTCCATTTCGAAATGCACTCCAGGTTTTACCCTGAGTTGCATCAGACCAAAAGATACGACCACTAACTGAATCAAAGTCAACAGCTATAATGTGAGAACCATCCCGGACCAATGGATAGATATTGTGGACCTGGTTGGTAATATTGTCGGCAACGATTTTGTTCTGACTTGCCACAAGTAACAGCAGGCTTTCAGATCCTGTCCACGAACAAAATGCAAAAATGTCAATGGTTCTGGGAGAAAACACAATCAAAGCACTTCTAAAACATTTAAAGGGGACTGGGGCAGGGAGAAGTCCCGTAAGAATGATTTTAATCACTTCGTTCTTTTATCTTAATAGGGAGCTGATTTTCATGAGTATTTGAGTTCTTTTCTTTAATTACACGTCAATGTACGTCTAAATGCCGGTTTGGAGTGAACTATACTTATATTCTTCCTTTTACTATATTTATTTTTATGCTCTGCATATCTTCCTTACTACACTGTAGGCTTCTTGACAGCAGTTTTCCCAGAGGCACTCAGCTATGACACAGAGTTCTAATTATCTCCCAATATCCCCTCTCCTTACTTCTTTTCAGTAATAAACCATGCTATGTTTTAGCTTGGCACATGGCCCACCAGCTAGAGACATTTCTCTGCCTCCATTAAAGCTTGAAGTGACAACATGAGTAAGTTCTGACCATTACAATGTGAGTAGAAATTATCAAATTCCAGGTCACATCTTAAAATGAAGCTTCTTACAGGACTAACATCCAGACTCCTGCTTATAAAAAAAGAAACTTGTTCTTTTGTTTTTGCCTCCTTTATTTGGTTACTTTGAAAGCAGCTGAAGCAGTATGCTAATACATAATATAATCGCTTTCATATACTAGAAATAGAATTCATTAAACATTATGTAAAGATGCTTAAATATAAAAATCATTTTAAATATATATTGAAAACCATTTTGATATTATTTTATATAACAAAAATGTAATCTTCTACCTATGCATGTTTTAACCTCTATTCTCTGAAATATACCAACATCTTAATATATATTAATTCATTTCATCTTCACAAGAAATTGAGGTTAAGGAGTTTGCATAACCTGTCCAGGACTCAAATCGATCTGACTCTCAATCAACTGTCACATGCCTACATGGGACGTTTGTTCTTAAGGTCTGGGGTGTGCTATTCAACTGGCTGGCGTTAGTTCACTTTCAAGTTCATTAATTACCTGTAACTTTGCAAGTCTTCCCGTCAGTTTCTAACGTGTATTCTTGATCACATGAGCATCGGAAAGAACCTCTCATGTTGTAACAGTGCTGGCTACATGAACCCGGAATATCACATTCATCTATGTCTTCACAGGTCTTAGAATCATTGGCAAGTAAGTATCCCGATGGACATAGGCATTTAGCCCCAAAGGGCCCTTGAACACACTCATGAGTACAACCACCATTGAAATGTGAACAGCTGTCCTCATCTAGAAAAAAGAAAGGGAATTGTGAAAAGAAAACATCAAAAACCTTTGCTTCTTTGATTCACTCTGATGTAATCTTTATCATGTAGATTCATGCCACCTACAATGTGATGCCCAGACAAGAGCTAAGAGCAGCATTCACTTGGATGAGTTCCACAGGCTGTTCAGTGGCTGCTCTGATTGGCCTGAGGATTTACCATCCTTCATATCCATTGAACTTGGACCACCTTCTTCACTACAACCCGCTAGTATAACTCCATTTAGTGCAATGAGGAAGCCTTGGGGAAATATTGTTGACATCAAGAAACAAAATTGTCATTGATAAAGCATGCTTCTCACTTGCTTCCTCTGAAATTCTTGAAAGATATGGCTAACATCGAAGAGAAAATGCTAGAAGATCTATGAAACTTAATAAATTCAAGTGGAAAGGTAATTAGAACATTACAGGGCACAGATCCACTAACATACCATCATGCCTTACTATCAGAGCCAAAACAGCAATGCCTGATGCCACCCAAAGACATTTCACATGGTTGAGGAGGAAAATACCCTATTTCCATGCATACTCTGGCTTATTTATAAGAGTCATAATACAGAACATGCACTAGGAGGAAAAGTAAGTCAAAATAGTTAGGACATTTTCAGAACAAACATAACACATATGAAATCACAAGAATCTAAAATACTTAGCAATCATACCTGGCTGGGGTTCATCTGAGAGTGAGCATTGATTAAAGAAGAAAGAAAGAAAGGACAGTAATTAGGATTACATGCCAATCACAGCATTTTAATCACAGCAAACACAAATCCCCAGACTTCATTTGTTTTGTGTCAAGTTCTGATTGAAATTAGAAAATATTAAAGTTAGAAAAATTAATGAGCACATTACCAACAAAACCAAATTTAATGTGACAATCTAATGGCCTCATTTAGTCTCATTTTTCTAAATAATGACATAAAAAGAATTGAAAAACACATAATCAAGTGCAAATGATTTAATGAGAAATATTATCCAGTGGTGATTTGTTTGAATTCAATTATGGTTATACCTACACAGATTTGAACGCATAGAGGAACTGAAACTCCTCCCTAAAAAGCTATACAGTGACTGTGACAATGGTTATACACACAAGGCTACTGCTCAAAATGAGTTTATGGCCATTAAACTATGGCCGGGAAACTTACTGCAAAGTGGGGACTCATCTGTCCCATTGGGGCAGTCAAAGACGTTGTTACACACTGCGCTCAGATTCACACAGAGGTTATGGCCGGGACACTGCCACTGCCAACTGAGACAGTGAAAGGCCTCAGTAGGGCAGTCCTTCTCATCACTCCTATCCCCGCAGTCATTGTCCTCATCACAGACCCACTCCTTGTAGACACAGTTTCCGTTGTCACAGAGGAAATGGGATGAAGGGCAAGTCTTGGGGACACAGCCATTGTGCTCATCAGACCCAGAGGGGCAGTCTGAAATCCTATCACACTCCCAGGTGTTTGGGATGCATGAACCATCTTCTTGGCACTGAAATTCATCAGAGTGGCACATCCCAGGAGGTCTAGTTGCTAGAAGAAAAGAGTGGGAAGAAATGAGCGTGTGAGTGCAATTAATAATCCCTTGTATAGCCTAGAGTCAGGGGAAATGACTTTGGATCAATAGTAGGTTTATAATAATGACTATAACAAAATTAATATTGAAGGATAAAATAATATAGGTTCTTCTCCCATATTGTGGTATGTAGAAATATTTCTGTGCTTGACTAGTAGATCTGACAACAACCTACGTACAGGATGCACAACTTTTGCCCCAGTACCTGGGTCAAAAGAACAATATTCATTCAATTGCAGATTCAATAATAAAATTGATAATAATAATATTGATATTAATAATATTTCTCTTAGAGAGAAATAATAAAATTTCCCTCTAAGAAAGAATCAGAGCATTTCAAGAGCTTGAATAGCTATGGTTACTTTGAATGTGTTTAATATCATATATTTGGGTATTATAATTTTCTTTCAAATGAATTGTATCCAATGACATCAGCACACATTAAGTAAACTAAAGATGACAGTAAATGCTTAATTATTTGCAAACGTTCCACTATTAATCAGGCACTCTTTGAGAGATAGGTAAAAATTGCTTCCCTATTTTACAGGGGTAAATCCAAGCTCCCTCCCAGGGACCTTACAAGGCACAGCAAATCAGTAGCAACTGACAGTTCAACCTCAGATCACAGAATTCCACGTTTTCAATGTAAAATGGGAAAATTAGTAATTAGAAATTTGGGGGTGCTGTGCAAACTGTAAAGTATAAGCATTTTATTTAACTTTTAATCTGTAGATTTACACACTCCCTTTCTGATTCAGAAGGAGAACTGATGAAAATCTACTTTTTGTGGTCTGAAACACCATCATTCAAACAAATGACCAACTCACTGATGACTTTTTATAAATATAAAATTAATTTAACATAAGAAGTGGGGAATAAAGAACCACATGATTAAGGTCCCCAGCCTATGAAGATTACAGGTCCATCAGATTTTATTGTATAAAGTCCTACTTGAATCCTCCAACTACAAGGAATTTCCTTTCTCTGAGCCTCTACAGAATTTTATCTGTACTATTTCTAAGACACTTGTAACTGTCTACTTTGCTTTAACTGTCTCTTGCTTTCTATAATCTCCCATACCAAACTCTAAGGACAGTAGTCAACAAATAATAACACAAAGAATGAATTTATCAGAGTCAATAGCAGATACAGCTCTGTGCCATTTCATTAGCATGGTTTGACCTCTCTATTGAGATTTAAAAAAAAAAAAAAAAAACAGTAAAATATCTTTCTATACAGCTGCAGTCACCAATCCCCAGGTCCATGGCCTGTTAGGAACTGGCCACACAGCAGGAAGTAAGCAGTGGGCAAGTGAGTAAAGCTTCATCTATATTTAGAGCTGCTCCCCATCACTTGCATTACAGCCTGAGGTCTGCCTCCTATCAGTGGTGGCATTAGTTGCAGGAAAGCAAGCTCAGGTCTCCCACTGATTGTCCATTATGGTAAGCTGTATAATTATTTCATTATATATTACAATGTAATAATCATAGAAGTGCACAATAAATATAATGCACTCGAACCATCCTCAAACCATCCCCCCTACCCCCCCATCTTTGGAAAAATTGAAAATTGTCTTCCATGAAACCAGTTCCTGGAACCAAAAAATGTTGGGGACTGCTGCTATACAGTAAAGCCTCAAAAGTTTAAACCCACTAATTTGGAATGTCTTAGCAAAAATTAAAAGCTAGAACAAAAATATCTAAGACATATTTAACCTACCAAAGAGACTATTTGAAGTGCCCATTTATGTAACCACTTGATTTGCTGAATTGTACATAATTATTTGGTAATATATAGTCAGTACTACTGTATGTTCAATAATGCATGCAATAAATATTTTGAGAAAATTTTGTAATTCAGGCTGCCTTTCCCCTAGTTTGTCTGGGTTAGGGTTAGGGTTGTGGTAATATCAATACTGGTAAAAACAACATGGCCCCTTTGTCTAAAACATGCTGGGGATGTGGTACTTACGACAGCCTGCCTCATCAGAGTTGTCACTGCAGTCAAAAACACCATCACAGCGATTTATGTAGTTAATGCATTTATGCCCATTGGCACACTTGAATTGAGAAGCAGTGCAGTTTAATACTAAGAATGAAACAGAAAAGCATCAGAAATTTGCTCAGAGAGAAAATGACTAAACACTGAGATTTTTCTATACATTACGAATAAAAATAAAGTAATGCACTTACCACAACCAACCTCATCAGATCCATCAACACAGTCCTTATCTCCATCACAGACATAAGATATGTCGATACATCGATGGTCGGGGCAAGTAAACTGAATGGGTTGGCATGTCTCTGTCAAGTCTAATGCCATCCGAAAACAAAACCAAACAAGTTTATTTCTGGTTCAATGTGTACCAGAACCTAACTGAAAAAGGCTAAGTAGCTACATTAGTTATCTCAGTTGTACATGTGTTCAAAATTCTTTCAAAACAGCCAGATCATCAAAGTCAGCCCAGCAACAAAACAAACTTTTTGTATGCAGAATAAAAAGATTACAGGGCAGAGTCAGAAACTGCGATTACACCTTGAAAAATAGACCATGTTTAGAAAGTAAAGATCATGTGTTTAGACTGGGACTGACTACCATCTCATGAATACTGTGAAGTCCATGACTCTAGTCCAAAGCCAAGCAATGGAGCTCAATTGGGCAGCCTGGTCAGCATGACCCACATGCCTAGTGGCAACAGCATGTAAACAGATCAACAGAACAATTCTAAAAACCAGGGTCCTACCTTGCTGTTAAGACCACAGCCTTGGACTCAAGTGCTGTCTGCCCCATCCGCAACATGAAATTACATTAGAGGTTGATAGAATGTGAAAAATAGAACGGATCTTCGAGATCATCTATTCCAGAAGTGACTTGCCTAGTCATGCAACTGGGGCTAGAACTTAGTCCGGGGAACTTTGCTCCATCTTAAACAATTATCGAATACTGAATACAGGAAAATAAACAACAACCTAAAGGAAATCAGATATGGTAGCAGAACTGAAAAGCAGGTGGGTGAGTTTAAAGGAAATTTGAGTTTTCTGTGCCTCTTTATTCTATTGCCTTTTTGCCTGCGTCATATAAAAAGAAAAACCAATAGAGTATCTGAATAGATTGTGGAGAAATTTTTGTTTTTTCAGTTTCTATCTGGATATTTGGCATCAGAGACAGTCCTCGTTCTTTCCATACAACTCAATATTTGCACGATGGCTCTAAGAGCCTCATGTGCAGGCACATGTCTATTGATATAGAGACTGACAAGTGGAATGGAAGGGCCTAAGATGCAATTAAAATTAAGTGAGCCTTAGAAGGAAGATTATATGGCCATTTGGTTGTTCTAATCTATTTACTAGGCTGATCAACCAAGAGAAACCAGTTCAAAACTTACTGCAGTTCTTCTCATCAGATCCATCCCCACAATCATTGTCTGTGTCGCAGAGCCAGTCCCTTGGGATACAGTAGTTATTATCACAGGTGAAGTAGGACTCACGGCAGGAAACCGGTGCTGCTGTGGGGCAGTCCTGCTCATCACTGCCATCCACACAGTCTTTGCGCTTGTCACAGCGCCAGGATGCAGGGATGCACCCTCCTCCATGGCCACAGGTGAACGCCGAAGGTGAACAGGTCTGATCTATAACAGTAACACACTAGTCATGAAGACATTTGTTTTTACAGCCTTTTTAAGCCTTGGAAAGGCCCGGTTCTTCTCCTTTTTCAGTGGGAGCATCACACAAAATAAGGAGAAATGAGCATCAAGTGATGCCATCATCATCATCATTATTATTATTGCCTGAAATTTAGCATTGATCATATATTAGGCACTTTTCTAAATCCTCATAAGAACACTAATGAAGTACATATAATTATCTATATTTTATAGAAAAGGAAATTGAGGCTCTGAGAGATTTAAGAATCTGCCTAAGATTCAAGCTCTAGCTGGAGTGACCCTAATTTCTAAGCTGTATTTCCTTTTCATCACAATTTCAAGTCCAGACTACAGAGATCCTGAAAATGTGTCACATGAAAAATATTCGGGTAAAAATATATGTTCTTAGAAACAAGAAGAAAATGTATAAAAAGTTGGAAATTTTAGAAATTTCAGAAAAATGTACAAGTGGGCCTTTCGTTTTTCAAATCTGTTATTCTTCTTTCTCTACAAAAAGACAGGTATCATTACTATTAATCTCACTTTGATAGAGATTTCTGAGATTTCAACTGTCCTCTATTTTTATTTTTTTTAAATATTAATGCAATACTTTACTCCAAAGTGGGGGGAAAAAGAATCTAACACAGGAGATTTTCAAAGGCTATGACTCCTGTTTCAAAAAAAGAAAAATTTAAAATTCTAAAACATATTTTCCATATAAATATTCCAAGCTTTTATTCATTCTTTTAGAAGACCACCAGTAGAACTCTATTCTATTCACCCCAGAAAATATCTCCAGTGCATAATAGCTACTTACTAAAAGTGTTGCATTGAAGCTCATCACTGTTATCATGACAGTCATCGTATCCATCACAGCGGTAGTAACTGGGCACGCATCTGCCATTGTTACAGGAGAAGGAAAATGAGCCACACCCCTCCGTGGGTGGCTCATTGGTTGCATCACCCTCGCATGTCAAGTGATTGGAAGCAAGCCTCATTCCATAGGGGCACCCACACACCCGCTGGAAATTCGGCACCGGGAAGCAGAAGTGGCTGCAGTCACCATTGGGGTGGGTCGGTTGATTGCAGGAGTTAGAACCTGCATAAGCAAAGCACCAAGGTAGTAAATTATGCATCTTCCCACTGGGTTGATCACAGGTTTCATGTGTGAAGAAAGACAAATGGAAAAGAACATTTTTCAGACCCAGTACTAAAAATTAGCTTCCTCTTAGAAATCAGCCTGCCAAATATAACATTCCATTTAGATACAAGCTTAAAATGTTTTCCCCCATAACGCTTTTAGGGTTAGTGGTATTGAACAGAGATTTACAGTCTTACACTATTAAATTATGTGGGAGAAAGAGTATAAAACTACCGGAAGCTATATCAAATAAGTACTTAAAGAGAAGAGCCACGATATCAAATAAATTCACCCATATAAAAAAACTTAGTAATCCCACTCACCAGTCTGGATGCTGATATCATACGATTTCACATGCAGTGGACGACTGATGCCACTTCTGATAACTGTCACATCTCCACCATCTGTTTTCCTGACTCGAATAATAGCATTCAGTCTCCAATCAGAAAAAAATACATGCTCTAAGAAGAAACATGGGTGAGGAATATATTCAGTTGCAACTCACTTATAAATAAATCACTTAGGAAAATGCAATCGGTTTGTAATGCTTCCTGCAAATGTGAGAATCTTCGCCCATAAATGTCTCCAATATCTTTATATAACCATTTTCCATAACGTGATACTCTCTAGAAATGTTCTTTCGAAGCCTGTATTTTAATAATACCTGGGTTCAGATTCAGGCAAGCACATATGGAGTTTTATGATGGCATTTAGTAACAATTAGGTTTAGTCTTCCATAGGTAGTAATATAAGAATCTTAGGATTATTCAATAGACTGTGAGATGAGACCTCGTAAGTCTGAGCTCTTATCCCAACTAAAGAATTAACCTGTTGCCTGCTCTCAGGCAAATACTTAACTGTTTCAAGGAAATAGACTAACTCATCTTCGAGATCCCTTCCAGGACAAACATTCCGTATTCTATGTCTTAATGAGAACACAATTTTTTTAAATACTCAACTTTAATGAGAAGCTATTGAGAAGTAAAAGTATATGTCTAGTCCAAAAAGGAACTTTCAGTGTATGATTGGGGATCAATAAAAAATGTCAACACAAGTTGTACATGTATACAATAATGTTCACGCTTCTCAGAATGGTAAGAGACACAATGTAATATTTTAAACAGCAAAAATTTAATTATGTCCATTTCACACTAATGACTGAAACAGGGAAGTAATGGATTTTCTCTTTAACAATAGTTTAACTAACTAGAAATCACAATTAGTCAGAAAATGCTTAAGATGTCACAAATTTTATCATTAGACTGGTTTTCCTTATCTGTGGTCTAATAGATGGCTAATCAATAATTGGACTCACGATATCTTTTAACTATGGACTGCCAATCTCAGTTCCACTGCTCATGAAGGTTTCTTAACATACTTAAACAGATATGGACTTCAGTAGTTTCTGTCCTTGTGTGTTACACACAGATCTAGCCCTTCACTAAAAAGGTGCGTAATTTCTATGGTGTTACACAATAAAAGAACTTTCCACAAGAAATTCACAATCAATGGCAGAGTTGAAAGAAACTAATTATTATCACTATCATTATTGTTATAATTATTTGTGGAATGTTGTGTTGCTCTCAGGGATATTCAATTCATTTGTTTTAATGCTGATGAAACCAAAACATACTTACTGAAACTTCATTTTTGTTCAATCCCAAAACATTCCAGCACAGAGTACCGAAAATTTAACATTCTTATAATGTTTCTATGAAACAGCAAATAGCATGGGTCTGACATCATTAGTGTAAGGGGAGTAAATGTGTGGGGGAGGGTAGAGTATTTATAATTAACTCATCAAAAATCTGACAAGAGCATTTTAAAAACATTTCTAAACACTACACACTCCTTCACAGATAAACAGACAGCAGAATGAAATATGCAATATTCTTACCATTAATTTCACACTCAATGTGCATGAGAAAGTCTTTGATTTATAGTCAATGTCTAGTGCAGGAGGTTTCAAACAGGGGCAACTAGCATAGACATAGGTTGTTTGGTAACCCGATTCAAAAAGTGACTACTGTAACTGGACTAATTATGGTTTGTCAAGCAAGACAGTCTCTCCTCACCCTCTGGGCCTGGCATACAAGCTACCTATTGATTCACAGAGACCCCGTTTTCAAGTCTAAACAAACCACCTGTTTCATGATCCCAGGCTATAGTCTTATTCCCAGCAACTCAAACTCACAGTGGTGCATCTGTACTTAAAGGGAAAGTGAGGGAAGAAAGGCCACCGCTGGCTGTGATCACATGACTGCAGCTTCTCAGCAGTCCATGCTTCCCAGCAATCTTTACTAGTAGCATGAAATTATTTGGAAAGGTTGATGAGAAAACAATTATGTCTCATTGTTCTTCGTAAGCCATAACCGAACACTTTCTGTTAGCAAAGATGATGACGGTAATCCAACATTTTAACGAAAAACCTTCAACAGTCATTAGTGAATATATAGGTGATAAATATGCATAACTGTTTCTCCACAAGGATTCTGATGGGATTCTTAGGAACATGAGAGAACAATAAAATGATACAACAGTTACTATATTTTATTCTTGAAAATGAAGGCAATAATTTACTATTTCTTCATGTGATATTTATATAACTGAGTACTCAGGATGTTGAACTGTGTATGTGTAATCTACAGAGTGCTATATCCATGTAAATTGTCAATAGTATTATCTAAATGTGTTGAAAAGAAAAACAACACTCTAAAAGTGAAATACTTCCATCAACCAACCAAATATTTTGTCTATATATAACACTATCATTTTATTACTTCTTATTTTAAAGTGAACAGTTTTTCTGAAATTGTGAGAATGCCAGATGAGGATGAGTTTACTATTGCAACTTGCAAACTATGAAAACAGCACGTATTTTTATTGCTTCAAAACATACCTTTAAAGATGGTAAGTCCAAATGGATGTGTCATCTGCTGTATGTGGCCCAGTCTTTTTCTATCTAAACCATCAAAGTTGCTGTGCTCAATTCTATCAAAAAAGGCGTCTATCCAGTATAATCGTGAAGCACTAAAACAATAAAATAGTTATCTGTTATCCACAAACTTGCACAGCACAAACTTGCACAGCACTGAAGGCATTCAAAAACTGTAGGCTCACTTGACATATTTAATAAACAAAGTCTTAAAAACTTAGTATATATTCATTAAAAATTTAACAGCTTTATGCCCCCCAGAAAGATACAGCTAATTTCATGATATGGCTTTCAATTAAGAATTTTATTTTTCTCCTTGTGAAATCAACAAGGTACGAAAAATACCAGTAGTAATTTATGTTTAAAAGGTTAAATATATTTCTTCACTTTTTCTCTCCCATAAATTAATTTGGCATTATCATATTTATAATCTTATTTACCCTATTCCTTTTCCTACATTCCTAGATAAATCATCAAGTTTTTGAGAACTGCACCTTATCCTTTAAAAAATCTCCCAAAGTACATATGAGCAACTGTGCACCTGCTGATTGACTCCAACGATTTACTATACTCCAGACATACAGACTGCCTTTCATCAAATCTGTATGGTACTTCTAATGGGGTTTGGGACCCACCTCCTTCATTTTGACTTAACCCTGTCATTGTGCTTCCTCTAGTAATTTATTCAGAGTATTCATAAATGCATTAGCTTTCATCCCAGCAGTAGCTAGCCAACTATGTGTTCCTTGTATAATAATAACATTCAACATCCTTCTCATATCAACAGTAATTTCTGAGGGCAAGTATACCAATTTCCTTCCTCCATCATATGACCCAGCCTGTCTTATGTGTGTTCCACAGTAAGAGGGAACTCGGGAATACAGATGGTTCCTACTTACCCCCAGTCAATGGCCAAGCCATTGGGCCACCCAAGAGTAGTGTTTACTATAGGCAAAAGGTGAGATCCATCACTCCATGCTCTCAAAATTTTAGCAGGACGGAACCAATCAGTGAAGAATATATACCTAGAAAAAGAGATAATAAATCAAGGAAGTTAACATTATGACAAACAGCATGACATAGAGATATTAAGTTATCAACATGCAACCACAATCACAAATACAAATAGCATTAAAATGGGTGTCCAAAGCAGAGAACCACTGTCCTAGACTTTAGGACCTAAAACCATTTTCACCCAACAGATTTAAAAAGACACAATTCAGGTTACACATTAACCTGAATTAACTCCATGTTGTTGAAGTAAAATAATAAACCACGACCGAAAGAACAGATTTTAGTCTCTCTCTTTCTCTCTGGATTAAACATCCAGGGTCAATATCTTACCAAGATATTTTTTACATTCTAAGGAATGAGAAAAGGCAAAGAATCAAAATTAGTCTTTTCCAAAATTTAACTTTCTAAAATGTAATCGCTTTACATCACTTCAAATGAAGGAGTCAGTCATTAGGAACAGAATTTAGTAGCTTTTCAAAACCAAATGGCAGAGATTTGTGTTAAAATAAATTCATTAGAAAATCAACTGTTTTAACTCTCCATAGGGCAATAGAATTTCTTATCAATAATGTCAGCAGTTTCAAAATATGTTTTTTTTAATTCGGGTTACAAAGAGAAAATAAAAGCAGACACTCTAGAGGCAGCAAAAGGACTATGTTGGGCACACAGGCATTAGAGTTGGACAGGACTGAATTCAAATGCTGACTGTGTCTAAATAGTTTGGGGCCCATCCACTACCACTTTATCTCATGGAGACACAGATTCATTATCTTGAAAATGTGTATTATACACACCTCCCTCACAAACTAGTTTTGGGAGTAGATAACATTATATATGTAAAGAGCACACTATGTGCTCTGAGTGAACCAGCCATCTTTTTAGTTATTCCATTCAAATACAACCTCATAGCTCAGACTTGTTCTAAACGAGCATGTTTAAATAAGAAATATAAGAACCAAAGAGGAATATTATGAACTGTTTCATCTTTTCTTATCTGGCCCCAATTATAGAATGGCAAAGCATGAAACTTTTTGGTAAAACTTTTTACAATGAAAAGTACCGAATGATTAAGCAAGTTTTGCTAAACTTTCTATCAATAAATTAAAACAGGGAAAGAATTTGAGTCCTTCCCTACTAAATCTGTATCATATTGCTTTGGTCCTCTACAATTGTGGAAAAACAACAACAACAAAAAAAACCATACACATCAGTGAAGACTGGGAAAACCAAAACTTATAATAAATTTTTTTAAATTTACTTTATTATTATTTAACCCTCTCCCCCAGAATAAAGTTTTTTGAAAAATATAAAGTGATTACTGAAGTTTATCATAAAGGGATAAAATTTAAGATGATTTCAAATTATATAATTCAATCTTATATATGCTGAACTTGCCAAATCCTTATGGCATCACTTTTCAGTGACTGTAAAGACAAAAACGTTTCAAGTTCTTAGGAAAACATGAACACACTTACCCAGCAAGAGGATGAATGACTATTGATCGTGGGTTATTTAAATACCGAACTATTGTGCGTCTCCATTTATCCCCTAGCTTCATGACACTGACAGTCTTGAAATGAGAGTCTGTCCAATAGAGATTCCTTGAAATCCAATCAAAGGCCAAGCTTTCAACATTTTCCACCCTGTTGGCTACCAGAGTTTCTCTTCCTATAAGTTAATATATGGACATGGTTTCAACTAACCATACTTTATATGACATACATTTTCCTACTACTGTATATTTAAAGTTTGTAGCACAGTTAAGAGCATATTTCAGTAACACGTGGAAATCTTTTTTTAAAAATTGCAAACTGCTGAGCAAAAGCATGAGATAAACCTAGAATGTATCCATTACCCAAACTTTGGATTTCGAAGAATAGATATAATACTGATAAGTAGGACCAGGAGTGGTATGGCCCAGATTTACAGCCTTGTTCAACTTTCCAAAGAAATATTTCTCATTGCAGAACATCTGAAGAGGAGATACCTGAGTTCACCTACTAACACCCAGAGACGGCTCTGATAAGCTGACACCGGCAGGTACGACCGGCAGGGTAACCCTGAGGTTATCTTTCCCAGCCACAAAGTTGCCAAGTTTCAAAAAGACCAGCAAAGGATACCAGAAAGAAAACCAAAACTGGGTACAGGAGAAAAAGCCCACTTTCCTTTTATTGAAATTTTGATGCCTTTTTTTCCTCTTTTTTTTTTTTTCGTTAAGAGGAAATCTGAATCAAAATAAACAATCACACCTCTCTTACAGTTGGAAAAAAAATTCTAGTGCCTTTTCCATTCATTTATTCATAAAATTGTGAAAAGAGCCTTTGGAAGATAAGCAGAAACAAAAAGAGGAACAGGAGAAACTCAAGAAGCTAAAAGCCAAGGCTGTGTGGGGAAGGGCCTCCAGGCCAAAGGTGGAATTTAGAAATCTGGCACACAGTAAGCTGTTCCTTGTACCTGAGGCCATGGTGACCCTGGATTCCCTGCCATGACATCTTTTGCCACCTATAACTAAAATGAAGTATTGTCTTGGAGCCTATTGCACATTTAAAGGTAAACTTTTGATGGAAAAAAAAAGCTCATAATCTCTTTAGGTGTCTTCACTCAGCCATTCCTACCTTAGCTTTCAATTAAAGTAAAACCAGCACAGAGAAAAAAAGTGAAAAGAAAGTCCTCTATGGACTACAAAACCTACTAGATATTTAGAAAACATAATATTTCTAATAGTATTAATAAGTATAGTTTATATTCAATGAGCACTTACTATGAGCCAGAAACTGGACCAAATACTTTACATGGATTCCTCACAGCCACTCAATCGAGTAGGCATTATTGTTGTCCCTATTTTACAGATGAGGTAACTGAGCCAAAGCAAAGTAAAGCATCTGGGAAGAAGTGTGGACACTGCCCTCAAGGTAATTTATAATGATGTGGTGAGAGAGTAGGAGGCAATTAGGCAAAAGTGAAGAATGATAGATGCTAGGATGGAGGTTGCATAGGACGGCATGACAGCATAGGCTCCCTGTGGTGCAAATGGCAAAGTGGAGGTGTAAGAGAAGGACAGAGAGATAGATTGAGAACTGCACATGTCTGGAAACATGGCTGGAGATTAATGAGTCAATGAGAGAAGCTAAAGCAGAGGGAGTGGTTCACAGTGATCACCAGGGGACAGGGGTGCCAAGGAAGTGGTGAGTGGTCACACTTTTCCCCAAAAGCATGTGAGAAATAGGATGGAGGTGTCCACCTAGACATGCAGAAGGAGAAGAGGACCAATGTTGGATACCAGAGGGACAGTTAAGGAGCTTGTCCACTAAATGAAAGGAGACAGGTTGTCACTAGAGGGGAACATGAGTGCAGGGTGGACTGCATGTTTTTAGGATGGGAGAGACAAGCATTCCCAAAGAGTCAGTGCAAGAAGAGAGGTTGGAGAAGAGAAGGGATGATTGATGAAGGGAGTTCCCGATGGCTTCGTTCATTATCTTGTCGTTAACTTGATTACTAACAACTCATTTTCTGCATATACTGTGTACTTCCTGGAGAAACGGAATAATGTAATGCCTCCCTCATCACAACATAGAGAGTTTAACCACTGACTTTAAGAATATTTTAAAAGGAAACTTGCTCAGCATGTGGACTTGAAATTGATCAAAACAATGAGAATTGCGATCCACAGAACAGAACGAAGCTGACCTGTGGCAGCACCTACATGAGACTTAGCCTGCATGCAACTGAGAAATCAAATATTGATGAGAACTAAGCTTGACTGGACTTCTCCAAGCTCTGTGGACCTAATTCTAATCCTCAAAAAAGATAAATTCTGGTTCAAAATAGAAGATTGACCAGTCACATGTGTTTATCTCCTCTTCCTCCCAAGCTGTACTTACATGACAGTAAAAGAACAGCAGATGAGCAATTTCCACAAAGAAGTAGGGGATTGGAGAAGCAGTAACTCTCTAATGCGAGGAGAAAGCTACAAACGAAGTACCAGCAGAGGGGACACACACACACACACACATACAGCAGCCTCAGCCCGTGCATGCCCAGAGGCAGCTGGTTCTGAGAAAGGCAAAGGGCTTAGTTAAAAGTCAGAATAAACAGCAGACTCCCAGGTCGCTCGCAGATCCTTAGCATCTTGTCACTCCCCTCTGTCTATCTCCTCTAAAGGACCAGAGATGATCTTCTCTGGAGGGACCGAAGCACAAAGGCTGTGGGCTCGGAGCACAATGCACAACTAAGATGGACACAGGACTGCAGAGAACAGAAGAACCCTCGGCTCCTTTGTATCAGCCCTGCTCCCAGAACACAGTCAGCCCGCTCCCCCGATCTTGTCCCCTACCCAAAGAACGAGAATGGAGGTATCTGCTAAACAGAAATTGACCAACTCCAGAAATGACTCACTGACACTGGGTAGCTCTCCAACAACCAAGCCCCTGACCCCCTCAAGCACTGCAAGTGAAGAGCCCCACCCACCGTACAGACCTTCCAGTCAGGATTAGATAACCTTGCCCTTAGTGCCAAACAAGGGTCTCAAACATCTGGAGAAAGCTTCCATCATGAAAGAGAAAGTTGAAAACAAACCAAAAGGAAAAAGGAATTGAAATAAAACAGACACAAAGAAAGATGTCTTAAATGTAATTAATATCTTCAGAGAAATAAAATACTGAATTTATGAAATAAGAACAGGTTATTATGAAAAAAGGAATAATTAGAGAATAAAAGGCTCTTCAAATTCAAATTCAATTGTAAATTGAATTAAAACTTGAATAGAAAGGCTGAAAACTAAAGTGCAAAATAATCTCACAGAAAGTAGAACACAATGGTAAAGATTAAAACTAGAGGATGCCATGAGTAGTCATGAATTTTTTAAAAATTTTTATTTAGAAAAGGTAAGAAAAAATAGGTGATTAATCTAACATTTAACCATTAAGAATTACAGAAACAGAATAGGAAAAAAAAAAAAAAGGGAGGCATGAAAATTTCCCAGAATAGGACATAAATCTCAAGATTAAAGGGATAACAAGAAAAGTACGTAGAGGAATATGAAAACCAAATAGCAATAACAGCAAACAAAAAGCTCATACACATAGAAATGGTACTCAAAACGGCATTGGACTGTCACCCCTGGATGCTAGTAGTCACTGGAGCAATGTCTTCAAATTTCTAAGGTAAATTTACCTGCTAGCTAAAACTTTATACCCAGCCAAACAGTCAAGATCAAAACACTTTCAGACATTAAAAGACTCAAAATATATACCACCCTACTTATCCTTCTTCGGAAGCTATTAACATTATATAATGTGTTTCAGCAAATGAAGAAATAAATCTACAAAAAGAAATAAATGGCCTGCCACAAGCAGGAGAAGCAGCACAGGAAGGCGCCAAAGGGAAGTGAGAAGACAAGAGCTGTGCACCGAGTTCAGAGAGAAACGAGTCCGAAATGGAACAGGCGATAGAGGTCTCCAGAAGGGTAAAAAAATTATAGGTCCTTTGCTGCCTTCAGGTAGGCATTTGACAGATTTATTGGAACATTTGGGGAAAATATATCATATTTATATAGAAAAGTAATTAAATGAATATGGCAATTGTCAACTCCAGAAAAAAATCAAAAATTGTCAAGAATTGTATTGTATTGAATCCTACTTGGCTAAGCAGTGACCAATGTTTATATCATATCAATAATATAAACACCTAGTATTAATTTAAGTACAATCGAGCTTTCAGGGAGTACAAGGAGAGGAAAGGAGGAGTTGGAGGAGAGAAAGGAACATAAGAAAGCAAAATGCTCATCTATAACAAGAAAGTAAACGTCTAAAATGATAACTTAAGAAATAGTATAAACAAAGCATTTAGAAACATGGAGACAAACAACAGAAGAAACAACTAAAGGAATGGTAAGCAATCATCTCCCAAAAGCAGATCTGTGTTGGGGGAGAAGGAAGAGGAGTAATATGTTTTTTAATGGATAGCAGCTATAATGATAACTTGCCCGAGGTTGCACAGCTAGGAAATGTGAGAAGCCAGGATCGAAAATTAGGCAGTCTAGCTCCAAAGCTGGCCCTCTTGGTTGCTGTGTTATATTGCCTACCAATGTCATTAATATTTGAAGCCCAGCATTAGCATTTAGGTACTCCAGGATCCCTAAGGAGAGGTCATCCCATGGAATCAATCTGGCTGCTTGAGTGTGCAGAATAGCTTCTACTCAATTAATCTATTAATGGCTTCCATACACTTGACATTCCTTTTATGTTAATATTTGAAATTGTTAAAATAATCCTCATTTGTAACTTATTTAGAAGATAAACAAAAGTTTGTTTTAACTTAATTCATTAAAAAAAGCAATTGGTTTCTTTTCCCAATCTAAAAGTATTTCAGAAGCTGAGTAAAAGACTGCTTAAGAAGTGGATATAAAGTTTCACTGAGGAAATTATTAGCATTATTATTGACAATAGGCAAAACACACACTCACCTGTGCCATCAATCTTCTGTTTAAAAATCATGTGTTTTGATGTATCTGAAAAAAAGACAGTGCTATTCCGGGTATCAAAATCAATCCCAACAAAGAAAGAAGGACTCCCGGTCACTGGAACCATGACATCTTCCTGGGTAGACAAGGTGAATGGGATCCCACGAACAGCCGATTGGGATGAAAAGATGAGGAAGTTTGAAATAGCTGTAGGAAGAGGGACACAGCATGAATGGTCAGCCACAGCATGGCTCCTATACCCCCCCCCCAAAATTCCAGTAAAATCACTTTGACGTCCATAAAGCAAATTTTACGATTGTGAAATATAATTCTGAAACATAATGGAGGGGAGGAAAAAAAGATAAGTAACTATGATGGTGATACAAGTATTAGAATCTTCCTCCTACAAATTTACCTCTAATATTTATTTACAGAAAAAAACGATATCCATGTGCTTAATTTCTAAAATAGTATTAACTAAACTCCACTGTAACTCCATCAAAATTCTCAACTTAATTTCCTACTGTAGTTTTTGAGGTTATCAAGACCAGAAAGAGAGAAGAATTAACAGCAACCAGACATAAAAAGAACTAAAGGAGTGAAAGAAGGGAAGAGGAGGAATGAAGGAAACAGGTAAGAAGTGATGTTTAAAATGAAAGAAGGAGACTGTGACTGTATGTCAGAAAATCTGAAAGATATAAGAAGGATGCCCAAGACAAAGGTAAAAATTACAGAAAAGAATTTAAAAGCCAAATTATTACACAGTGTAGTGCATGTTTTTTTTAATGAGCTGATTTTTCTGAATCTAGGGTTGCCTAACAAAGTAAAAAAAAAACAATCTCTCTGAGTTAGAATAAGTTAGAATAATAATAAGCCAGAAACAGTAACATTGGGGAGCAAAAATTTGTCTAAGTATGAATAGATGTGTAGGCAACCAAATTTACATCTCCAAATACAGCTCTAAATATAAAAGAAGTGGTCCCTACCAAGAAGACACCTGTCGGCTACAGAAAGCTGATTTGCTGTGAAGATATCAGACAAGGAGCTGACCCAGTCCAAGAGCAGCAGTTAGTCTGCGGCAGTTAGTTCCTTCCTTCTGTAAAGGAAGGAACACAAACACACCTGTGCTGCCTGTCAAAAAAGTCCAAAACATTTCTTACCAACGCAGTTGTGCCCATCCTTATCCAGTTGGAAGCCAAATGTGCACTTGCAACGGTAACCCAAACCATCATTATCTGTTCTGTGGCTCAGCACACAGATCTGCTGACAGCCCCCATTGTGATCTCCACATGGATTGATAACTGGAGGGAAAAATGCACAGGGATAAATTGCAATTAGAAATGTATAGGCCAGGCACGGTGGCTCACACTTGTTGTCCTAGCATTCTAGGGGGCTGAGACGGGAGGATTGTTTGAGCTCAGGAGTTTGAGAACAGCCTGAGCAAGAGTGAGATCCTGTCTCGATTAAAATTACAAAAAATTAGCGAGGCATGGTGGCACACTCCTGTAGTCTCAACTACTCAGGAGGCTGAGCCCAGGAGTTTCAGCCTGCGGTGAGCTATGATTGTGCCACTGCACTCCAGCCTGACAGAGATCTTTTTTTATTTTTTAAAAGAAATAAATTTTTAAAAAAGAAATAGAGTAATGGATTTGCAACTCGCAGGAGACACCACTACTGGTTACTACTGTATACGTCCACATCTGCCTGTACCAACCTTCCCAATTTCACTGCTACTCTCCCACCCACTCTCAAACTGATGGCAGCAAAAAACAGGACTGCTACAACTAGATAACTATAGAGTTCTTTCTCCCCAATAATAAGTAAGTATTACTCCCTGAATGCTTGCTTTGTAATTAAGCCAACTGAACAACCAATAGCTCTAAGAGGTAAGTATTACTCTCCCAGTTTTAGAGAAGAGGAAACCAAGTCTTCAAAGGTTATTCAGCAGCTAAATGGTGAACGTAGGATTCAAATCCAGATCTAATTCCAAAACTATACATGTCTGCAATGCAAACCAGTTTATACTTCCAAAAGCCACCCTCAAAGTAGTGACCTTGGGAAGCTTACTGTACACTGCACACAAGGCTGCCACAGCTAGAAATTTTTTCTCTTTTTTTTGAGACAGAGTCTCACTCTGTTGCTCGGGCTAGAGTGCTGTGATGTCAGCCTAGCTCACAGCAACCTCAAACTCTGGGGCTCAAGCAATCCTACTGTCATAGCCTCCTGAGTATCTAGGACTATAGGTGTGTGCACCACCATGCCCAGCTAATTTTTTCTATACATTTTTAGTTGGCCAATTAATTTCTTTCTATTTTTAATAGAGATGGGGTCTCGCTCTTGCTCGGGCTGGTTTTGAACTCCTGACCTCGAGCAATCCTCCCCCCCTGGCCTCCCATAGTGCTAGGATTACAGGCGTGAGCCACCACGCCCGGCCTTCACAGCTAGAAATTTTATATCTGCTTTTGAAATTGTTTTCTTAGCCGTTCATATTCTCTTCACCTTCTTAGGTGGATTGACCTGGCAAAACAACAGACATATTCTGAGCCAAATAATAGAAATAGTAATTTGGATGATCTAACTGATTAACGGCAGGTGTAGGAATTTAGTAGCTTGTGAATTAAGTCTAAAAACTATTCCAAATAGGCTGGGTGCCGTGGCTCACACCTGTAATCCCAGCACTTTAGAATGCCAAGATGGGAGGAACACTTGAGGCCGAGAGTTTGAGACCTAGCAAGATACCTGCAGCCCACTCCATCTCTACAAACAATAAAAAAAATTAGCCAGATGTGGTGATGTGTGCTTGTAGTCCCAGCTACTAGGGAGGCTGAAACAGGCGGATCATTTGAGCCCAGGAAGTTGAGGTTTAGGATGCCACTGCACTACTCTATCCCAGGCAACAGAGTGAGATTGTCTCAAAAAAAAAAAAAAAAATCCCAAATAGATACTTTCAAAATATTTTCAGAGAGGTATATATTTTCCAGGATGACACTGTAGGACATTCATCATAGTGAATCAGTTCTAGTGGTTAGGCTTTGTTTTTTTCTTAATCTAATTACATTATAGTCTTCTCTATCCTAAAATGACCCATCACTTAACATAAGCATTGTAAAGCAAATCTGTCTTTCTCTAAATTACCGATCACCAATATTAAGATTTCTACCAACATAATCTAGTTTATCATATTTCTTTTCTTTGATCTACAAGCAAATACAGAAGAGAGCCTTATGCAGTCCAGATATACATGTCACAGCTTAATCTATAACCTGGAAACACAAATAAAACTTACTATAAAATAACAGAAGACTAAATAGTGTCTGAATTGAAATATTTCTTTTCTTTAATAAGTGACCACCCAGAGAGACATCAAACCCAGCTGGCATATGACAGACCTAAAAGAAACCAAAGGACCAAGTACAATATATATGCAACTCTGACACTACAAAAAATGAGCACTTAGACATCTCATTTTCCTCTATTGGTCCTCAGCTTCTTTAACTACAATAACAGAAGTTTGAAATAGAAGATTTTCCCACTAGAATAAGGATAGGTATTTTGGTTTTGTTTGCTTGCTGTTACAGCCCGAATAGACAAGACCTAGGACATTGCAGGTGCCAATAAGTATCTGCTAAATAAATCTCTAAATTCCTCTAGTTACATCCATTTTTCCCATGATCTGCAGAGCCAATTTCAGAGAGTTTAACGTCCTAGATAATGCTTCATATATTTGAGAACACCACCCAAATTTCATGAGATCCTTCCTTATTGACTTCCATAACTTTGAGAAAGCCTTTCTATTAATATTAACACCAACGCTGGTAACAAGCACGGTTACCACTGTTCTGAGGCTTACCATGGGGCTGTTTCAAGGCATGGTAAACGGTCACTCCATAGGGCCTCAGGGAAGAGCGGTAGTACACTTGTGGGTTGGTATCCGTGAACTTGTTAGCCTTCATCACGGCCATCTTTGTCCAGTCAGTAAAGAACACATGACTTTCAAACAAGCTTATTCCAAAAGGATGAGGAATAAGTGAGCCTCCATGAACTACTGTCCTCCTGTTATAAAAGATATGGATATATTATTCAATTTTTTGTTTGTTTTGCTTTAAAGGTATAGTTAGTTCAAGTAAATGCTGAAAAAGCTAAATAATTTCTTACTACAAATATATTAAATAGAATATATACAAATGCGTGTGTATTTCCATCTACATTTAATAGAAGGATTTTTATGTTTTCTCTTGAAAAAGACCCATGTTTTCTCATTTGCTCTTCATTCCTTTGAGGTTGCTCCACATTTAAAAGCCTAAGATGTGAAATAGAGTTTTGAATTCCATGCGTGAAAGGGTTTGGCAATCTGGTGTAAATGCCTTCAACAATTACTTCCCACTGTGCCACTGACTACTTCTCAGCCATTAGTGAGTGGTAGAGAGTTCAACCCACAGCAAACACCTAGACATCGGTTCACGATGTCCCTGTAAGGAAAGGGAAAAGCAGTGCCACCACGCTTATGTATCTGCTTGATGAAAACTGTCAACTGATCACACTTGTAGTGCAGGCACAGAGTGCCCAGAAGTAAACAGAATAAAAAAGGCACTAAGCAAGGGCAAGAAATCAATGAAACCTGCCATGACTACAACTACATAGACAATGATGCAGTTAAACACACCAATAAAGTGACAGAGGATGGTTCCTGAGGAAAATCTTTCTTTTGGCACAATAGAAAGTTCTAAAGGAAAAAAAATCTCAGGCCGGTGTGGTGGCTCACGCCTGTAATCCTAACACTTTGGGAGGCCGAGGCGGGCAGATTGCTCAAGGTCAGGAGTTCAAAACCAGCTTGAGCGAGACCCCGTCTCTACCAAAAATAGAAATAAATTAATTGACCAACTAAAAATATATATATACAAAAAATTAGCCGGGCATGGTGGCGCATGCCTGTAGTCCCAGCTACTCGGGAGGCTGAGGCAGTAGGATCGCTGAGCCCCAGAGATTGAGGTTGCTGTGAGCCAGGCTGATGCCACGGCATTCACTCTATGAAAATCTCAGCAGCCCCTGAAAACTAAAAACCACAACAGAGCTCTGAGATAAGACTTGAAGATACTAAAGCTGAGAAACACACTGACAGGGAAAAACAAAGAAACTTAAGATGGCAAGTTAGTGCACACTTTGAAACACTCAATAATGACTTGGTACATTAAAATTAGAGAATGGTTTTCTTTTTCAGTTAGTAAATTCCAGAATCCTGAATGCCACCTGCTGGCAAAGCAAGAGGCAATGATTTTATTATTTCAGCTTAACTCATGAGCTTTAATATTTCTTTGAAGTTTCTTCACAGCCAGCAAACCACTCAAATCTTTCTGACACTCCATTGATTTTTATCTTTTATGCTTTGCTTTAACGTTAGCATAAAAATATTGAGACTATATAATTGTAATGCCAAAACACCACACTGAAAGACAAAAAAAATTAGGCCATTTCACAATTGTTTTATATGACTTACAAGATTGACTAAATTCTTTAATAAAATTAATTCATATTCAAATCGAAACCAGTTTCATCAATAGAAATCATAGTATTAATACCCAATCACTTCATTTGCTCTGAGAATATATAATCCAGTAACAAACTGTGATATCATCCTTACAAAATAGATATCCGAGAAAACAAAACTATAATATTGTTTTCATTGAGAAAATAGTAAGATCAAGTCATTTGGAAAAATTAAATTGGCCAGCTTATTTGCTGAATCCATTAAAAGTAATTTGAAGGACATCTTTTACCCAATTTTTGAAAATACCAAAAGGAGAGGATCTAAAATAGTTAACTAATTGGTAGTTAGCTCTAATCAGACTAAGAAGATGAAGGAAAAACTATGCCATATTCTACACTCAAACACTGTTATTTAAGTATCTTTGAAGTATTCTAGGTAAAAATACAAAGAATTCCTCCTTGAAATTTGAAATATGTAAGAGTAGAGTAAAATCCAATTAATTCCCAGTGGATAACATCAAATACATAAAACTTATTTTATTTATTGGGGTAAAATTTAAAAAGTAAAAGGCAAAGTTATCTTGAGAAATAAATAGACTCAAGAGTGAAATAAAATAAAGTGCTTCATCTGGGACTGGAGATGGGGTTGGAGAGGAGAAATCAAAGAACAAATGCTTGAGGTAGTATTTGTGGAGTGTCATTATGGAACAGGTCACTTCATCCAAATGCCAATACAATGGTCATTTCAAGGTATCATGTCAACAAACAAAGTGATACTTTATTTCTGGTCTTGTGGTATCCCTCTCCATCCATTTTATGCACTTTCCCCGAAACGTGTAAGGCCATAAAACATAGTTCCTTCCAGTAGAAGAGGAAAGTTAAAAAAAAAAAAACAAAAAAAAAAAAACATAGTTCTTACCTCTGAATGCCATCGTAAGTTACGGTTTCAATGTAATCATATCGGGGGTCAACCCAGTAAACACGCTTCGTTACTATATCCAGAGTTATCCCGGCCGGCCATCCCAGCTTTGTTTTCACCAAGTCTTTCCGGTTGCTGCCATCCATGAAAGCCCTTTCCAGCTTAGGTTCCCCAGAAAGGCTCCCCCAATCAGAGAAAAACATATACCTACAGAAGAAAACAAAAGATGAAAGAATCTGTTATTATACAAGTTTACGTGGAAAATATTTTTTTTATAAATAGTTATGTTTAGATCAATGGAAATTTTCTTCAGCTGATTAGAAGACCCTGGCGGTATAAAATAACAGGGAAATTAAAAAGTATTTTGAAAAAAACAGAGATTGTGGGGGCCAATCAGGAGAGTCAACAACAAATAGTAACTATTAAAATGCACTAACATGGTGGAAAGATTCATATTCCGCTGGCTGTGGTGGTGCATCCCTGTGGTTCCAGCTACTCAGGAGGTTAAGGCAAGAGCACCTGAGTTGGAGGTCAGCCTGGGCAACATAGCAAGACCCCATCTTAAAAACAAATTCATATTCACCTTCTGAACTTTCTCCTCTGTTCCCTTTATCTGTCTTTTGCTTCTTCTTCTTTTTTTATTTTTTATTTTTATTTTTTTTGAGACAGAGTCTCACTCTGTCAGCCGGGCTACACAGCAGTGGCCTCATCATAGTTCACTGCAACCTCAAACTCTTGCGCTCAAGCGATCTGCCTGCCTTAGCCTCCCAAGAAGCCAGGACTATAGGCATGCGCCACTATGCCCAGCTAATTTTCTATGTTTAGTAGAGACGGGGTCTCACTTTTGCTCCGGCTGGTCTCAACCTCCTGAGTTCAAGCCATCTTCCTACCTCAGCCTCCCAGAGTGCTAGGATTATTAGCACGAACCACCGTACCTGGCAGCTTCGCTTTTTTAAACCCAAGCAAACCTACAAATATCTTTTAAAATAAGCTATCAAGCCATTTCCCTCCTCAATTTTCCATTCTTAGGCACAGCCCAGAGAACATCACCATCGTTGTAAAGGAAGGACAGCTGACAAATGAAGTAGAACTGAATAATCACCATTCACCAAAACTGTAGTAGCCTAAAGTTCTTTCAAGTGTCCTAAGACTCAACTGTGAAATTCTAGAAGAAAGCTAAGTCTCCTATAACTCTTCTCAAATGTGGAGATCAGGAAAATTTGCATTGAAACTTAAAGAAAAGCATTATACTAGTTTTGCTCAGTTGATTCACACCGAAAAACTTCTAACGAGATATTAGCATTGATATCTCAACCTCAGTCTGTAACAAGAAAGCGCAAAAAGGAAACATACTAACCTCCTTTCCTCTCTTTAAAAAACCTTACTGCTAATTCATGTTACAGTGCTCATCTTAATAATGGTGAAATATATGTAATGTTTTGTTGTAATAATATTGTTAGATTGAGTCAGAACATATAATCCAATCTCTTGGCTAGGCAGATGTGGCAAACACTAAGAATAAAATTCATATCCAAAAAATATAAAGTATTTTAGTACACCAGTTAGTTGTGTTTGGATTACATATTCTCAAATACAATTATATTTAATCAACTCCTTGAAAGCTTCTATTGCCAGGCGAGGTCACTCCCACCTCTAATCCCGCCACTTAAGGAGGCTGAGAAAAGAAGATCACTTGAGGCCAAGAGTTGGAGACCAGCCTGGGCAACATAGGGAGACCCTGTCTCCACAAAAATAAAAAAATTAGCCCAGTCCAGTGGTGCACGCCAATGATCCTAGCCACTTGGGAGGCTGAGGCAGGAGGATCACTTGAGCCCAGGAGCTTGAGCCTCCAGTGAACTATGATCATGCCACTGCACTCCAGCCAGAGAAATAGAATGAGACCCACTTAATTAATTAAGCTTCCATGAATAAGGATATAAAATAAACATGGGTTCTAGAGTACAAAGCCTAAAAAAAAATCAGAATTAACCTTCAATTAATCCCATGGTAATGTATAAGGGCAGAGAAGAAACTAAAAATATAGCAATCAGTACATTTTCACATCACTTACCCAACAGTTGGGTCCAGAGCAAGTCCTCTAGGATGCCCCAGGTTTTCAGTTATAAGGGTAACCCGGTAGCTTCCATCCAAATTTGCCACATCTATGCGGTTAACCTTGGTCTCCACCAGATAGAGCTTATCGTTAATCCAGTCCACAGCCAGGTTCTCCGGAGTGTCAACAGAAACATTGAGAACTTCTTGGATATTTAAACCATTAATGTCAACTGAAAAGACCTGAAAGAAAACCAAAATTACTATACTTCTTAAGCATAACTAACTGTGTGGTTTATTTTGATTTTTAGCTGTAATCAAATCAGAATTGCTAATAATCCAAATTTTCAACTTTTAGAAATTTTAAACTAAGTTAGAATTTTATTTATGGTACAAGAACATGTAAGAGGAAGAAATAAATAAAATTCCATAACTCTTTAGGTGTCTCTAAAATTTGTTTCAAAAATCTCCATTGCATTTCTCAAAGTTAAATCAATCACACTTTCCAAATTAGACAGTGTAATAAAATTTTGGCTGTTAAACAAAATCCTGTCAATATTTGTTATCAAATCCTCAATTACAGTTCCATTTAGAAGACGCAAGTACAAATCTGATTTTTATCACCCAGGAAAGCACAGTACTTTTAACATTTTAAAATGATCAAGTTTCAAAAATTACTACCAAATATCTATCTAGTTTTGAAAGAATGTCTACTATTTCTTTTAATTAAACTTTTGGACTCCATTTCGAATAAAATTAAAAGTTGCTCAAGGCTAATCCATATAATAGACTGCTTTGTTTAATAGGTCACATGTAATAGTATAGCATGGAAAAGGTGCTGATTAACATAAAATATCTCAAGGGCCTTTTTTGTTAGAAAACAAAAGAACTTTCCCCTCTGCTCCCCCCCAAAAATGAAAAACTATCAACACTCTGTGCTTGGGATTCTATTCTGCTCCCAAGCTACACAGCTGAAATCTCTATTTACCTTATCTCGCACGGTGTCTGTCCAAAAGACTCGGTGCAGGCGATAGTGGAAATCCACACCCACAGCCACTCCACGATTCTGAGACTCTACTAGGTTCTGGAAGTTCCTTCCATGAATATCACCAATTAGCAAATCCCGACCATTTGAGAAGATAATGGAGGCCTCACCAGCTAAACACGAAGAAGGAAGGCGTTACCACTACTTAGAGTGGGCAAGGATGGTGAAGTATCTTACAACTGATATAATTTCTGCTTTTTCAAATGCTGTCTTCTATGTTATCTTGCCTGATTTTAATATGTTGAAACCTCTGAAGCAGGGAGATAGCTATCATTTTACATAAGACAGAATGAAGCACAAAAGATGCCCAAAGAGCTGTTCAAAATCACAGTAAGCTAAGAAAAGTTTGGTAAGAATTCAAGAGTCCTGACTGCCAGTCCAGTACTTTCAATGACATTAAGGAGAATACATCAGGTATTTTCAAGACTCATTGATGACATGGGAACCTTACTTCCATGTGCAACTTTAGACTGTGTTAAACACAGAACACATTTACCAGGAAATCACTGTGAAAAACATGGCAATGGTGGTTCCACATATGCTCTGTCTATATACTCACAAGAATGCAAAATGACACAGGAATAGGGTTATCCATTCAGTCTTATTTGCAATAGCAAAAGATAAGAAATGATATAAAAGTCCATCTATAGGGGACTAGTTAAATAAACTATGAATACCTGAAAATTGGAATATTATGCCATTATTAATAAAGAATTTAAAATGGGCCATTCATCGATCGTGGGAGCAATTAAGTTTCAGTAGACACCACAGGCACTTCAAAATCAAGTGTGAAATAAAAATTTGAAAAAAAGGAATTAAAATTGAGACATTCTTACCCAGAAATCCACAATAACAAAATGCTTTGGAGGGCTCATCTTTTTTTAGCAGATTTTTCCTATAACTTTTCTCTACTACAGTACTCTTAGATTGATTCCAACAGAATACCCAGAATGAGGGCATTCACATAGATTTTAATCCAAACTTAGCGTGTGCATTTTGCTACACTCCTAAGTTTTGCAGGAACAATGCCAAAATTATTTCTATAGATGGTTGCCATGTACTTTTGTGGTAGGTAAATTACTTAAAACCTAAATGCACAAGTCAGTCAAGTGTAGGCATAACATTTATTTCACAATTAAATGTGGGTGACATAATAGTTTAGGCCAAAGCAAATAAACAACCCATAAAAAACATCAATAATGATCACCATTAATACACAAATTGGGTCTTTAATAATCAAAGTATGAAATGAATGTTGATCCATTCTCCCTGGCAGCAGGGACCATCCCTGATTTGTGATGATAAAACGCTGCCACAAGCATAAATGCTGATTAATTCTTTTGTCATCAGCTGTAGAAGGAAGATACTAGAATTGTACTATTCAGAGGTAGAAGTGTCCATAGTTTACTCACAGGAATAATTAGCTTTACAATTCCGCTCATGTTCCAATATATATCCTTCATCACAGTAGCATTGGTGACGGCCAAATCGGATTTCACACATCTGGTCACAAATTCCCCATATCTGGCAATCATCAAACCCTGCCACAGGGAAATACACATTTTTATGTATTTTATGTATTTCATGTTTACCAGCATTTCTTGAGCGTGACAGAAGTCCTGGATAAGACGGCCAGGAATATGCTGTTGTTAATGTCTAAATAAGCACCCTCTCGAGACAGGCACTGGTTCTAGGCATACGATAAAAAATATGAGTTCAGAACAGCCATTTTCAGTCAAGGGAAAAGAGCATTTAAATCATTTTTTAAAATCTATGTGAAGGATAACTTTACAGAAGACTGCAAAGGACTGCTTGAATTCATAGCCTTGTGGTACTACATTTCATTTGTTAATGTAGGTTTACAAAATAAATGAATTTTGGTGTAAATCTTCCCTTTAAAGATAAAAGTTAAAACTGTGCTTTCCAATATGGAAGCCACTAACCCCCTGTGCCTATCTAAATGTATATGTAGATTAATCAAAATAAATTTAATAATTCAGTTTCCCAGTCACACTTCCCACAGTTCAAGTGCTCAATAGCCACATATGTCTAGTGGTTACCATATTGGAAAGCAAAGATATAGGACATTTGCACCATTGCAGAAAGTTCCACTGGACAGCACTAATTCAGAATAAAGTAAGACCTGCCTTATACTCAGCCTTTCAAGAAGGCATAAGTCTGACTGAAATAAAGTGTCCGGTAAGATCTATTTGCCCAGCTGTCTTTCCTCTGATATCAAAAAATCATAAGTGTTTATTGAAAGTTCTTTACATGGCATGGTATTTCATTGCCAGAAAAGGCCCAATTCTACTGTGTAAAAAAGAGTTTCAATATAATCGACATAAACAATATAACATGGTGGCTGAGGGAGGATACAACAATATATAAAAAGGGTCTTTCTTAAAGACTGGAAGGCTTAAGGGGTGCAGAAATTGGCCTATCCTTGGTACACTGGACCCTCCAAGTCCACATCTACTCTCCATCATCCCTACCCAGCTCTCTTCCCTGGGAAGATGGCACAACGCTGCTTGAGTTCATAATCATACCTATACCAATAGGGTTCCCATGCCCTCTGGCTTCAGGAAATTCTCCAGTAGATTATAATTTCTGAAACCATTGCACCCCAGGTCTAGAATTCTCCAGACTTCTAAAATTTGATTACATTTGCAGCAACAGTCAGAGCTCTGAGTTGGATTCTGCCATCCCTGCTCGGCAGCCCACCATCCCTCAACTCCCCAACTAGAAAAGCCCAAGAAGGTTCTGGGATCAAACTGATGGTTTCAGTTTTGCCTGCAGGCCAAACATAACATGAGCCAGCATATCTTTCTTTGTGACTAACCAAAGAAAAACAATAATCTAATCCGGACATGACAGGTAAAAGGCCATGTGGGTATAGACTACGCTCGTTGATGAAATCTCTTCTGTGCAGCCCTTAGATCTCTTCACCTAAGCCCTGAGAAAGCTGCACCTAAGGCTTCGCCTCAGTAGGGATGAAAGTACAGGACATTCTCCCTCAAATGCCAAGAATGTCATGACCTCATTTTGAATGCAAGCTCCATGAGACTATATCCAAGGGTATGGGGTAACTCCAGAAGCAGTTGTTTTGATGTCAAACAGAAGGAAATCAAGGGTGGAAAAGTCATAACTAGGAATTCTTATACACAAAAGCCCTTCCTAGCACCTGTTCGACAAGTGCTTTACAGATCCAAATGAATATATAAAATCACTGTCTCTTGTAATGACCGAATAAGATTGTATCCTTTAGATCACTACGGAGAAAAATGCAGGCTAATTAATACCCATCATCAGCTAAAGTGAAGACAAGAAAAATGAAAGTAGAATTGAGGACTTTTATGAAAGTCAAAAAGATAGCAGAAACTATATCAAATACTGAAACACTCCTTTATAATCCTCCTTTCACTCCAATACCTTTATACATTTTTCTTTCCTTTTTATTCTTTGTCTCCTCCTACCAACAAATACTGCAAAACTCCTTTTTAGCTTAGATGCCCTTGGACACCCTCTGATCCATCTGGCTGTGTGAAACCCCACCAAGCTGAATGACCTCCCTGCCCTCACTCTGCACCACGATGTCATTCTGTCAACAAACAGCATGTCCTGTCAATCAGAAACAATGCGCCTGGCAAACAGCTTCGGCATGCTGCAGAGGCTCCACCGCCAGCCAGGTCAAGACTACCAGAGGCAGATGAATGGTAGAAAGACAAAGATTTCATGTCAGGATTATTCAATGCTATTCCTCATTACCACCCAGGTATTCCCTGTGGAGTCCCGTCTTAGATAACAAATATTGCATAGGTTTGGAATACCTGAAGCCTCTATAAGGAGTCAGCCGTGCAGACGGTTACATTCATGCAGGGATACTTTTTTTAAGTGAAATGTTTGAGAGAGCAAACCAAAACAATTCCCCTAAAATTTCAGCTCAGCTGAAACTAGTGTAACTGGTTTCATAATGTCATGTATTTACGTTCTCTTTACAAAGAGTGAAGTATAACCCAAGGCTCCTCAGGACTTACATACTGGAAAAGATGGAAAGGGTACTATCTGGGATTAAGGGTGGGCAAAAAGAGAGAACAAGTTGTGCGGCATCTCAAGACTGAACTAGGAATTCTGAAAGAGCACATCACTTTTACTGAAAGGACTTCATAGCCTATCAAGTTTCAACTGAAAGACAGCTCAGCTCCAACTACTCTTTGGGGGTTAAGAAAGGAAAAAGAGAGAAAAGCTGATGTAATACTGAGAATGTGGCTTCTCGCATTTCTCTTGGAATTCCTTTTCTACTAAGAGAAAAGGGAAATGCCCGGAGAACTAAAAGCTGGAGATAGGATTGGCAGCTGGGTGGCAGTAAAGGGGGACAGAGGAGCCTGACGTTTGCCAAAGACAAAGTAATGATAATCAAAATAACAATAATAATACACACAAAGTGTTGTGCAATCTCATTTACGGTCATTGCAGATCATAACTTTTTAGTTATAAAATGTTTTGAAATGAGTAGAGATTTGGAGGCTTTCTTAAATAATTCAGTCTTCAGGATTTCTCAGGCTAACTTGTATAAATCACTTAATCTTAAGATACCTTTTAGAATAATGTTACTTAAGAGGAGCAGTTACATCATCGCCAAACTTAAGGATATGGTCCTGATGTTAAAAACCTAAAATTACCTACTTTGAATGCAAGGACCACCTCAATTGCATTGCTTTATCAAGATATAAAAATCCAGTTTTTCTTGGCATATGACAGGTACTGAATTCTACTATTATAGATCTTAAGAATTCCAAGTTTAATTTGCAAACCAGAATTTATTTCTGGTATCAAAATGTGTTTCTGTCTGTGAGTAGTTACTAAGATACTATATTTGATGAAGTATAGTTATGCTGGAAGCCATGAGCTGAGACTAAGGACTAATTTCATTAGGTTTATCCAAATTCGACCCTTTTTGCCAAATTATATTAATATTTTAGAAATTAGTTCAGAAGAAATACTTCTTATGCATGCTGTGTTTCTTTTTATCCAGAATACCCTGAAAGATCTCAAATTTCTAAGGAATAGACAGAATGCAAATAGTCTGGGAAAATTATGAATCAGCTATCTTATAGAAATCCATAGGTGCCTTTTCCCAACACTAAGAAAAACAAAATTTTTGTGAAACCTCTGTGATTACTTTCTGTTAATATGTTTGTTGTTTTGTACTAAAAATCGGAAAGAAAAAAGAAATCAGAACACTAAAAATTCATTGTTCAAATTCTAAGAAAATGAAAACCAATGCTACTTGATCATGTCTAATTCTCCCTTGGTAAGGCCCCATCCTAATCACAGTGAGAAGTAAAGCTGGCACCAGAATCAAAACTCTCCCAGTGGGAGAAATCATTTTTCTAAGTCAGATGGGAAAGACGTGGGGAAATATTAGGTGTACTGGAGTCTAGTTCAATACCAGCCACCAGCTGGAAGACTAACGACAAACAAAGACTTTGCTTGTCTTGAATGTTAGTTAGTTCAAAGTAGAGGTAAAAACCAGTGGAATGAACAGCCAGCACAGCACAAGCACGGACCGACCGGTATAGTCACCCAAGCAGTGACCTGGTGATCCTTCACTGTGCTAGGTGGCAACTCTTCAGTTGCTGAATCCTGCAGACATTTGTGCATCCTGGAGAAGAGGCCAGGGGAGCAGAGTAGGGGTGCTCAATGAGCTTAAGGTGGCAGCTATCTACCAACCTCATGGAAGTCTTTTGGTATTTAGTAACCAAAAGTCTTTCGGTATTTAGTGTGGCCGTACCGACCCTGATTCCAAATACTTAAAAAGAAAACATAAGATGATGACTTCCATCATCAGGCTGTGGATAGTTTCCATGTAGTTAGTCAACTCGCACATCACAGAACCATTCTTTTGCCTTGTGCCCCACACAAAAGCTCCTCAGACTTAAAACTTCATATTTTCCAGATTTTCTGTAAGGACCGTGTTGCTCTTTATTAGGCCAGACCACCACTCCTGTCCACAAGTGCATGCTCTTTGATGTCACAGATCACAGAACACATCGGTGCACCGTGATGAAAGACAAGTAGCCCCACCTGTCACTTACCAAGACAAGTACGGCTGTCATTGCGGTTGATGATAAAACCTGAGAGACAAAAACACGCCCCTCCATACGGTGTCTCATGGCACTGCTGCTGACAGTTCAAGGTAGAACACATACTCCTACCTAAACAGAGAAAGGAACTTTGTTAAATGAATGGTGACCTCTGGACAAGACTGGTTTACCTAGTAGCTTCTTTTTCCATGAATAAAAGCTGAGCAAGCATATAGGAGAGGTCCAGAAAAAAATCTGTCACCATTCAAACCTCACTGCAATATTTTGCGATAAAAGCTCAACCCACATTTTAAAAAAGAAAAACTCCTTTTCAAAGTTGTAACTCTGTGCAAGCATAAGTCATTATAAGTGTTATTTATAGGGAAAAAAAATAAGGTCATAGGTCTATCTATGTGTCTATATAATAAAAGGGGCTAAGAACTCCCAAGTGACTGGCCCAACAATATACTCTAAAAGTGTTAACTGTGGTTATCTTAAGTGATGGCATTTCAGGTGATTGTATTTTTTATTTCTACTAAATTTTGTGCCGTGACTACATAGCTCTTGTTAATTTTTCAAGCTTTTTAAAAAGGGCTCTCAAATGAAATGGCAGGGAGGAATGCCATATTCGTCTCTGCATATTTAAATATTATGTTCAAGTTTTGTCAGGAAAACAAACACTAACCTTGGGGACACGGTTACAGGGGCACTTCTAGGCAACCACTACTCTAGTTAGAGAGTGTACTACTAATGAAATCAGGGTCACAAATTGTATTCCCTTACAAAACAGTCAGCTATCCACAGAATTGATAGATTAATGGTGGGCGGAATATTCTACAGCCACAAAGAAAGGAAAAAAAAAAAACTAATTCTATTCAGTTTCCTTAGACATCATCAAATAACATTGTTCATGGATACTTTAATTTTATCATCGGAGAATACAAAACCGAGGAACCAGAAGAATTTTTTCTTTTAAGTATTGCCAGACAAGATCTTTTTTGCATAAGTATAAGCCAGGCAATAAAATCTCCCGAACATCTTTAGAGCCATCAAAATTGCCACTGAAATAATTCTCCCTGTATGTGTGTCGCAGATCGCAGGGGTGAGAGTGTTGCCACAAATTTCTTAAGCTCCTCCCATCAGGACTTGGAGACTACTTTTCCATTCCATTGTGGGCCTAGCCAAGTGATTTGCTTTGGCCAATATGACATTACCAAATATGACATAACAGAGCCTTAGAAGTGCTTGAGCACTAGGGTTCACCTTTGCTACCAGGGTGCAGATAAGCCAGGGCTGGCCCACGCTTTTATTGCAACATCCTGACATGTGAGTGAGATGGTATTGGCCAGAGGAACCAAAGCACATAACCGTGTGAAATAGTAAATGTTTGTCGGTTTAAACCACTAACTCTTGCTGTGGTTTGTTATGCAAATGCTATCCAACAACGCACTGTATTTGAGAATCTGTTGTAGAAAACAGAAATATCTGTATTCGAAAGCTACCCAGATTTCCATACTTACCACAGTATCTTCCAGTAGTAGTACTGTTTTCATCTTCTCCTCCTGGACAATCTGAAACCCCATCACAAACTTTATAAATTGAGATGCATTGCCCAGACTCTGGACAAACCCAATGTCTTGGGGGACAGTTGTGAAAATGATGAGGTTTGCTTTCTGTGGGGAGAAAAGAGAGAGAGAGAATTACAGACCACGTGAGAGGTAGAGCCAGGTCTGTTTTAATCAATGGTTAAGAGAGGATATAGACCAAGGAGACAACAGAAATCTACAAGTGACCTATATTTTACAATAAACTAGTAGTTTCTAACCCTACTTTTAGCCTTTTATTGAGATTATTAAAGAGCAGCACAATGGAATTATTCCACTCCTTCTGGAGGAGGCAGCCCTCAGCCAAGTAACAAGAGTAAGAAATGGACACAGGCCTGAATTATCAACAAACTAGATTCATAACACTCTAGGAGAAGATTCAGTTATTTAAATCCTGAATGATAGAACTTGGGCCATCAAGGTAACTCCAGGATTCCTGAGTTTGTGTTTGGGTGGTTTTATTAGTTTTGTTTATTTAATAAAATGTCAACAGTATATGAAAAACCATAACCCAAATAAAGGAAGACTGCTTCCTGGAACAGCAAAACATAAAACCAGTGGAACAAGCATCTCCCTTGTTCTATCTGGAATTGGAATGGTGTAGGCAATTTTCTTTAGGGTGTGGGTGTCAGTGACTCCTGAACTGTTGGAGGTATTGCTGGTGGTATCAGCGGTGTGAAGGGGTGGATATCACTGGAAAGTTCCTTTTAGCCTCCCCTACACCTACCAATCCCTAGGTCCATCCCATGTATTCCCAGTGTGGCCTCTCTTTCACCACTGCATGTCAGTGGCTCATTTAGAAATCAAAATAAAATAAAAAGACAGACAAAACAAAACAAAAACAAAAACAAAACTGAACTGTTACCGAGGTTCCAAGTCATTTTTAAAGGTTGGTTATATGGTCTAAGACAAATCACACTTTTGCCTATTTTTCCTTATTGCCAAGCCTATTGCTCTTATATAGATAGGTATATCCAATGAAAATAGAAATTCTTAAAGGGGGAAAGTCAGAGTGGGGAGTGGGATACAGACGGGGGACTATCCTACCTATTTTGCCTTAAGGATACTGTAATCTATAAATTAAATATATTAAATATATATGTATTTGAGTTCAGAATCTTTTTTGGAAAAGCAAGTAGAATCACCACCTTCTTCCTCACCCACTAAGTGCCTAACAATTCTTTAAACTCCAGCCAATCCTAAGGCTTGCTTGTCACACAAATTTCTAAAAAGGATAGGAGGAGAACTTCACTTTAAGAAAACGCTTTTGTTTTCTTTTTTTTTAATTCTTAAAAATTTATACTTTTTCTTCTTTTTACTTTTTTTTTTCCCCTGGACAGCTTGTTAAAACACAAGAACGCTTTTCAATAGGAATCTCTTCCCCTCCTTACCACATCCGTTTTCATCTCCGCCATCTCTACAGTCGCTGTCTCCGTCACAGACCCAATTTTGGTGAATGCATTCGCCATTGGAGCAAGTGAACTGGTTCCCCCTGCAGGTCTCATATTCTGGAAGGAAACAACAGCTGCACTCACTTGGAAAAAATCAAAGTGCTCACCTTACTGCCCAAACAGAGCTCCTAGAAACTGAACTTTCTATGTCAATTTAATCCCTTAAGTATCTTGACAAAAATGACAAAAAGGAGGAAAAGGAAGGAAAAGAAGAGAAGCAGCTTTAGGTCCAGGAAATGAACACAGGGCCCAGTCTCTGTTTCCCAACATTAAAACAAAATGGTATACAATAGGTCAACACAAAACAGAAACTGCACACTGGATGAAGATGCTACAGACATGCCAATAGCCAACATTCTCTTATTTTACCACAAGAACTGTAATTGCTAAGCTAGGGCCAAATGATTCTGAGTCAGCCATTCCATGATGTCACGTTTTCTTTAATACAGTCACTGAAATAAGCCTACGTTCCAGAATGGAAATGGCATGGCTCACAGAAAATTAGGGTGATATCGAAAATATTTGACAACACCCTTAAATGCATGGGTACCAACCAATCAAAACAGGTCTGAAGAAAAATGACAAGTAGCAGTAAATAAAGGATCACAAAAAGCTGCCAACTTACTGGAATTAGTAAAAACCGTCATGGAGTCTCCTAACTCTACACATTCTAAAAAAAATGAGTCAAGAGGTGGCAACAATGAGATGCAGACTACACTGCATGCAACAGCAGGGAAGTAAAAGTAGGGTCAGTGAAGAAGTGGAGGTGACAAAAGCCACCTATGGCACACTGAAACTTCCCTGACTCTCCAACTTTAATGTGGTAAGAGTTTCAAAGAGGAGAGTTGGACCCACTCTTGCTAGGGAACCTCCTTTCCCCTTCAAGCCACTCTCTCACTCGGCTATCAAACTTACGAGACCCATTCCTAAGACATACGTAATTTGAGTGTCCAGTGATAGAATACACTCTGTACCCCTGCAGCCTAAGGAAAGAATGCATGCTGTCCATCAGCAACTTTTCACCTCTGCACAAATTCTTGAAAGATAAAAGAGCCCACGTCCAGCAATCTCACAAAGACTCCTGTCATGGCCCCTAAATCATCTTCTTCCCCATCTGCCATCAAAGATAGTGACTCTTTCCTTTGAAAAAAGTGGTACATTGGTGGGAAAACAAAAACAAAAACATTCCTAACAACATGAACTAGGATAAAGAAATCACCGTACTGCAAGAGTGTTCATCACTGCCGTCTTCACAGTCACGGTCATGGTCGCAGACAAAGCCCTTTGGGATACATTCTCCATTGTGACACGGAAACTCGTTGTGCAAACATGCCACACCTGGGACACAAGGTTAAGAAGGGAAAGAAAAGAGAAAATTTAACCACATCGTAGCCATTTAATCTGATAGGAAGATTCTATTCGGAAGATTCTGATTAGGCAGTGGTGTGCTCGTACATATTTTAAGACCAGTCCTCCTGGAACAAAAAGGCTCTGGTCTGTAGTGTATGCCAGTTTTCATGGTGTAAGTTCTACCACCAGTGGCGACTTAAAACTACCAATGTGTGGCCAGGCCCGGTGGCTCATGCCTGTAATCCTAGTACTCTGAGAGGCTGAGGTGGGCGGATTGCTCGGGGTCAGGAGTCTGAAACCAGCCTGAGCAAGAGTGAGACCCCGTCTCTACTATAAATTGAAAGGAATTAATTGGCCAAGTAATATATATATATATATATATATATATATAATTAGCCAGGCATGGTGGCACATGCCTGTAGTCCCAGCTACTCGGGAGGCTGAGGCAGTAGGATTACTTGAGCCCAGGAGTTTGAGGTTGCTGTGAGCTAGGCTCATGCCATGGCACTCACTGTAGCCTGGGCATCAAAGCAAGACTCTGTCTCAACAACAACAAAAAAGAAACTACCAATGTGAATTCACTGTACATGAACTTGGGAAGAGATGTGTATACTTGGCTCTCTCAAGCCAGTATAAACTAGCTTCAGCACCCCACCACCCACCTCATGCATGTTACTTACTGCAATTTTGTTCATCAGAGTAGTCCCTGCAATCAACTCTCCAATCACACCTCTGACTAAAGTTATAGCAGGCTCCGTTGGCACAAGTGCGCTGCTCACATACTGGGTATTCTATTAAAAAAAAAAAAAAAAAGAACACAACAGAAATATCAAACAAACTTTAAATTTCCTTCAGCAAACATTTTTTTGACATAAATTACTTTTATAAAGATTGTTAGATATATACAAACATAAACCAGCAACTTCTACAACTATAAAATCAAAACTAATTCATCACTTAACACCAAATATAAAATCAAGAAAACTCAAGGGAACACGTTACTCTCATGAGACAGGTGGTATGATCCTGTGGAGTTCAGCTGCCCCTCATTTTGGAACTCGGGCACTCATGCGGTTGTTGGGGCCGGGCATTCCTTGTGTCTGTGTTGTACCATGACTCAAATCTCGCATGACGATATCCCTTCAAACTCCTATGAAAGCTCTGGTTGGCCTTCCATGAGGTCAGTTGGCAAACACAGACTCTACTCATTAAGGTCACCTGTGTTTCCTCATTGACAACTAATAGTTGACAATTAAAATAGCACATCTAGGTCCCAATGTGCCCATAAACACTGATGATACTGCTACTGTCTAATGTAGACATGCAGAGGACCCCAAATATGTTCATATTCTTTATGTTCTTGTCAAAGCGAAAAGAATTTTCTGTTTAAAAAATATCAAAAGTTCCCACCCAGAACTCTCAAGAACATATTAGGAGGCTCTCAAGGGGCTGGCCTGGCCGGGCCACCTACTGATGAGGAGCAAAGGCCAGAGAACTGCGCAGGGAAAGAGCAGGCTGGAAGGAGCCCCTGGTCTGGGGCCATACCCGCCCTCTCCTCTGGGCTGTCTCCCCAGCACAACATTGAAGAATTCTGATGTGGAACGGTGCATAAGATTTGGTTTGTTGTTTTAAATGTTCATTCAACTGAATGAAATACTTAAAATTCCTTTTTTAGGCCGGGCACGGTAGCTCACACCTGTAATCCTAGCACTCCAAGAGGCCAAGGCGGGTGGATCGCTCAAGGCCAGGAGTTCTAAACCAGACTGAGCAAGAGGGAGACCCTGTCTCTACTAAAAATAGAAAAAGAAATTAGCTGGACAACTAAAAATAAATAGAAAAAAATTAGCCACGCATGGTGGCACAGTGAGATTCTGTCTCAAACATTTCTTGGGTAACTACTATTTGCTGGACACTAAATGCTGAGCATATATTGGTACACAAAAGAGACATACATGGTCCCTGGCCTTGTGGAGATTACAGTTGGATGGGAGAGACAGTAATCAAATAATAGCACAAATGGCAAATTACAAACTGGGTTAAGCGTAAATGCGGAAAGTACAGAGGCCTGTGAGACTGCCCAAGGGGATCTGGGGGCCCAGGGAAGTCTCCCCTAAAGAAGTGACTTTTTTTTTTTTGAGACAGAGTCTCACTCTGTTGCCCGGGCTAGAGTGCCGTGGCATCAGCCTAGCTCACAGCAACGTCAAATTCCTGGGCTCAAGCGATCCTCCTGCCTCAGCCTCCCAAGTAGACTACAGGCATGCACCACCATGCTTGGCTAATTTTTTTGATATATATTTTTTAGTTGTTCAGCTAATTTCTTTCCATTTTTTTTTTTTAGTAGAGACAGAGTCTTGTTCTTTCTCAGGCTGGTCTCTAACTCTTGAGCTCAAATGATCCGTCCAACTCGGCCCCCCAGAGTACTAGGATTACAGGCATGAGGCACTTCGCCTGGCCAAGAAGTGACTTTTGAGCTGAAAGCTGAAAAAGAGAAAGAATTTAATTCAGGATGGAACCTTCTTTTACATGAGACAAATAGCATCCGAGGAAACTAAGGTACTGCCGCACAAGCTTTGGGGAATGAAGGTCCCTGTCCTTCACTATGGGAAGAGGAAGAAAGCAGGCCTAGGTCAGGAGACCTGGACCTGAGTCTAGGAGTGCCACTCAGCAGCTTGTTCAATACGTCACATTTGGATAATCTGCTGCACAGAGTAGAGGGGCCTAGTAAAGTATTTTGAAAAGCATAATGTACTCTACAAGCACACATTATTGTTGCCACATTATATTCATATGGTCATCTCACCGCTCTTATCTGGACCTGGTTTTTCAAAGGGAAATCAAGATGTCCCTTACAGGAATAAAATACTCTCTGTCCCTCCTCTGTGCTTTCCCAGACTCAGAACATGTGTCCCTCATGACTCTAACTGTAGGTTTTATTCTATTGGTTATTTATCTGTTTCCTCCATGACATAGTGGAAGTGCCTAAGATCACAGATTCTGTCTTACTCATTTTAGGATCCCAAACATTCGTACAGGGATTGGGACATTACTCACTGTGCTCAAGAAATGTTCAATATTGCTATTAAATCATTAAACACAGGTGAATATTTTAATTCATTCAGCTTTTTAAAATATTCTTAACTGCCTTTTGTGGTCTTTGAATACCCTCCTTCTTACAAATGTGATATATTCCTTGTGATTCTCAGATTGTCTTCAGATTTCTTTTTTCTTTTTTTTTTTTTTTAAGACAGAGTCTTGCTTTCTTGCCCAGGCTAGAGTGAGTGCCGTGGTGTCAGCCTAGCTCACAGCAACCTCAAACTCCCGGGCTCAAGCAATCCTCCTGCCTCAGCCTCCCGAGTAGCTGGGACTACAGGCACGAGCCACCATGCCCGGCTGATTTTTATATTATATATTATTAGTTGGCCAATTAATTTCTTTCTATTTTTATGGTAGAGACGGGGTCTTGCTCAGGCTGGTTTTGAACTCCTGACCTTGAGCAATCTGCCCGCCTCGGCCTCCCAGAGTGCTAGGATTACAGGCGTGAGCCACTCCGCCCGGCCAAGATTTCTTTTTTAACCAAGGACAAAGTATGTCTTAGTTAAGATTTCAAAGACCAGATAGCACAGTCCCACTTTGAGGCTCAATTTTGCATTCAGGAACCCAATTTGAGGTTTTACCAACATAAAGATACTTAAGATAATTCTTTGAAAAATCCTAAAGTCTTGTCAAGTAGAAGCAGTGCACAAAATTCAGTGCTACAACTATACTGTAGCTACAACTATATTGTACTACAACTATATTATATACAGTGCTACAACTATATTGTATCAGTGCTACAAGGTTTGTGTGCCATGTCGACACTCACACATTTAAAAAGATGGACTCTCAAATGATCTTTTTCTGTTTTTTTTGCATACTAAAGGAATAAGCCTAAATCTTCTCATGTTCAGAATTTGAAAACTAAGTGTCCTTAAATATCCAAATTGCCAAAAGTTACATATAGTAAATCACATATTAAAATAGAAAGTTTTTTTAAGACAAAATCTCACTCTGTTGCCGGGGCTAGCGTGCTGTGGCATCAGCCTACCTCACAGCAACCTCAAACTCCTGGGCTCAAACAATCCCTCTGCCTCAGCCTCTCGAGTAGCTGGGACTGTAGGCATGTCCCACCATGCCCAGCTAATTTTTTCTATATATTTCTAGTTGGCCAATTAATTTGTTTGTATTTTTAGTAGAAACGGGAGTCTCACTCTTGCTCAGGCTGGTCTCGAACTGCTGACCTTGAGCGACCTGCCCACCTCGGCCTCCCAGAGTGCTAGAATTATTGGCTTGAGCCACCCCACCTGGCCTAAAATGGAAGGTATTTTTAAATAGCTGACTGAAATTTTCAATTTTTCTCAACTTTATTTTATTTTTTTAATAGTCAAAAAGTAAGCCAGTGCTAGGGTTATTGCTGTCTTTTCATCATTGAGATGCTATGTCTTCCAAACATGCCTTCAAATTGATCATAACCCTGTTTCTTAATTCTTCCTTCAAGAGATGCAAAAGGCCAGTTGAGGATAGCCAGCAATTCCTTTCCCCTCATGTGAGGGACACCTTTTAAAGTCAGCCTGTCATTCAGCCTTTTAACAGCAGCAAGTAGAATATAAAAAAAAAAAAATCCATCTCTTTGCAATAGATAAGCTACCTTTCAGGAGGAAAATTTATTTGGGCTTGAAATGTGATAATCTCATTTAAGGTGAGTATCCATCTGACATGACTAAAAGTTTACTGGCATGGTTCATTCCCCCCAACAAACAACACGGCCAGCTTGATGTCATCACGGAGGGTACTGTGATGGCCAGAGGTCAGCGGTTCACACAGAATGACAAGTGAACAGCTTTCTTGTCTCCATCCACATAGATAGTGAATCTCTCTCTCAATCAGCAGGGGACCCCTTTCAGTCCCTGCACACTTTCTGATCTTTTCTGTGCACAGTAACCCTGAGGTGTGTACTCATAAGAAAGATCGCACCGAACTCCACTAAATACTGAAAATATTAAGAAATCTGTTTCCAAATGGCTTTCCCCCTATGAAGGCCAACACAGAGAAAACAGGTTCAAGTTGTTCACACTGAGCAAAGCAAGAAAATAATGCATTCTACTTCTCTTGCTAAAAATATTAATTCATGATTTTCAATCTACCCCCAGAACACAGGAAGTCACAATCCTTTGAACTTCCAATTAGGAGATATCTAAAATCTTATTTGTTGGTTTATTTGCTTGGGAAGCCTGAGTCTAAGCTTAAAAATGTTTTCCCATTGAGCAAATTCATCATGTGGTTGAAATGTCCTGCAGGACCTCAAGTATAGGGAAAGTGCGGTATGGGAGGAGACCATATACCAGAACATCAAGAAAACTCTTCCTTCTGAAGTTTGTGTTAGTGGAAGATCAACAAATATCTATTAACTAAGCCCCAGGCCTTTAAGGTTTATCTAAAATAAAAATATGAAAATACCCTTCCTCATACCACTCCTTCCTTCTCCCTTCTTTGTTTTTTCCCAGTTCCAAATGACACATGTTCCATCGGAAGCTGCTACACAAAATGCACGCAAGATTTTTAAAAAAATTTTTCCTGCAAATGATTTGGTAGGGAGCAAGAAAGTTTCATGCTATGGTTCCGTTTACATTATCAGAGAGGAAGGTGTAGAAAGTAGTTGGAGGACTTTGTAGATGAATAGAAATCATTTACAGCATTGTAAATACCAATATAAAACGCTCTTCTTTATTACCTTGATGTGAAGACTGTAAATACA